GTGTTATGCGGATCAGTGATTTTTAATTTTGTTTCTCTCTAATACAATTTTTATAATTTTAGACCTGGAACTGTCAACGTTGGAATGGTTGTGTAGACATATAAGTATGAGCAGTACAGATGGGCCGTCAACCAAGAAAAGTTTCGAAGTAATTCGCGTATTTGATCTCATATCTTCCATTATGCATTCCCCTCTTGATCAATTTTTGTAAGTTCGAGATATCATCTGTTACAAAACTCATCAGTTTAGTTTTACAGGAGTTGAATAACAGCGAAGTAAGTGGTATAATAAGTAGCGCATATATGGAATTGCTAGAATGGGATTTTCAAAATGCCTATCCTGAAACCCTAAAGGTATCCTTCCCTGTTTACACAGTTCATTCTCTAAAAAATGTAGATTAATTTGCTTGAAGAATTATGAAAATCGAATGGTTATTTTTATCAGAAAAGAAGGAAAAAGTGATTTTATTTGGTGGTCAAAAAGCAAGACTTTGAACAGTTTCCAAGTTTTCATAGTCATATCAATTTCGATATATAAAAATAAAAATTAATCAATAGAAGGATCGATAAAGGATATTGTCAAGGTTGTCTGTTTGAAAACAAAATCAAGAAGAGCATGCCAAAACTTTACTTGTCTCTGGTTATCAATGACATTCAAAATATCCTCTAGGATTGAATCTTTTTGCAATTCTGCAGTTAATGTTTCTGGTTTTATTATCGGTTTTTTTAGTAAATAAATTGTATCAATTTTCAAATGGCGAAAGTCATGTATATACAAATTTGTTTAGTAATTATAATAATCAAGCAAATAATTAGTCTTAAAATTGGGAAATTTAAAATATGACCAATCATATCAACACCTTCAACTACTCTTAAAGGATAATGGATTATCTCTTTGTTCATTATAGCAGTTGGTTTGGTATGGTAGTTCTTTTAGATCGATCGCTTACGGTTGGAGGCCATAGCCATGAAATATTTACAGTTGATCGTATGTACCAGTTGTGTACTAGTTTCTTGCAATCTTGCTGGAAAGGATGTAGCCCAAGTTAAGGATTTTAAAACGAATTTGAAAAACGACGTAATCGTTATTACTAATGATATCAATAAAAGGTTAACTTTAGTATCTTCATTTCTTTTTCAAAATTTAGTTTGTATTTATCGAAATTTTGACTTTAGATTATACAACTTCAACTTTAAAATGTTTTAGCAACGTAATGGATCGTCTTGAAGCAGTATCTGTTCTTTGTAATGACAGAATATCGAAATGTTGCAAAGCATTAAGCATTAACTGGACTGAAGAAAGATCCACTGAACTGAAGGAACAAATTTTGCAAATTACAGATCCTATAAATCATGTCCGGAAGCTTATCCGTAAGTTTTAGTTCTGATTTCATATTTTTAAATTTCGGTTTTAGTTTTATTTTCTAAGCGTAACACTCCCTGTGATCTCTGATCTCCCACTGCCCTTTACATTTTTTGAAGCTGAGAGCTCATCATTCACCTGAAACTCTTTTTTTTTAGGCGACAGAATACACAACTTCATTTTTTCGATAATCTCAAATCGAACACCATCCTATCAGCAGCGATTTCCACCCGGTTTATCAGTAATACATGAAGAACTTTCAGCTCTTACTGCACGTTTTGTACGTATTGTAAATCATAATAGAGAAACTTTCAGTTCATATTATGACCAGCTAATTAAAAGGCTGATGAATAACTAAATGCTTTCATTGGTAATAAAATAACATTACTGCCTCATCTTTAAATTCCGGTATTCTTGTGTTTTTTCAATTTTTGATAAATTACTGTGATTGTTTGATTATTAAAAAATAAATCAGTAAAATATGAGTAAAGTAAACAAGAAATCGACTAAAAATAAGGATTGGACGCACCCTAATTTATACACAATAATATAATGAATATTTTGAGTTGAGTTTCAACATTGTGTAAGACAGAAGGAAGTACGAGAAAGTGTATCAATTTTTCAAGAAGAATATAAATGGAATAGTGTAAGTGATTAACTAGCTGCATTAGTACTTTTTTTAGAACTGATTCAGGAGTTTTTCTGTCTTCGTTTAATTCCATGGAGGTTGGAAAATATAGGGTGTCTTAAAATCGTGTCTTAAATTATGGAGAAATTGAAGTTAACAATGGAGTATTGTGCTTAAAAAGAGTTCTTCTAAAAGGAGTAATATTATTTAAAGTAAGATTAAAAACTGTAGACGAAGAATGAAATGGTGTATTCTTGCAGGGGTGACGCGAAAGCAAATGAAATCAAAAACCAGATAGACCCATTCTATTCATCATCCACTTATTTTCACATTTTTGGCATTATTCGGGAAGAGAAAACGATGGTTACTTCGCTCTTGTCAACTCAATGCTTGTCATGATAATTTAACAAAACCTCGTTCATTATCTTTTTCATGTAATCATCATCAAATATAACGATCTAATCGATGATGTTACACAGTTACTTCGATTCTCATGCATTGTTCAAGTGGATTTAATTTCACCTATCGTATGCAAATCTCATCCTCAACTAAATTGTATTTGATAAAATTGACTACTTTTGAGTTTTGGACTTTTAATTTCTATTTTCTAATATAAAAGATTTATTCTTAAGGATAAGAGCATTTGCAATAAAATTTGTCCTTCCATCATCATTGGTAGTTTTTTTTGGAATCATTTACAAAGACTAAAGGGTTTAGCAAATTTTAATCATCCTAGTGATGAGATCGATTTTTGAAGATTGTTGAAAAAAATTTGTTGAAGGCAAATAATTTGTTGCATACTTCACAATTTTGATACAAATTTAAAAACTCCATTGCGGGGATATATCCTCTCATTTATCAGTTTATTGCAACTGCATACAACGACTGGAAGACCCAACAGTCGGATCGGTACCATACAAAATGCTCCTGATGAATTAATCGAACGTAAATTAATCCTATCAGTACCACTCAAATAGACAAATGCAATCTTATTATAAAAATTCTAATAATCAAATATCCTCTTTGTTTCATCTTATTTGATAGGATCTTCTGCTATTGATTTTGAATTGTAGCAGTTGAATTGAGTGACTAGCTGAATGAATCGTGAACAGCACACGAAAACTTGAAATATCCTATTTGCTACATTATAATTTTCGTTTCGTTTATTGAATAAGGAAGAAAGCTCGAACTAGTTAGAGTTTCGTCATAATATGGTTAAGAGAAAAATTTATCGTAAAATTTTGAACATTTCCAGAAGACGAAATTTTTGGAAATATGACATCTCATGGAGCAAGAACTCCAATTCCTGGACTTCGTTTCTTGAGGAATGAATTCAGCGCGTCGGAGAATGATGACTGATAAAAATTGATAAAAATCATTTTTTTATCTTATGCTTATTTGAAAAGATTACCGCTTGCCGATGATTCTTAGCGAATTCGTTATGTTATTTTTGACATTCATAAATGCGAAACCTAAAAATAAACTGAAATCTCAATTACGCAAAACAATGTTCAGTTTTCAAACGTTAAGCTCATAAATAGAAGCACATCCACTTTCATTCAGTTCAGTCCAATATTTTTGATCGATCCATTTTAACTTATTTTTATCACTTAATAATTTGTCCAGTTAAACCCTCAATTTCCAATGAGTAAATGAAAGAGGCATATTGTCAAACAAATAAATGAATTCCTCATAGAAAACGAACTAAATTATGCAGTGAAACTTGAAGGATTCGATTCCCACTAATTCTAAGTCCACATTTGAAGGTTCCGTGAGGAATTCATTTATTTGTTTGAGAAAATATGCTAAGCACTAACAACTTTTTTTCATTTTAATTAGTTTGCGTTGCCGGTAATTTAAAGTATGATTTGAAATACAAATTATGATTTTTTATAAATTAAACTGATAAATCGAAATTTTTCATCAAAGTAAATAATTAGTACTATCTATAGAAAATAAGCTAAACAAGATGAAATTCCAATTTAAAGGATAATAAGCAATTATAATTAACACGATAACAATAAAAAACATTGATTACATTGGTAACATTGAAAATGCACTACCTTCCTATTATCAAAATGAGCACATGCAAATTTATTTTCTTGGGCTAAGTGAAACTATTTCGGTGGCGTTATATGAGAATTTCTTAAAAAATTGGAGTTTTTTGTTCATTTTAAAATAGATGCCAAAGAACTATGAATGGATGTAATTCTGAATTAGACTGATCAAAAATTCCATGTTCTTTACATTTCATTACCAGAGAAGAACAGTACGGTCCATAAACTGCATTTTCAGAAAGTTTCATCAATAAAGAAGAATCCTGTGATAAGAAATCCTTATTTAAACCTTCCTCAGTAACTTCCTGAAGCTATTTGCTTCTGTCAAATTTATTAATTCCCCTTCCTCCGTAACTTCCTGAAGTTACTTGTCAAATTTATTAAAAGCTTACTTCAATTCAGACTAATTATAAACTCCGTATTTCCAGCGACCTGTGAATTCAAAAATTCACAACACACCGGGTGGACCTTGCTTTCGTACGACATAGGTCGGTTCTTTCTCAAACATCCTATCAAATCGCGTTTTCATGTAATTTTGAACAACTTCCTCTTTATGCAACATTTCCTGGCTTAATTGACCATTCTTTTTCATTTGCCTCCACTGATAACGATTCAGCGGATGTTCATTGCCATAGCATTTTTTAATGAAAGCATATAACCTACAACCAAATTTTGTATAACTTTCTCAATTTTTAAAAAAAAGTATATCTGCGAAAAGTAAACTTAGACCCTCGTTTCTTCTCATATTAAAAAAACTGTTGACAAATTAAAATTTTCTCGCCTTAATAAAACAACAAACCCAATGGTATAAACAAGTACGACAGCAGCAGCTTTCACAATTAATCGGTCTTTCCAGTGTCGACTTATATAATGTACATTGTATAGCAACCTGCTCCACGAAATGCCTATTCTTGATTTTGGCTTGAGATACGGTACCCGTCGTGATTCGTCAGCAGTTGTAACATGTGGCTTCCGATGATGTTCCGACATAACCCAAAATAAAACAATTTTTCAGACTTCTCAAAAATTACCACTTTATATCTGGTATTAATTAAGAGCCAGAGAAATGAAAGCTGACAATTCCAATGCGAAATGCATTGTACATGAGAACAAGATTCTTCTGCAAAATTACGTTCTTCTGCATAAAATTTTTTTCAAAAATCTCAAGCTCGTGATCATTTTCGGCTCATAAAAGTGTCATAGAAATCAATCGCTAACGACGGAACGAACATTTCAGTGGAAATAAGGTGAACATACACAACTTGCTTTGAATGTATTTAACTTTGCACTAATGCCTAGTTTATTATTAAATAAGACTGGATTTTAGTTTTCATTCATTAATAAACTAGGCCAAGTGCTAAAAAATAACAAGCAGTTAGAAAAAAACAAAATGCTAGAAAAAAAGAAATCTGAGGTACAAAGAAAAATCATTTATAATAACAAAAAAACTGTAATGGAATACAAAAATGCAGAAAATTGCCTTGTAAATTACGGGAACGCTTGAATAATAAAAGGATAAAAGTTCCCAAACAAAACATAAAACCAGTGAATAGTGAGAGACCACTAATAATAGAACTACAAAGAGTTAATACACTGAGATAAATACATATGATATAATATACAAATACATATGAAACTACAGTGAGATAGGATATATTGATATAAACAATTATGCTATTAGATGCAAGACTGCAGCTTTCAAAATGAAGTGGCGTATGATATGCTATCCGTAGCAATCATCACAAAGGACATCTCTGAAAGTCAAAAAATAAACTGTAAACTTGTATGATGATGGCAAATATGAATGAATGGAAGAATGGGTGAGAATAACCAATAATGATACTCTTCAAGAACATAAAATTGTTTCTTCTCAATTATTTCTTCTACGCGCTCTCTTCATTCTTGGTTCATTTCTGTTTGTTTTTGATTGAGCATGGTTTAATTCTAATGTACGACCAGCACGTTTATAGTTAATATTTACATACTCATCGATATGATTCCGAAACTTTCTTCGTATTCCATCCGCACACATATAACGAATCTTCCCAAATACTGGTCTATTCTAAAAAGATATTAATTCGAAAAAAATGGTCCCGGAGTAGATACTACACTTTGCATATTCGTATTCATATTCTTTTTTTTAACACTTTCATTACAAAGCAGTGAGTACAAACCGCATGAGCCCGATCGTGCATGCCAAAATTCCACATAACACCACAGTAGCCATTAGGATCCCGTCCATCCAACTCATATTTATCATTTTGTTCCATAAGAAAAGCGTAAGCGCATTCATAATCAGGAGACCATTCGATCACTTTTTTCGCCCAATACATACGAAGATAACCCGACATCTGCCAAAGAGTAGCATTTCATTAGCGATTTTCAGTTAGTTCTGTGAAGGATGAATTGACTTGAAAACATTGGATTCTGATTTAAACAATGATTCAAAGCAGCAAGCCAACAAATTTCATAACTGAACTGTGCTTGAAAATACAAATGAAAAAAGTTTGATACTTTATGAGCGAACACAAGTTCAAATTGTGCCGCGTTCCAGTAAACATCATGCGTACATCCTTTTTCTAGCTCTTTGTAGCTATAAATATTTTCCCGTTTATCAAGACGATGCTCATCCATCGTTTTTTTTGCCCATTCTGGCAAACAATCAAACTAAAAAAAGCAACAAATGTGATTTCTATGTGGTTGATAGTTTACCGCTACCAACCAAAAATCTCTTTACCCCAAACTAAATCATACTGTGTCGTAAGTGTCTCTGTAGAAGTAAACAAAGTTATGCGCTAGCTCCCGCCGAACAACCAATTCTTCCAAAAATGCATCTGAAGAATAAAACACTTCTATCATATAACTTTCTCGCTAAACAGAGATAGCATTATAGAACAGAAAGCGCAATTTTTTTTAATGCCTCAAATTTTAATCAAATTCTACCAGCAACAAAAAAAGCTAGGAACAAGCTTTTCTTTGTCATATGCGCTTAATTGTTGGAATGGATCATTCCCATAGAAAAATTACCTTTGGCAGATCTTGGCGCTTTAGACTGTTTGACTTCCGAAACGACCATAATAGGATTCAACATGCCAAAATGGATATAAGGTGAGAGTGAACTCTGTTTTCCACTGTTTGGGACATTCCTGTTTGGGACATTGAAATGTAATGCAATTAAGAAGCAGAATAGATAAACGAAACTCGTATTAAAACATCGGATTCTGTTAATAAAAAAAAAGAAACAAACCTTTCCTTATCATATGAGCTTAGATTATTAGCAATGAAATAGTCCAGGACTTGCCGCGCAGCATCTTCGCCACCCTTTAATATACTGCTTGTTTTGCAGTCATCAACAGCTTTTCTATACTCTGATGAAATATCCATACATTCCAAGTCATATTCTACTATACTGAAAAAATACCAGTAAAGCATGTAAGTGCAAACTTCTCAGTTCTTCAAGCAGTTTCTTGGATTATTAATTAGTCAATCAGTATAAAAGAAAATTCCCGGCTTTGTAATGTACAACAATGCATGAGTCCAGTACTTGTCTAATTGTATTATTTTTGGTTCTTGTCCATATCAAAAATATCAATCGAACAATTCATATCAAACAAAAAAAACTTAATAAGCATATATTCCATGACTCAATAACTACATCTCCAAAGTAAGTATATTTTCCATTACGCACCTCTTCCATGACTCACAATGAATTTTTGGAATAACATTCCATTTTTCACGAAGAAAATCGTCAAGGAAATGCCACACCACTTTCCGAATTGTATTAGCATTGTAAGCTGGTTTATTGCATAAGACCTATAAAATCGCTTATATTTGAGGATTGTTAGCAATCATACTATTTCCAATAAATTTTATAAGGTTGGAAGAATTCAACATCTAGAAAAAATCGTCTATCTGTTTGAGAAATCGATACAAAAAGAGAATTGAATTGCAACGATATCCTGAACAGAGACATTACAAAACAAAGATTGCTGATACAATGACTAAAAAAAGTAACGTAAATTAAATATTACCGTCACGGGTATAGTAACATTTCCTTCAACTTTTGTGAATCTGCGACATTTCATTACGAGTTTATCATTAAGATTTTCGTCAAAACTGCGATCTTCGCGTAAATAAGCAGCATCTGTGACCACTTCGCAAGCTTTATCAGATAGTTTTAAAACAATTTTTATAGCTTCCTGATCACTGTTTACCTTCACAACTAGCAAAGGTACATGCAAACGCGATAGATTATTTTCCAAACAGTTCAGTCCTTCCAAAAGAAATTTCCGTTGTGCCAAATTGCACCGGTCTGCAACAAATGATTATTAAATTATTAAAAAATGATAAAAATCATACTGAAAAAGTGAATATTTTTTAAATCCATGGTGAATTATAAAATTAGTGGTTAGTTGAAATGATAATGTCTTCAGAAAACTACCTCGTTGATAGATATATGTGGCAAGAATAGGTACTCCATGTTCATTGGCCTTTTGCGATGCGAATGAAAATGACGGTAATTGCTGGGAACGAACACACCGAATCAAAAGAAGAACATACTTCCCCGCAACAATATTTTGCTTATTCAAAGGCTGTATGCGGGAACTTTGCATCCTATAATACATCCACAACCATATGTACTCATGAGCTGTGTACTCCGCCACACAATATGAACATTAAGAATATTAACCTAAATCAAATTAAACCTACTCCATGTTTATCAGTGATATATAATCATTCACCAGTCTCTTCCATCTTCCACGTTGACAACATGTAATAGAACAGCTCACTTTGAAGGAAAAATTCCACGGTGATACTTGTGGCAGGAAGAAGCCAGTGATTTCCGAGCCGGATGTTCGTAACTCTTTCTCTCTCTCTCTTTCTTTCTTTTCGATATTATTCCTTCATGGCAATGAAGCAGACAGTTTTCTCTTCCATAATTCAGGATTTGGATCAAATAATAAAAGATGACTCATAATAAGAGATGACTCTTGTCCGTTGATGTGAATCCCGGCATATGAGCCTGAAGAATGTCTCGTCTTACAACACTGAATCAAGTGCAGACATTTTTTTTATTTCGCTTTTATAAGAAACAGTTTTAACTTTTATCATTGTCATCATCATAATCATCATTATACAAAGAAAGAGGTTATCAGTGAAAGAGAGAATGATAAGAGTGTAAATACAATGGGGCACTTGGAATGCACACATGAACAGAATGGTTGGGAATTGACTGTAGATTTTAATTGAAATAGATATAAATAATTGTATTCGAGGTATTAATTACAAATGCCTCGATCTGCTCGACAATCGGCTCCAACCACCGCCATAAATAATAATCCATTTTGGCATACACATAGTTGATATTGAGCATTCCCTCGCGCATCACTTTTCGGTAATCTAGGCATTACTATATTGCTTGATTCAAGACGAAGTTCACCCTGAAAGATCTCTTCATATTATCAAAGAGCGGAAATATCAATTTGCGAGGAGTAATGGATAGAAATGGCATTTGTGAATGTTTGATAATTATCATTAACTGACCTGTTTGGAATTTACGGTAATGTCAAGAAGAGACGACAATTGGATTTCACCAGCTGCACTGGTAATCTCAATATCTTGACCTGCTTCTAGGTTTAGATTTCTAGTTGGTGATTCCAAGCTAGAAAATGTCATTCTGCATATAATGGATATATTTCTATCATTATTCATTATCTTAACTCTCGCTATCTCAGTTAATGCTTCCTTCTAGCTACGGCCAGAAGTTGGACATGTGATTTTGCAAGCTTCAAAGTTTATTATGTAAAATTTGGCGCCGTTGCGGTATTATCATCATCTCAAAGTTAAACAAAACTTGCATCATTTTTCCTTTTTGATTTCATCATATAGCTTTTTTGAATATAAGTTAGAGAATTCAACTTATAATATCTGAATTGTTAATAAGCAGACCTTAACGGACTATCAGATTCCGGACGAATGAGCGCTGTTTGTATAGCTCCTTCGAAAACGCTTCCACCATCATCTGAAATTCATGTAGAATATCGTTTTTTCAATCTTCTTTCTTCACTCAGCAAATTAGGTTGGGCTTTTCAAATCAACTAATATAGGAAATAAATGAAATATCTGTTCTTTGAAAAGAGTGTCGACATAACTTATAAACTACAATACCAAGTATTCGAAGATTTTCAAGTTTGAGACCAATTTCATTTGGTTCAGCAAAAAATAGTAATTTTCGGGAATTGTCGTAAATTTCAAAACGATCACATACTGCCTCCATACGTCCATCTTCGAACATATTAAGCGTTGCAGTCTGATATCCCGACATATTTCGAGCTTTCATAAAGATACCACGGTATGAATCGATTGTTAACGCTTCATTCTATAATTCCATTAAATGCTTAATTTTTTCCATTTCCATGATGAAGTTACTGAATTGAATTGTGGATCTAATATAAAAAAATTTACATTATAGCAAAATATTAATCTATTATTCGAAAAGTTTTAAACATTACGTGAAACAAAAAAAAGCTTCAACTTACGTCTGCCGTGGAAAGCTCTGCAAAATGAACAGGACGATCGAACTGCGCTTCGCCCATTACTCGAATATTCTCATCTTCAATTCTCATTGTACCCATTCCGGTCTACAGTACAATATGAGGGAAATAATATTTAAACGGATGAAAATACTATTATCTATACAAATATAAACTGCGCCATTCTTAATAGATTAAAGGACAGATAAATGAGTAATATATGAAAGAAAAGAAGATACCGTNACAAATATAAACTGCGCCATTCTTAATAGATTAAAGGACAGATAAATGAGTAATATATGAAAGAAAAGAAGATACCGTGGAAATATCGAGGACAGACATAATCCATACAGTTAATGACAAATTCAATAGGATGGCAATAGTAAGCGCACAGATGAAACAGTACAAACATCGCTTTCGCCAACCATAAACACCAACTCTAAAATTGTAAAGATTACATTGATCTCATCCTCCAATCTATTAAAAGTATTAATAATCATTGATGGAAATAATCGATACAACTTACCTCAGCAGTTATTTCCTAATATTTACTCTTTGGATAACTTCGAATAGATGTTAATATACCAATCGTTAATTAGTCTGACGCTCAGTAATTTGTATCATTTGATCTTAGCTGACAAATATGTAAATCAATCTTCTTAATCACCTATCAACTATCAACGATTTCCAAAATAAACTTACTATTTTACTTAAATGCTTGTCTACTTCTTTCTATTCTAAATTGCAATTTGCAATCATTTTAGGTTTTGTGACAGTGTATATATACCTGTAAATATCAGATTCAGTAAGTGGTTTAACATCAGAATGAATAATAGCGGTGGAATATGGTGGTACGATAGCACCTTGTAATGGTGGAGGTGAACGATTAAAATTATATTCACTACGGCCCCAAACTGGCTCAGCAGTTCGTTGATAGAGAGGAAGACGATTGATTATATCGGTGTTCATCTGCAAAGATTTACATTACTTCATACTGCGTAGCAGACATTTGCTTGATTTATAACAATTCAACTGTAAACAACAAATCGTCTAAGAGTTATCCAACACTATTATATGCAATTTTCTCCTCCACGAATTTATTATCTTAATCATATGGAGGTATCATTTATCTGGCAGCTAAATGACATTCTTCTTTAATTATTTGGAAATTTCTTGATGTGTAAAAAAATTACAAAAATAAAAAAGTAAAATTTTAAATTGATTTTTTTTATCTAAGATATAACTAAAGGTAAACTTTATTATCTGTACTGAATTATATCCGTAGTTAATATATCCATTTTAAGTCATATTCTAAAATTGAATAAAATAGTGAACTTTATATATTTACCAGTAATAAACAACTTATAGATGTATGATAATCACCGGATGAAGATGAATAATAGATGTAGAAGGAGGATATTTATTCATATCTAGTTTCTTTAAATCGTAAAAAAAGAAAAATTGCAACATAAGATGAAGGAAGAGAACGAATAGCATAGATATTAATTATTGATAATATTAATTGATTCACTTAGAAAGAAGTCCTGAAATTGAAATACTGAAATTGAGCAGAGCAAATAATTTCAAGTTAATAATAAATAATTAAACTATTTAATAAATAAATTTAATAATAAATAAATAATAAAAAGTGATCAAAAAAAAAATTAAATCATCTAGGAAGTATTTGATGAAGAATGATATATTTTGAAGTGATAACTCTCATATGATATCTTAATGAACCAGAATTCTAGAATATAGTTCTATAGATGAAAAGGGTTGCTGCTAAAAGGTTATAAATTTTGCAACAAGGAATTAATTCATGCTATCAAATGAAAATGAACAATAATAATAGATGATAGGTTATTGCATGCAATAAAATGCAAGTTAATAGCTTGCAATATTGATTGCATATGAATAAGATGTAGAAACAGACATATTTATAATATATATTTTGAAGCAGTTAATTGATGCTACTATCACGGTCGACCCTTCTCTATCTTCCAGTTCTCTCTCTGCTGTATCATTTTTATCATCACAGTTCGCTCTTTAGTCTGCTTTTCAGACTTACATCCCTTTACACATTGTTATCGTTACTTTAGTTAGCTTAGAATTTTCTGCAAGTTGAAAATTCAAGCAGCACCTTTTACCCCTCAACAGCTGCTGTTCCTGGTTGAGCAACGGATAATGATAGAAATAATATGAATGATATCATATCATTTTGTTAAATACAGTTAAATAGTGTATTAAGAAATGATAATTGAAAAATAATGCATATATGATTTTGCTAATCAATCAGTAGATTAAAATATCCCATGAAATGATAAGTTGAAATATGATTATCTTGCGGTAATTTGATCTAATGCGGGTTTTTTTTTTCCTAAGGCTAATTAATAGTGAACTATATAAAAGATAGTTATCACTATAAAATAAAAATATAATTTTCAAATTAAAATATTTTTGAACAAATGCAAATATCATAGTTATCTGATAAGATCAATGTTCAATACTCTGGAACTCTAAATTTTGTTATTGAACAGAAGATCTTAGATAGAGTAGTACATTCCTCTCTCTGATAACATTATTGTTAACAATAAAATTTAATTATCAGTAATTTTTGCATATACTTTTAATGTTTTAATTTATCAATTAAATCTTCTAGAGAATTTGCATTTAACGATATTTTCTTTTTTTTAATTAATAACATTATAAAATTTCAGTTTATTACAAGATTTCATGATTATCACCAACTATTTTTAATTTTATATGCTTATAGAAACCTTTAATTTAATACTCTTTCATTAATTAAGAAAAAATCTTAAGCTAATTGATAAGAGAAATGAAGCAAGTTCGAGGCACTTTTTGTTTCCGTTAAGTATGGAAGTTTTTGATTTATTATCAATTTAAAAAATAAGTTAAAGTTTTAAAAAGCTAGCGTCTCCCGAAAATATCATTCGTTTTGCAGAATACGTCAATTAAAAAAAGTACATATTTCTAGAAAGATGTAAGCTACGGCGAAATTTTTCGTTAACTCATTGAAAGAAAAGAAATGAGATCAATAGAGTAAATTAATTAAACAGCAAATTTAATGGGATGATTTGATGGATCAAAAGGAAGGGTTCATCCAGGACCGTTTACCACATCTGACTTTATTTTGTGATAAGTTGAACTCAGATGGTACTTTATGCAGGGTCAAAGATGTGAATATTCATTTTTGAAACTTCTACTACAATTGCAATCTTGATCCCAATCTTCTGCTAATCGATTGATATAATGTTCAGTTGATTGCTTAGTCATTAATCGAAATGTTCCATTCCCAAAGTTCAACATTAAGGTATGTTGGATGTTATTTCTTTTGTATTGCTTTATTGGAAATCAGTACATTTTGAAATCAAATAATCCGTGAGTTTCATTCACTTTTCTTTGCAATAATGGTGACACCATTTGAAGTAACCTTATACTATTTTCAAACCATTTTTTGTCCGGATTTAAAACCGTTGCGTAAAATTATAAGTATAAATATGCATTAAGTACAAAAGTAAATTACATTAATATAAGCATAATAATATATCGATATATTTAATAGTATCTTATTTCATAGTAATTAAAAATAACAACAGCGAATACATCAATACATATTCATCAGTGGACGTTCAGTAATACTATGTAAGATTGATAAAAGGTATGCAGGGATGTTCACATCTTCAGGAAATTCAAAAATGAAATTACATTTATTACTCCTTCCGACCATATCGTTAATGAATAAGAGAGCACATTAAAACTAATCTGTACGTGAGAACAGAATAATCACAGTGATCACCTACTGTAACTCAATGTCTATCATCGTCACTCAGCGTTACCTTAGATTTAGTGAACCTGTTCAACAGGAGTTGAAGATAATTGGCAGTTACGACTGATGGCGGTACTGAAGGGTTCCCAGAAATACTGAAGAGTACGTTTTTCGAGAGTTCAATTATCAATAATGTTTCTTAGAGATAGTACTGTTGAAGTAACTTGGAGGGTACATCCCTCCTGCCTTCCTCTTTATGCCATATTTGGCTGACTTTTTGTGATGTTTGTGGGCGTTAGAGAGAAAGTTTTAATATTGTTTTCACATAATAGATTATCCTGCGAAAGAAAGGTTTAAATTTCTATGCTATAAACCAATGAAAAGAATTTTTGTTGCTTAGGATAGATAAAATTCTTTTCTCGAAATCAGGTTTTCTGTATAAAACGTTATAAAACGTTATTTTATACTGTTTCTTTATTGCTGAAAAAATTTTTACAGTTTTGAGTTTTTTTTGGTCGCTATGGGTAAAGCTAAATTGATGAAAAAAGATGCGCCAAAGAGAAATGGAAGTATGCAAGGTGAGAATTGTGAAAAATGTCTTTTCAACAATTATGAAATAGAATGGTGCATACAGGTCGCTTATTTTTAAATTACAGCTCTTCCGTTCAATACTGATCGTGGACAACATATTTTGAAGAATCCGGGAATTATTAATGCCATTATTGAAAAGGTTGATTCATTTGAACATATTTTGATACATCTTTGAAAATCATTGCGTAAGATTTGAAACGAAATTAGGCCTGTCACCACCCTCGTTCTATGATACAATTCTTTCATAATAGATTTGAGACCCTTTCGCGATCATTTTATAAAAAGAAGGGAGGGAATATTATCAGTAATCCTGTTGCTTTGATTGAGGACATATTAACTTACGATATATTATCACGAATTTTTTGAACTTGAAAAACTATTCAACTACTTTGCAGTCCGCAATCAAAGCAACGGACACTGTTTTCGAAGTTGGATCTGGTACAGGTAATTTGACAGTCGCGCTAATGGAAAAAGCTAAAAAGGTGATCGCATGCGAGATTGATCGGAGAATGATCGCTGAACTGAAAAAGCGAGTGATTGGAACGTGAGCGATTTCCTCCACAATAATTGTTTTTGATTTTTTCTATCCATTTGTTTATACATTTTTTTTCCAACTGTTTGATATGTGTTGTGATTGTTCTGACATTTGCAGATCATATCAGCAAAAACTGGAAGTGAAGCAAGGAGATGTGGTAAAAATGGAATGGCCTTTTTTTGATGTATGTGTTGCTAATCTACCGTACCAGATCTCATCGCCTTTTGTATTTAAAATGTTATTGCAGCGACCCTTACCTCGGTGATTATTTAAATTGTTAGGTTATGATCAGAAGATGGACAGCTCTTTAATTTTTTCAATCCTGTAATTAAAGTGTGATGTGAAATTTCGGTTTTTATATAATGTACTTCAGGTATGCTGTATTAATGTTCCAAAAGGAGTTTGCAGATCGATTATTAGCAAAACCTGGCAATAAATTATACTGTCGGTTAAGTGTGAATGTACAATTTCTCGCACAAGTAATGATTTCTGTTTGTTTGAGATTACGTTTTTGCAGACATGAAAAAATTGGCTTATTTATAGTTAACATGACTTTCGCAGAATTTCGATCCATTAAAGGACGGATTTTATGATTCCCCATTATTAAACACTGCTAATTAGAACTTCTTTTGTAGGTAGAACATTTGATGAAAGTAAAGCGAACAGAATTCCGGCCACCACCAAAGGTTGATTCAGCTGTCGTACGCATTGCACCAAGAAACCCTCCCCCTCAAATCAATTTTCAGGTTGGTTCTTTCCTAACATGTAGGAAGTATTCCATGTATAGAATGATAATCATTTGATAATACATGAAGCTGTAAAAGAATTCATTTACACTGTGTGCCATTATATAAGAAAACCTACTGAACAGATACAATTACATAAAAATTACGATGTCTTATATTTAAAAAAATTTGACTTCAAATTTGTACCTAATTATCCTTTGGTGCCTATTTTATTCTTATGGTTTTAAACAGTAGGAACTTCAAAAGTCATTAAGAATGGGCGTTTTTGCACTATTTTGCTAAGACTTTCAGGAATGGGATAGTCTGCTCAGGATTATTTTCCTCAGGAAGAATAAAACATTATTGTCACTATTTAAAAATAATCAGGTGTGTGACTCACTGGAAAAGAGTTACAGGGCCCTCTGCAGTATCAAAAATAAGGTATGTTAACCTTACCAATAAAGAAGTCATTGAGAATTAAACTTTTTTTATCACTATTGAAGTCAGCTATTGTTTTGCTTAGAAATTTGTTTTAGATAGTCGAAAGTCAATTTAGCATGAAAGATAAAGTGGAGCATATTATTGTTGAAAGCGGTTTTGCATCAAAACGTGCAAGACAGATGGATACGGAAGACTTCCTTTCGTTGTTGCTAGTCTTCAATAAGGAAGATATACATTTTGTTTAATGAACTGTTAACACGGAACAGGTATTGAATAATTCAGGAAATCTCAGTGTCACTTTATGATCGATCGAATCTGAATGCACTTCTTATAAATAAAAGTGTTCATTTTGTCTGTGGTACATAATATCATTTCTTGCTTCCTGTATTTATATTACAAATCTTTTCTTCCTTATTTTTCTCCGTTATGAATTTCGTCTTTATTCAACATATTTGTCGAAAAAAAATTTAACGAGAACAACTAAATATTCAAACCGAAGTCAGTGACAAATGTTGAGCTCGAAACCTGAATCCAATACTATTATATATATATATATATATATTTTGAATTCTAAAGCTACTTAGGCAACATGTACTGCTGAAGTGGTTTATAATTGTATAGCTACCGACACTACAGAATTCAATTTACAGACAATACTTCATACAGAAGTTATAACGAAGTCAGTAATCAGTCTTTTGTCTCACTTCCTTTACATCATTAGATTTTGTTTTAACGGCAACGAAGTGCTCCTTCTCGGGCGAATTGGTCTGCTTTTTCGTTTCCAAATATTCCTGTATGCCCAGCAACATGTTCAAAACGTACCTGGAACCACATAAGCTGAATGCATACAATGGATGGAATTTCGAGAATCATTTTTATGACTTTTCATTTCTTTCCTAATATTCACCGTATATCTAGCTATCGATGAATATTTATGGATTGTTTAAGGGTCAGTTGTTGTGAAAAAAAAACATGATATTTGAATGTACTTATATAATTTAGTTAATTGAAAAAACGCTGCAATGAACTGTCCATTAGTCTTGGCAGGTGTGATGTTGTCGATAAGAGCCACACTGCCATAAACTCATATCATGTTGGTGTCTCGATTGTTACATTATGTTTTGGTCTTAGCTCTAGAGAAGAGAACTAAGGAAAGAACATTCTCAGTAAATAGATCATTGAGCTATGGTAGATTTCGTTTCATATGCTTAAGCGCTTGACACATTAAAATATTTTTCTGTATAAAGGATAAAATATGAAATCTTCCATTCCCAGATAAATATAAGTAATATACTACTGAACTTTTTAATCCGTCTGAAATACACACGCACTACTCATTTTTTAATGCTAATAATATTTTGATATTTACAAAATATCTACTGACATTTATGTTTTTGAGCAAGTCATCCAACTGAATAATGAGATCTTGATTCTTAACATCTGATCCATTTGATGTTTTCCAACTGTTCTTTCGCCAGCCATGAATCCATGAATTCATCGTTTGAATTAGAAGGTTGGAATCTGTACGAACAATAAGCTGCTGATACTTTCGTTGGATTGCCTGAACATGTTAAAGATGGTAAACTCTTCTACACATTAGAAATATCGAATTTTCAATTCCCACTATATATAAGACGACCAATATTAAAATTGAAATTTTATAACGATACCGTTTGTATAGCCCTTATAACTGCTGTAAATTCGGCCCTATTATTCGTAGGTGGTCCAAGGAGTGGTTCAGAAATGTTATCAACATGTCGTTCGCCCCAATAAACTCCAATTCCAACAACAGCTCCAGCACGACCATTGGAGAAACAAGCACCATCTGTGTACACAACAGGAACTCCTTCCCATATATTCTGTTCTTGAGAAATTGACTGCGAGCTAAAAAACCAATTTAATGATATTCATTTTTTACGAATTCATTTTACAAGTAAAAGATAAATCTGCCCTTTTATGACACTAATGTCCTGAAACAATGTAACGTACCAGAATTATTCAAACATTCTATTCAAGACTCCTATCTTATAAATCTTCATATGTCTCTTAAAAAAATTGGCAATACCAGAAATTAATCTTTCTATTTAATCCGTAAATGTCAAAAGCTTGCGAAATCTTTGAGTTCAGCGACGTATATACCTAGCTAGCATTCAAGATTTAAACGTAAAGTATAAAACATACGATGGTAATTTCTGCAATCCTTTCATTGAAGGCAATTCACATTGCGAGCTTTTTCCAGTTCCTATTCGATAAAAAAGAATACAATATTTATTAACTTTTCTCACGCTACTAACTTTTAATTTTATAATGGAAGGTTTTAAAAGTACATGACACATGCTTCTCGGCAATTTTCTGCTTTTGAGATGAGCTTTAGTATATGGGAAGAATTTCAGATTGAACATCCATATTTGCCTGTTGGTACCGCTTTTTTCATCTAATATGAAAAGATTTCTCATAATTGTCTTATAGAATGAAACTGAAGTTTATACCTGTATGGCCAGTGGTGCTATTTCTTAAAATGAAAGCGAGCGCATCACTTTGTGCAGCAAACTTTTTATACCTAAAAATAAACTCAACTGTTCAGACATTACTCGCTTAGAGCTACATAAGGTTGAAAGTTGCTGAAATAAGAGTTTTATCATGCTTTAAATCATCATACCTAGCGCAACAAAACAACAACATAATCATTACGCATGTATCATTTTTAACAATTTAGGTTAAAGGAGAAATACCAGCCTAGCATTTTGATATCCTCTCACTTGTCTTTCACATTCAGGCCAAGTTTTGTAGACGCCAGTGCAACGACCTCGAGCAACAGCATAATAGCCAACTTTCATCTCTAATTTCTGTCAAGCACCAGGTAGCAGTGGAACATAAAGGTCGATTTAAATGAACTATCCTCGCTGATACTTTCAAAACAGCAGTCCTCAAATCGTCGATTTTAAAACGAGTACGCACAATGCTTATTTTATGCCATACAGAAAACCCAATGCAAAAACACAGTTCATTCCGCACTGGATCGCAACCAAATTATCCCTCCTAAATGCAATACCAATTTGAATGATTGTAAAAACTTTTTGGCTTTAATAGAAAACTAATCGCCCTTGTCATTCAGTTTAAACAGTTAAACTGAAAAGATTAGGCATTTTTGAAAGTCCCAATTTTTAGTGCATTCTTGACATTGGATCAACAACAGCACAATGTATGTCAAAACAGGTTACTCTGTAATGCCACAACAGGCTTCAGATTTTAGCAAAAAAATTTATCTAACAGTAACAAATGTATTCCAATGAGAAAAAAATTAATGGAGAATTCGGAGTATATTTACTGTTAATAAAAAATTGAATAATCCACCAAATAAATGTACCAATGAAGAATTGGTCAAAAACACAACTGCATTAAGGAAACAAAAAGACAAAAAAGCAAGTGCCAGTCGATACTAAAGCCTGAATTTGCAGTTCTTGATCATTTTGGTTCCATACAACTAATGAATTTCTGACCAATTTTATACGACTTAAAAACTTTTTTGAAAAGATTCTTTTTTGATAAAAAAGCAAAGAAAAAAATTAATATGTTCATGACAGGTTATTAGGGTTATTAGGGATAACAAAAGATATATAAAAATAGAGCCGAAAGAAAAAACAGAGCATTTGTGAAAACATTTGTGAAATATTACAGGATTATTTGTGAAAACGTTACCAATTTCCATACAATGAATTACAGAACCCGTTGAAAAAAAAAGCCTTTAGAATTAGAAGCTTTATTATTACACTTACAATCGTTTAGAACAAACTCTTATTAAACACAAATACTAAGAAAACCTATCGAAAATAGTATCTCGATATAAAATAATCGCATCAATACAATGTAAAATTTCTTTTTAGGCATTCGCTTTAGTTTCTTTTTTTCCTGATTTCTCCTTCACACCATCTGTCACATCATCCGGGCTATGAGCCCTCTTACGATCTTCTACAATTTTCAAACGCATTTTTAAATCTAAATATATATCAAAATTAATCAAAATTGGCCGTCTTCTGCAACAATTGTGGAAAGACGAATACAAGTTATCTTTGATATTTTATGATAAATAGTTCAAAACGATTACCTGCTTCCTTTGTGTTTCTGCCTTCAACAAACAGCACCGCATCTTCTTCATTATCGAACTTCTTGAATTTGGCACCCTTGAAATCCTTCGTTGCTTCCTGGCATTCTTCCCATGTTTTGAATACGCCAGTTTTACGACCATGTGCAACAGCGTAGAATGCTGATCCTTTGTTAATTTGCTGAAATTTACTAAAAGAAAGTAAACCTGTTTGTAAAATTATATCAGACACAATAACAACACATTGCTTCAAGGACAAAGAGAACATAGGAAGCATTAATCGTATGTTTATTAATCAAGCAAGAATCGATGTTATCCTCGCCTCTTTCTTCTCTTCCGTAATTTCCGTCTCTTTTACTTCTTTCTCATTGTTATCCGCCGGTGTATTATGTGCTTCTGATTCTGAAATTACTAATTACATGCTCGATTTAACAGTCATTTTGGCACGATATCACTAAATCATCTTGCTCTCTTCTTGTTCTTTTCTATTTCTTTTCGTGTCGTCCACATAATTCCATTTTGTGAAGCCATTGGTTTGGTTATACATGCTTCCGTTATAAATGTCAGCTAACGGTCCACATCGTTTGAATGCCATTTGGTCAGTATTCAATCCATAAGAAGTAGTGATGATATTATGCAATTATTCTTATCAGCACCAAGCTATGTCGCGCCAAATTATTTTTTTATAATTTCGATAAATTAAGAGCATCACAACTGAAGCAGCCAATAGAGTGTTCTGAAATGACCATTACAGAATGCTCCCAAAAACTGTATAAATCCTAAGGAAAATGTAAGTAAAAACAAAACCTTTTGGGTTACCATCCTCTTCTCTACTCGAGTATTTCTTGTAATAAGCTTTTGCTTCATCCAGTTTCTCGAATTTCTTGTACAGTGGCTGAGGATAATCGGCTATCTGGAACTTCTTTATGTAGTTTAGTTATAAGCAAATTGAGATAAACAAGTTTTAGAATTTCTATTAAAAAAATGTGGGAACTTTTCATTCGATTTAAATAACAAAAGAAATATTTTTCTCACATGGTTTTTTACTTCATTGTAATCTGTAAATATTCCTACAACTTTTCCTCGAGCAACTGCATAAAATTTATCAGCTTTCTCATCCACTTCCACTGAAATTGCTTTTAAAGCAAGACTTATTTGCAATTTATTATTATCATTCATTATTATTATTAGTAACTTGAAACCTATAAAAATGGAAAATATATGAAGTTTATGCAATAATGAACGATGAAAGCTTATTGTGGAAAAGTATGTCATGCATAAACAATTAGTCATTCAATATATAAGATACTGCAAAACTCGACCAAATAATCTGCTAAAAGTTAAGCGACAACCAACATGAAACCCTTTCGGGTCGTCGGGCATTCACATATTCTTCAGCTTCCTCTTTTGTAGCAAATTTCTTATAAACCGGTTGAGGGAAATCCTTTATCTGGAAAAGTGAACTGAATCCACAATTAACGTTTTGGAATAATAACGATAATAAGGAAAAAGCCATAGTAAGATAAAGCGATGTTAGTTCAGAAAAGATATACCAATAATTTCAGTGATTCGAAAAAGAAAATCAATCAGTATTGAATATCTTACTACTTTCTAACTTTTCATTCAACGTTAACTACATACTATTTAAATCTTTAAATCCAGTATAAAAAGCTGCATTTAGAAAAGGCATGCAAGATTTTTTAAATAGTGACAAGTACGGGAAAACAAGCCTGTTCCTGAACATCTGCCCATTTCTCATATACACCTGGTATCTTGCCATGTCCCACTGCATAGAAGCTATGTTCAGCCATTACTGTTTATCTAAAAGTTTTCAAATAGTGAATATTTCTCAAGCAATATACAATTAAAAATGAGAACAATAAAGAAACATAAATGCTATTAGAGATTCACTTTTCTAAGTGGAAATGATACGGGGAGAGATTGTTGATTTCATGAACATTTTTCAGATTATAGAAATGCGAATATGTAAAGTATAATTAATATCCACAAATGATAAAATCAAACAGACAATCTTTCAGAAGCAGAGATTTGTGCTACCTTATAATCCAGTGATAAAAACAATTTTTTCAAAGTCGCCAAATTTTAAATTTCAACAAGCATAATGCATTTTAAAAAACAGAGAATTTGGAAGATTGGATGTGCTGAAAAATATGAGGAATACTGTAACTATTAAATAAATTGAAGGGAACACAAGCATTGATTCAAAAGTTCGTGTAGCAATTATGGAAATGTGAAAAGAGTAAAAAAATAACCACCATCAGTACTGATAGGATCTACATGACCTGTTTTAACGATCTTAAAATTAAAGAAGAAAAAGAAAATGAAACATTAATAGGAATGAATCAGCAATGTACATCTCATCAGAAATAAAAATATAAGAGAACACTGGAGGAGTGCAGCAATAACAATCTCTTAGAAAAACTGGGAATAGAGTATCATCGCTCGCCGTTTTTCCATCCTTTCAACACCATCCCATCCCATCGCATCCTATTCCACCCTATCCCGTTCAATCGAAATTTTCATTCTTTCTGCGCCTTCCTTTACTTAACATCGCAGTTCGTTCTCAAAAGATGCAATCAAAAATGTGCTTTATACATGTGCCAAAAGTTTCCTGAGTGTGCTGTTACGAGAAGGGTAACAAGACGAGAAGAGACGATCGAAGAGACAGATGAAAAATCCATCTTTCAGGTTCACAATACATAAAACTCTCATTCATCCTATTTTATTGCTCAATTTTCTTCCTCGTTTTCCTTCTATTCCTAACAACAAAACATTCACTTCTGAAGTGAATAAAAACCAAACTTGTAAATATTTCACTTGCCACTACCATATTTATTACCATATCGATATCATTCTATTACTCTTACTGTATTACAGGGAAATCAAATCCTGAGAATGATGCACTGCCACAATGGAATGGAATATTCAAATCTTATCGAAAGTCAAATATGAGGTTACTTCACATGAAATCATGCATAATACCCTTTCAAACATTATAATATCATACCCGCACTCCAAATTTACTCGTCAATATTTAGTATTATTTCGCGTGTTAGGAGCGTTTACGATTTGAACATGTGAAGCAGTCAATCTGGTGCCAAACGTTCAATCATCTTTTTTAAATTAATCTCAAACATCTTTATAAAACAAAATAAGAATCATTCCAATCAATAAACTTCTGGCAACAAGAAATAAATATACTTATTTCTGTATCATAGAAATCTTTGCTTCAGAGTTATAGAAGCATTTTCCTTCCTTACAAAAACTTACCGAAATAATTGAAAAAATAAAAATCGGTTAGCGAAAGCTCAAGCGAATATGGTACGTACAGGGAGATTTTACAGCTCAACTTGTCCAACCTTAAAATACTTAGCGTTAAATATTGTGGTTAGATCAGATGTTGTCATGAGGCGCTGCGTAGTTTTTGGTGCATTCCATCAGTTTGTCAAGCATACTTGTCAATTGCGTAAGGATTCAGAAAGCCACAGAGGGTCGGATGGTAGTAAAGTGACCAAACAATAATAACTTCTTTACTGAAAATTCTAAAAAATGTAAATTCGGTGCTTGATGTTTTCTAGATTTTTCTCCCATTCTAAATCCTGAACTGATCGTCATCCCCACTTAGCAAATTTTTTATCTTTTCAATTTGCCTTAAGTGCAAACCGATGAATATCTGCAAATGAACTGACATCGAGTTTTTGAATAACTTACCCTATGGTGGTATCATTGTGTCTGTTAGCAGTTCTAAGGCAACTAAATTTCTGACCAGGTACGTACCTTTACGGACTTATATTAAATTTATAAAAAGTAATGCGTTTTATCTAAGATCACTTAATAAATCCGAAATAAAGTGAATAGCAAATAATAAAATTATTAACGAAGAAATATAAAGTATGAAACACCATTACAACACAATAGAGCCAGAATGTAGAAAACTGTTACGAAAAAGAAATAAATTTCGAAACTACCCGCATCGACCTAACGCAATGTACTCATGTTATGATTTCATATAAGCACAATAACTAAGAATTAACACCGCAAACTGAGGAAAATTCACAACATTTATTACTATCAAATTCGTTTTTTATGGATTTCAATATTTGATGCGCATCTACAACTCTTTTACTTCTTAATATACTCATGAAAATATAACTCTAAACAATGAACTAATTACAAAAATACATCAAATATGTAATCCGCCGAATACATTACATTTATTCACCCTAATCTTTGGAATATGAATAATCTACCATTACCAGCAAAAGAATATTTCCATCTCCAAAAGCATGATTCCTTCGCAGCTCACTGTCTCATTCTCAAATTAATACACTTTAAACAGGCTAACAAACAGATAAGTGTATATGTGTAAAACAGTGTACTGAGTTGATATTTATATAGATGATACATAACAGCTCAGTACATAATATTATAAATCTTGATCAAAAAACAATCAGCTCATGAAAAGTATTTAAGTCAAACGATGTGATGAAATCTGTACTTCTCATATACAATAAGACATGCTCTAAAATTTACGAAACAACTACATCAAGGAATATACAATATACCAAGGAAAATAACACAAATTATTTTCCTAATTTGTAATTAAGATAAATACAGTCATTGTCCGATCAGCATTGAGAAAGAAACACTTTTTCTTATTTTTTGCTTCCAAACACAAATCTTTTAAAACAAACAACAAAAACCTTCCACTGTTTTTTGTTAAATTCATACTATACATCAGTTTACAAAAGTATCAGTACGAAGCAAAAGTTTAATACTACAATTCACAGAGCGCTATGTTTAATTTTTTTTTCTGAGGTCAATTTTTGAGGAACTCTAACCTAGCGCGCATCTCATCATAATCAACGCCATCCACCAACACACTTTCCGGTTCCACTGCAAGTGTGTCCTTGACAGCAGACGGTGCTTTACCTAATTCACCGGCTGTGATTTCATACAATATCCGATCTACTTCTTCCTGTAAAAATTTTCGAAAATTGTTATAAGTGAAAAGTGTAATCACAGTTCAAGCAGCGAACATAAAAAAATTTATTGGAAAGATTCCGCAGTGAACTAAACTTTTTCCTTAGACAACAATCTGCCTGGTGTGAAATTGCATTATTATTCTTTCCTTCGTAGTAGACAGCATGGAAGAACAAGAGAGCCTCAAATTTCAGTAGCAAAGGAAAATAGGTATATTTTGTTGCAAAATTCTACACTCCCAAGTAACTCAAATTCCAAAAAGATAAAAAAGTAATAACTTCACTTATTGCGCACATATAACATAACAGTACCTGCGCTTCCTCTTCAAGTTCCTCTGGTTCCACTGATTCCATGGTTTCCTCAATCATTTCATTTATAATACCTATTTTCGTCATCTCTTTCGAAAGTTCACGCATTGTTGACATTATTTCAGGCACCTTAAATTCATAATATGTGATATAATATACGGTCAAAATTTTCTACCACATTTTTAAATTCCTAATTCGAGAGCAACCTTTTACCATCAATTTCAAGACTTATCTCAGAATGGTTGCTTTAACAATATCATTAATCATGTCTCAATTTCGGTTTAACGATATAGACACAACCTTCACTAGTTGTTGCATATTTTTCATTACTTCTGTGGACTGCTGTAATGAGCCTGCCATACGAACCGTCGCAAGCTGTTGTTGCATTCCCATAACAACTGAATTGATCTGTGCCTTTGTTCCATGGATTTTTGATACCGCCTCAAAAAAAATTTCGATTGAATAAATTTTAAATTCGAGAACAAAAACATAAAATTGAGAGATGAGATAACACATATTTAGTAGGTTCCATTATTATAATAACTAGCTACTCCCAAAATTTGTAATTGGAAATATTTAGAGCCGATAATAAATCTCCAGAACTCAAAGTAATAATATAACTTACTTTTCTTGACTGTAAAATAGACTTCGCAAGCACCACACATACATCTCGATCACCTTTTTTCGCTGACTCTTTTATTTGATTTTTGACCTGTAATCATTTTTTCATGCATGAATATTCAATATTTTGCTTTACAAAGAACAATAGTGATCTAAATCACGAACAAACTTAAATGATACTGAAATTGGATTCCATAAAAATTTCTCACAACATTTAATCAATAGAGCAACCTTTATTTCTTCTCGTTCAATGGCACGGATCTGACGATCGAGCTGTCGTAGTTCATTTCGCATTTTCCGCTGCAGCTCACGAACGGCTTTCTTTGTGCAGACTTTACTGTCAAATATTTCCGTCATCTGAAACAAAATATAATGAATAATAAATCACTTCCGGTTATCGCAACAAGCAAAAATGCAACATTCGAATATGATATTATTTTTGTGCCACTTAATCAAATCTTGTTCTCAACTTTCACATGACCCATGTTTTGCATATTAGACTTAAAAGTCGAATACTCCACGACTCGAAGAAACATAAACACATGACAGACGTCACTTAGATAACAACAAGAACACGAACTTTCACGCAGCCCACCATGAAATCCTGACAAGAAAACTTAAATTAACATTTTGATTATGGCCGTGTCAGTGAATTTTATCGCTTTTTTTCCAACGCAAAAAAAGAATTATTTCTAACATTTCAGTTCTATTCAACTTTCCAACTTTTCCAATATTTTTCAAAGGGCAAAAAAAAAATCAGATATTTTCTTTAATGCTAAAATTTTCAATGGACGAGAAGAGATGATAGATAATATCGAAAATATTGAATTGAATGGTGGATTTTTTCTACCAGATATTATACTCCTTTTTTGTATATTTTTGATCCATTTGAGAGAATATTGATTTCCAAAAAGTTATGAATAAAAGCAACTAAAATACTGATATGTTCAATGTCAAATCTCAGATAAAATGACAGCTTCTTGTGCTTCTATATTATCTCTTTATCTCAGGCTTGAAAATTTGACCACTTCTTTCTATCAATGTCACATTCTGAGGATATGGATTAGGGTCATTGAAACTATTTCATACTATAGCAGTACGCCAATTTTATATCCTAATCCGATAATAGTACTTATTCACTCTATTATTACTGTAATTTTCCATTTTACAATAAAGCAATGAAAATGACTTAATTGAGATGGATCATTCATTCTATGGTAATTATAGAGATACTTTAATTTTTTTTTAAAAAAAAAAGAGTTTAATTTAGATAAAATCAAATATGGTATGAAGAAAATGAAGCCTTCAGATGATTTATTAACAAGTTATTTTCTATTAATGACAGCCTAAATAAGACTTCTACTCCATTATTTATTCATGTCTGACTTCTCACAAGATAAATTTGAAACTTATCAAAAAATATATTCGTCTAAGTAAAGTATCAATCATTGCTTTCCTCTCCGCGTAGTACAATTATAAATGTGATAATATTCTCGAATTAAGCAGCTAACTTTCCAATTCATCGTTTAATTCCTGTAAAATACAGTATTTTGCATGAAACTTAAAAAATAGTTATAAAAATGAAGTTTAAAGAAGAAAAAAATTCGAAAATATTTGTCAAAAAAATTTCATCAATCGATCAAATTTATAATAAATCGAAAAAGATGATGGAAGGGAACTTTTATCTTATCCATAACTATTCTTATTGGAATTATAACTAATTATCAATAGCTCTAGATCTAACTGAATGATCAAGATAGTCTATAAGGAACATATGATTATTCCTCTGCTAGGAAACTGAGGAAAATTTTCTGTTTAATTACTTTTGATACTGTTATAATATCACTATATGAGATATGTGATACTGATATTAAAGTATAACTTATCAAATATTCATTTTTAAAAAAACTTAAACGAGAGCGATCTGCCAGACATCTTTCATTTTCCTATAGTACGTCATCTTATTCCTATTATTAAAAATATCGAATTCTTTTTAATCTATTAGCATACACTCCTCTTTCCCGAAATTCGCAACTCTATTTGTTCGTACAACAGATCTGCTTGCAATAATTTGTGAAAAGCGCAATACATTTGTTGCAGATAAGCTGATGAAGTGTTGTAAAATGAAAAAGTAAAAGTTAATTTTATTTCTGTCGAATATATTAATTACTGCAAAAAACAATACCATATTAAAAGAACTAAAAAAGACCGGTAAATCTTGAATCACAGAATTAATTGGTAGTGGGAGATGGACTGCATGACATAGTAAAATGCATGCAAATTAAACTTAATACATGTAAAATTCACGTAAATGAAGAAAATGAGTAAAACAATATAATAATTCTATACCAGAAAATAAGAAGATAGGGAGATTAGGAAAATTTGGAGAATGAAAAAGTAAAAAAAATAAGAAAAGAATGGAAATATTGAAAATGCTTCCTTTTTACTTTTGGGGATTTTTCAAATTTCAACTCTAAATTTTAATATTAAAGATTGAAATTTCAATTAATTAGCAATATGGTAAGAATTTCATAATAGAAGTTTTAATTAATTTATAGTATTCAATTAATTCATAATATGGTTAATTACCTGAAATTCCAATTCTCAACATCAAAATTTAGAATTGAAATTTGAATATCAAAAAGAAAGCATACCAATAATATTGTAAAAAACAAACTTGAATAATATTATCTCTGATAATCTAATCATAATACATTTTCTTTTTTATGTTTCAGTAAAATGAAATATGATGAAATGAGTGATAACAGCAAGAAAAATAATGAAAATAATGACTGTCACATTTATGTAAATTTTCTAGTAAAATGAGCCTATAAAGATTAATTTCTTTTAATTCATCCATCCTTCATTAATTGATAACATTTGGAGTGGTGATATGATGCCTGTAAAAGAAGTCGTACAGAATGTAAGTATTGTTGAATTTGTATATAATTTGACTGGTTAAATGATGAATAGATATTGCTATCTCATCAGTGAAATAGGTACTGCATGTGTAATTCACATATAATCCTTCTTACGTATAACTTTTGTCAAATCCAAAAGCTAATCATATCATATCAAAAGTATATCAAAGATTATCATATCGAAAGTGTATTAAGCATATTAAAAGTTAAATTTATAGCTTTTCACAGAAAATGTGCCTGCAATAAACGAGAAATGTGGCAGTAAAAATGAGGTGCAAAATTTTAGTGAATTAGTAGATGAACAACAACGAAATAAGAAGAAAATTTTATGTCGTCGTTGTCAATGTATTATTTTTGGTGCTAAACGAGCGACACTTCTAAAAGGTATCTAACATATTTGCATGATTTTTTCTTAGCGAGATCAATCTATTTAAACTTTTATGATGTATACTGTACAACCTTTAAGATTTTTCCAACCATAGAGTCGTTAGCATTTGTTTGAAAATACTATGGGATTTTTATAGGAGATATTTTTGGCGACAATCATAAAAATTGTACTTGTAGCCTCTTTTAATGAATTTTTCATCATCCCGAAATACATCATATCTTAAACTTTCCTACTAAAATTCCTTAACTTTCCAAAAGTTCCTTTTTTCCTATCTTCTTCAGGAAAGGATCCAAAAGAATTAAAAGAAATGAGTGTTGGTGGAATGGAAGGTAAACAGACGGAAAAAACGGATATTTGGTGGTTTACAACTAACGAATATGCATTTGATACGATCGGTTTCCTGACTGTAGATAATTTGGATGTCCTGATGTGTGGTGATTGTGAATTTGGCCCAATTGGATGGCGCACATCAGATAACAAGAATTTCTGGATTGCTGCTGAACGAATGAACTATGTTTGAACTTCGCTTGTGAAGTATTTTTTATTCGCAAAAAAATTTACTTTATATTTGTGGTGCCTCACAGAGTTTTGGTGTTTAATGATAATTTAAATTAAGCTTCACATAATAATGAATAATGAATATCAATGATAAATCTTCTCAGTCACTCTTTATTATTTCTTTTCCTGTAATTTGGTAGACATAAATTCACATTATCTTTTTTATTTACTATGACTTCTTTTTAAGAGTATTCCGGAACCCATAGATCAGTGAATTAGGCCAGGTAAACGTTTGCATATCGTTTTCTGCCACAAATACTTTTCATATCTGTTAAAGTAATAAAACTAATCACTCATTACCTATCATTGCTGAAAAGCAATGAATTTAGCTATCAGTAAATTTCATTATCTTCAAATAATTATCAAAATGTAATTATTATGTCAAAGATTTCATTAACATAATAATGTTTTGTTCTTTTAAGAAGTTCCATAAAGCTTCTTGATACCCAGAATATCGTCTTCGCCAAGTTCAAAACCTTTTTTCAGTTGGTCACTGTAAGCAAAATGTATTTAACTACTAAAAAAAAATCTAGAAATTTCAAAATATATTTCAAACCTGTAATATGGATTCATAATAGCTTTTGGATCGTTTGAATGTCTAAGTCCAAGCGCATGTCCAATTTCATGAAGGGCAACCTAACAAAAGAAAAGATTTTAGAGATTCGAGCTATTTCGTATTTGAAATTTAAGTCGAGAAGTAGTAGAGATGGCGTTCTTTTTACTGTGGTCAGTGATATTTGAAGATGAAAATAAAGCAATAAAAAAAAGAGAACAGAACGAACGTATCGCAAATCAAGCCCTGTACGTCCGTTGATTGACCAATATTCAGAAGCGTCGAAATGGATGATACCCTCCACAGGATATCCCGAATGAGCCACAATTCCACCAAATCCATCAAATGATTCTTTATCACCATGAGCATATTTAGCGAATAAAACATCAAAATTTGCACCAGTATTTCCTGAAGTTCGATCCATTGGAGAGAGATCTTCAAATATAAGTGCACCTCCTGATGAGTTTGACCATTTCTCGAAAGCCTGTCGTAGGATACTCCTTGAAAAATGATAAATGAGATCATAGATCCGCAAAATCTCAACAATGCCAATTTAATAGGTACGAATTTAATGACTTACTTATTAAAATGAATTTTCATTATTGAAATCTGAAGTCCTAAAAATACATGAAAATTTATGAAATGAAAAGATTTTTTTTTACGAAAAGAATGATGTCATTAACGGATGAAAAACAAAAGAAATTTTCTTATAATAAATTAATGAATTAGAGAGATTTGTTTTGAATGAGATTTTTCCGAATAAAAACACAAACTTTACAATGATAAATTTTTGATCGTTTTTGAAAAGACGGAACGGATCCCGAAATGACCAAGATAACGTCCCGGTATACCACTTATTCTCATTCAAAACTAAAATAGCCTCTGCAGAACGACATATTTCTAAAATTTGTTTTCTCGTTTCTTATTCGCTAAATGATTAACGTAATTTGATGCGGAATAATTAAAAATCATGTATGTTATTAGCATCATAATTTTCGGCTTCATCCAATTCAAAAAAATTTTCTATGATAAATTAATATTGTAAAAAATGAAAAGTTTGAAGTGATCGAAATGGATTGGATATGTGAAGTGTTGATAATTCATTATCAAATATCAAATTTTCATTAATATTGTTGACAAATAATAAATTTTCAAAGTATTCACTCACTTACCATACCGTTTCTTCAGCCTAGATTGCAGCAATTCAAGTGCTCCCCTATTACAAATTCTTCTATCTCTGTACAAAGTTAACTTTTCTTCACTTATAACTGAATTCCTAAAAAAGAAAAACTATAAATACCAACAATGGTTATGTTTATCTTTTTATTTTACCGATAATTAAATAAAATTGATTAAATTTATGAAATGAGAAAACTGAAACATTCGTATTTACACTAAATTATTTTTGATAATAAAATGAAGCGCAAAACTTTTTAGAAATAATAATTAGTAGCTTTCATTGCCATATTAAATTTCATTATATGCAAAACAAATTTTTAAATTTCATCGATTGTGACTAATTTTTACCTTGAATAACAAACAGTGAGAGTAAATAAAATTAATGATAAAATTAGCATAGATCTTGAATCTCAGCCGTGAAAGCAGTAAAGGAAGTGATAGATTGCAAATGTGTCGTTTATATAACCGACTTTCATTTCATCTATCAAATCATTGTCCGAATTTGAGGATGACCCCATATCAGAAACAAATCGACACAATTCAATGATCGAACATACAATACATGGATAGATGTGCTATTTATCATCTAACTTTTTGAACTTATGAACTTTTTGAACCAATACAGTTGAAATCAAAAGGCTTTGTCAAATGTTTATTTCTTTTGTTTTTTTTTTAGAGAAAATGAATTAATTTATCGTTGTTCGAGAAGAAATTGATTTGACCAATTTTTCTTACATATCTGTCAATAAATATGTTGGAAAAAGTTCCATTATTTTCATCTGACAACAAAACTTTTTCTTAGATTTTATTTCATTTTTGTTTTCTTGAAACAAAAAAATGATGAAATCGATATTACTTTTATAATGAAAATTTCAAAAAACAAGTGCGATATCCATAATTAAGCTATGATTTGAAAAATAAGAAATGTATTTGCTTTGCAATCTCTGATGTTTTGCTCCTTCTTTATTCCTTTCTAAAATTCATTCCAATATTAAAACAGATTCATTCCAATTTCATTCCAATATTAAAATTCATTCCAATATTAAAAGATTTCATTTCTGATACGACTTGTTTTAAATATGCCAAAATAATACGCCAAGGTTATATAACAAGAAATTACATTACTAAATTCAAGAACGACAATATGAAGTACAACTGAAAATCTTAAAAAAATGAAAACCTTGAGGATATCGTTGAATTAGTTGTGATCTTAGTGTAGTCTATAAAGAAAAGAGCCAAATTATTACTTCAAGGAAAAAGCAAATAGCATTTCCAAACAATTTTCCACTGTTCCCATTTAATTATAGAATGGTTAATAATTTAGGATTCTGTTTTTTTGCATTGTCTATGAATTTGAAAAATTTTCATACTTTCTTTACTTGGCGAATTGATTGTTATTATCGATGATTTTTTTGATCCATCATTTGTTGTGATTGATGGCTCGTTGGTTGATTGTTCTTTTATTACTGCAATATGTTAAAATTACAATTTAATGAGTAAACAAAGGGTCAGTAAGAGTGAGAAAGAATAAAACCGCTACAACTTTCTTAAAGAAATATATATAAATAGATTCACTTGTTTTTGAGCAAATCCAAAATACTCAAGTAATTAATTAATTGGAAGAAAATATGAAGAGGAAAAAAAGCTTTGGAGGAAAGCAAAATAAGATTGTCAAAATTAAATAATGAATTTTTTGACTCTAAATACTAAATCAAGAAAATAGCTTAAGCTCCGTACAATTGCCTCACTTTGAAATTAATTTCACTTTAGAACATTTAATTCAGAGTCCAAGGATCGACTAATATTCTACTAGCGATCCAATACTCAACATGCATTCTACGATTATTTCGAAAACATACTGCAGCTCTGTTTGGGTGAATTTTCTTCTAACTGTTTTCTTGAACGGTTTAATGAATTGGATAGTATGAGTGATGCGGAGAGCGGTGATGATTTCTCCATTTCCAGTAGTTTCTTTAATATCATACTTTGAGAAAATCAATTTTGTGAAACTTTTTAAATTTTCCAAAATTTGATATAAAATTAGCATAAATATAAATATTTACCTTATCAAATATTCCTATATGATAATTTCTTTCTTTAGTTTCTTTATTGAACGATGGAAGCTGGATGGAATCTTCATTGCTCCTTCTTGAAAAGTTAAAAAAGACAATATTGTTTTCCATTTCAAGGAAGTGATCTCTTCTTTACACACGATCACACCTTTTCAAATTAATAGTTAAAGTATTCAAAGAAAGAGTAAAAAGATAACCTTCCTTTTTTCAGACTTAATTTACTCGAATTATTAGGATCTTCCGTAATGATCTCCGTTGGATAATATTCATCATTTTCCAACTAAAAAGACAAAAAGAAAGAAGGAAATAAATATTTGCGTGTGGTTGAGATCAAATTATTTGATGTCTTACATTTCCAATCACAGCAAATAAGAAATTTGCTTTTGGAAGAGATGGTATTATCCTTGGATATTACTGCTAATAGAAGTTGGAATAAGTACAGAGTTTCTAAGATGAAACGATATTGACATAAGTTCAGTTGAGTTTCTAAATGAACGTTATCGTTACATTGATCTAGCGCTCGATAAAAAAACCTGGTGAGCAATAAGAGTAATAATTTAAATAACTTTTAGAAATTGTCCCTAGTTTAAGGCTATCGTTGCATTCTTTGAGAATCACCATTCAAACTTCAAATTATTTACCTGTTTTCCTCATTAATCATTAATCATTATTCATTATTCTTCCACATATTACTATTATCCATCAAGATGTATAATTTAGTTCTTAGGCACAAAAAGCCTATTGTAAAGGGAAAAAGTATTTGAAAATAATTTAGAAAGCTCACACTTGGTTGCTTTAATTGCATAAATGAATATATAACTTCACATAATTGCACGATGATAAAGAGAAGAACGATAAATGTTAACAGTGTAACAGTGAAACGTAGCGAATATATCCCTTCCCGCACAAATACCAAAAATTCTTTTATTGTCATTATCACTTTGAACATCTTGACAGACTGAAGAATGCAAATTATAATCATTTCTAACGCTTTCAAGTATTCGAGGTTAGATATGAATTCATGATACCTCCAATCAACTATTGGTTACCTTAACTATAGTAGCCATTACTTTATATCCATCCTTATTCTTCCACTGCTCTATTCCTTTGTAAAGTAATAGCTATCGTTTACACTTCTAACTTTAAATAAAAATAAGAGACTATGCACAGAAACTTTTTCTGGAGTAAGCAGAAGATATATGAAAAGTTCTCCAGTAACGATTGGAAAAGATTCTCTAACTTCTCGCCTATGAACCTTAAAAAATCCGAAATGGAAGCTATTAACTTTTCTGACCGCTTTCAGCTCTTTTAGTAAATGCGACTGAATGAAATCAATTCCACCGGCTTGTATTATAGTGAAAAGCAATAACTGTGAAACATTTGTAATTACTGCAAATATTCCATTCTTTTCTTTGCAAATAAATTAGTAATCTTTGAACTTGTAGGAAGGATTAATGAATTAAATTCGATCTTCCTTCGATATAATAACCAACTCTTTATCGCTTTATGCTTCATAAAGAGTTGGTTATTATAATGACTGATATCATGCGTTTCAGCTCTTCATAACAGAAGCCAATGATCAACCATTGAATATTGTGCCTCAACTAAGTGCAATCAAAATTTCAAGTATCCTATTGATCGAAGAAGAATTCTGAAAAAGACGGTGATCTTTCTAGTCCTAAAATTGATCTGTTTCCTGATAACTAATTCGCCTGATGCTTTGGATTGAAGAATGGAAAAATCAAAAAAGAATAAATATAATGATTTGTATAAAAATAGTCATATAATATAATATAATTAAGTATAATGATTTGCTTCAAAATTATTGTACTTTTTTTGCTTTAAAAGCCTCATCCTTACTTTTTAATGACAATAACTACTCATGAATATTACACTTTTCTAATCTATTCTCAAATGCGTTCTTCAACTCCAAGCATTCTCTGGAATATCTCGGATGCTTTATCCAGAAATTCGTCGTTCTAGACTGAAGTTCCAAAAATGCAGACTAAATAATTATCGCATAAATTACATGGGTTGAAACTATTCCAGTTGTTGTTTCTAGATATTTTTTGGACTTTTCATGTGTTTCTGCAAAGCATAACAGCTTAGTATATATTCCGGAATTTTTCCTTCCGGTGAACAGGATGCAAGAATTTGTATGTAATCTTTTTTCCATGAACGAGGGCGATGGAATTTTCTTACCTTGCAAGAATTTTCTTACCTTAAAAGTTTTGAAATGAGAAAAGAAAGTGATCGTTTTTTTAGTTGTTTCTCTTATTGACAATTTGAGATACTTTTGGATGTTTTGGAATATCATGAAGATATTGTATAGTTTGAAATATCTCAGGAACAATATTTACGATTGATTGATCCTTTCAAATGAAAGTCCTCAACGAGCGAGTGGACAATTTTTGCATAAATCACGTAGGCTGATCCATTCCAATATTTGCTAAGAGATGTTGCATTTTTAGGCTTCCAGTGTGTTTTTGCAGGGAGTGCGGCTGGGTGTGTATTCAGGGGCTTCCTGGCAAGTCGGTTTTCGGTGAGTGGGATGGAGAAGTTTGTGTGGAGTTTCTTTTGCCGGTGAGTGAAAGGGATATGTGAAAAATTCTTCCAATAAGTGAGAGAAATTTTCTTTGTTGTTTAGTTTCAACTACATTCGTTCATGCGCTTCGATACAAGATTTTAAAATGGGTAGAAGACGTGGTCGTGTAAGTTTTTTTGTTAGTTTTTAAATTAAGCAGATTTCACTAACATGGTAAATTTAAAATGATTATTGTTCAGCTCCTTTTCATTTATCTCGAAATTCGCGAATAACGTTTTATTCAACGAAAATTTTACTTAGTTTCTTAAAACTCTTTTTCTGTTTGAGAAGCTCTAATTATAACATTCGAATAATATGAAGAGCATTCAGGATTTTGGTGATTATGGAGGATATGACTACAGATACAACGGTTATGGATATAAAAGGAATAGTAGATACTGCAGTCGTGGAAATGTTATTATTTTATTTAGAAAATCTTGTGATTAAAAGCAACTGTATTTGATGTTGTCATATACCTCGCGACACTGAAATTTGGAGAATTTTGCCTTTTTTTTACTAATGCCTTGGTTATACATTTCCTAAGCTTTATAATTTTTCTTTGTAGTCACTTTTTTGGAATATCTGTTTATGTACTGCATTTCAAATTCTCTAGCGTATTTGAAGTTTCGAAATTTCGGTGTCGTGGTATTATAATATGGTGGTATTATATTATGCGATAAGAACTCTCTAGAAGTCTTCGTTGCAAATGTTCACATTTCTAGCGAATGATGAAATATAGTGGAGTCTGCGCGTAAAATCATGTGGCGTACATGATTACATCAGGCAATAAAAATAACGAGGTTATCAACATCTCTCAAAACTCAGTGTAATTTACCTCGCTTTACTTTCCAGACCAGGTCGACGGAGCTTCCACAGCAAGAAACAACAGAAAACAGGAAAGTGATGTATGAAGACATGAAGATTTCCTCTGAGATACGAAACAGTGAGTCAAAAACGCCGTCTGTAACTAATCTCGTTAGTTCATTCATTTTCTATTAAGACTGTGAACATTTTCAAGCAATTGAATGACGAAGTCTGTCTAAGTTGGCGAGTTATATTTATTATAATATGCTATAGGCGAGTCTGCAAAGCCACGGAGATTATATACTTAATATTCAAGCATAAAGTCAGTTATCAACAAAAGAAAAAAATGGTAATAACATTGAAAACGACTTTAGGATTTTGCGGAAAGTGATGCGATTGAGCTTGAAATTGTATCCGCAGCGAATATTCAAGCTTCTACTACAACAGCCGAAGAGGTTTCGAATTTCTAGTTTTCGAAAAAGCACAGATTTCTTCAGAAGGTGTACTTTCTGAATTATGATCTGCATAAAGTAGGCTTTTGCAGACAATCACTCGAAACATTGAATTGGATGGTGAACATGACCTTAATGACAATACGATTTTGATGTCTAAAGATGTAGGTTTCCTTAAAATCTTCGAATCCGAAAATGTCTCTGATTTCTGCTTGGTTTTCTCCGTTGTTACTGTAGGTGGGTACCAACAATGTCTCTTAATCGTGTTAATCGTGACTTACCGCTATCTCCATAAATCATGTATCAAGCCACTCTTTGAGATAATTTTTTGAGTAGTGTTGTAAAAATGTAACAAATTTACTGATTTTAAGAAAAATAATGCCATCAAAGAAATGAGTTTTGGTATCGGTCAACAATGTTTGTTACCACAGCGAAGCGAGACATCATTAAGTGTTCGCAGTGAAGTAAGTCATTCTTCATTGATGCTAGAAATATTATAAACATAAAATCAGATTTGCATCGTTACTGATCACTGCGAATTTTCTTGCTATACATGATAAAATAATTCAAAACATTTAGCAAAAAAGTATTTTTTTACATATTCTACCTTCTCCAAATCACAAAACGTCGAATTGATTGGATTTCTTACACTGGGCTCATTCATTGACTGTAATCATACGGTTTTCTGTCATATTGAAAATTTGCTTCTTCGCATGCTTTCCCTTTTTAAACTGAGAAGAAAAATTCTAAGAAGTCCTCTAAGAATCCTTTAAGAAAAATTTCGAAGACTGAAAAATGAACTTTTTTCTGAAGGAGAACATACGATAAAAAATTATAGTTATATAATGTGAGCAAACCGCATAACTGGAAAACGAAGGAGACTAATGCTGATCCATCATGGGGCTCTTGTTTTGAGGTTTGCAATATAAAATTCGTTCTATATTCAAACAAATATGGTGTTGATGTGAGAGATCCTGTATGATTGATGAGATTGTAATAACTTAACCAAAGCAAAGGTCCTTAATAACAGTGCGTCATCTTACGTAAGAATTCATCTGATAATTTGGCGTAATTTCATTTTTGAAAACGTTTTTCATTCTTTTACTGAAGTATATTATCTGCTTGAATATTTAATTTAAATTTAATCTTAGGATTTTATCATATAATGTTTGCAGCTTCACCGCTACCTTAACGAATCCCAAAGCTCCCATATCAGTGAACCAAAAAACGCAACATCATTGGAAATTCTTCACAATGGAGTAATAAACTTCTTAGTTCCCTTTGTTCTTATAAATCTATGATAAAAGAATATTACTGCCCAAAATTAATTTCGTAATTTCCGTTTTGGAAAAACCTTGTATTTTGTTACTTGGACTTTGAGTGTCTCTGGACAGAAACTTAATTCTGCATCCAACAAACATTTTTATATTGAAATGAATTTTTATCTTATTTGCTTTAATCACATTGTCTATCTTTATCACTCCCTGATGTGCCATATCATTCACTCAAAATCTACAGTCAAAAAACTGTGCATCAAGTAGAAAGCCTGAATTAACTCTGAGTTCTACCATTTGTAACTCCGACATATGATAGTGTTTTTACTGAAACTTTGAATGATTCTTTTTCCAGTTAAGTCACGATTCAGATGAAGTTAATAATGCGGGTGATATAGACAGGCGTATGTCAACTTTCAAGAAAAATTTATGCAATAGTGTTAGTTTGTCAGGATTAATATATTTTATATTCACTTCATTTCTTGCGATTTCTTTTTACGAATATTATTATGAAAAACTCAGACTAAAGCAAGTTGTGCAAGTTAAAAATGTAATCATTTATTTTAACTGAATACAGCATCATAGAAGTGTGATTTCATTTCGTCTTGAAAAAAAATTATTTTAATCTTTTATTTAAATTTATTTAAATACTAGGGAAGCATTTTTCCATTAAGATGTAAACATGACATGGCTGGTGATTTAGGGAAAAGCATCGCCACATCCATCCACAGGTTAAAAAAAATTTGGATAATATTTATGAGCAATTGCAGTTCAATAGAATTAAAGATCATTTTCATTTTCTTAGTATCATTATCTTCGAAAATGCTTGAAATTACGAAACTTATCTGAGGAAGATTGCTATTTATATAACGGTCAATATATAGATTCTCGAACCAAATTTAAGTTTTGAAAGGGTGACTAAAAGAGTTTTTATATCGATATTTAAAATTCTAAAATGTATGGAAGTTCTGGAAGAAAATTGGTTAAAACGTGGTTTCAACCAGCAGAATCTGTAAGTTATTTGATTTCATTATTTTTCAGTGCTTGCATAATGGAGCATATAGAGGTGATCTTGCCGCAGTATGTGGTGAAGAATGTGTTAAATCAAGATGGAGAAACATTTCTATTCCTGCGGTTTGTTAAAGATTTTACATGACAAAATGATAACGCATTGATTGTTGAATTATGTTTGGTTTAGTCTTCGCATTATGAATACAAATTCATCCAATTTTTACCGATCAGATTCAGCTGAACCGTGAAAGTGTAGCTAATGTGTAGATATTTATTAGAAACTGTCTATATCGATTTTAAACACTACGTAGATTAAAGAAAAAACTCGTAATGCAATATAGGAAATTTAGGCTATCTCTTTTTAGCAAAATTGTAATCGTGCTGCGATCGGGAATATAAACACTGCAATTAATAATGGAAAAGTAAGTAAAAATATTTCAACATTTTCCCTAGACCGTGCATTTGGTATTTTGATCGCTGTCTTGTGTTTAGTAGAAGTCAAGGTATTAATCTCATTTTAGGTTGCTTCAGTTTCTGAAAATAATGTGTTTTTATCGGGCACTGGATTCTCATCGAAATATAGCCACGATAGTCAAGTTAGTCTACAGGCATAACACTAATTACCATACCAATCGCACAGTTTTTTCAAGTCGATAGCTCTAATGCTTATCATTATTTTAATCCTGAATTCTGAGAATTAATTTCTTGTCCTGAGAATCAGAACTTAACTCAAATTATTGAAATAAATTTTTCGTATTGGAATAATGGAAATTTGTTAAATTTTTTCAGACTGAAATATTGCTGACAGCATCAGTGCATCAAAAAGCACAGCTGAGGGAAAAATGTGATTGTATATCGTTGACGGAAATACCATCTAACCTTTCACTTTCGGCTGGGCATAGTAGCAAAAGTTTTAATGATTTGGTCTCATGGGTTAGTGATATTTAACAAATTTTTTAAGTTGAAAGTGTAGTTATGTATTACTTAGATGTAATTTCTAGGGTGATGTTGCTCCTGCAATGGACAAATGCCATGTACAAACTCCAAAAATCAGTGATGTTGCAGTAGAAGAGGTAGGCAAGAAATTCTGAAGTTTGAATGTCAATATATTTTTAAATCTAGTTTTTTAATGAACATGATTTTTCAAGAGAAAAGTTCTTTTGGCAATTTTTTAAAAATTTCGAATACTTTAAAGGACATACCACTGTTCTGCACAGTGCTACCTGACACCGATCACATGGCAGAATGTGATTTCAACCAAACACAAATTAGCCGTGAAGAATATATTAAAGCCAAAGCAAATGTTGAACAAAAAAGAAAGGTCGTAAGCTATTGTACCGATCATTAGAATTGCAAATCATGAAAACCAAATAAAAATTACACTGGTTTATCTATGTGTATTGTTTTTAAGAGCTCTAATGCTTTTTTGTATCGGTTGATTTACCATATATACTTGGAGTGGGAAATGCGACATGAGAAGTTGCCGTGTAGAGGTGGTAAAAACTTTTCTTTAGAAAATGTATCAGGCAAAACTTTAGAATACAGTGTCTTAATGCACGCTACTACACTTTACTTACTTTACTTGCTTTATGAAGACCTTTTTTCTAAGTTTTGCCTGATACATTTTTTTTTGCTTAATTAAGTGTATCTAGTTGCTTTTTTTGAGAAGCATTTTCTGGCTTTTCATAATCAAACTTCTCCAGGAACTGTCCAAAGACGAATTTAAAAGACACTATTTCGTTGCGCAAAATACTATTATTTATCCAGCAAATCATTTGGAAATGCAGTGTTTTCCGAATAGTACCTGTCGATTCAAATACGAAGAAAAAGATGAGAAAAGTGAGGACACGCAAGGGGCTGTTTTCCTTAGAGATCAATATTCGCAAACTAAGGAGCCTATAGTAACACAGTCATTGGAGGTAAACTTGTTGCATTTCGAAATCTAAATTCAGTGCTTTCAGTATCAGACATTTGTCGATTTCAAGATTTTAGTCCTGTCTTTTCTGTGCTCTTTCAGGACACAAATAGGGCAGCGTCCGTGCTGAACATGATGCTACAACGACGTTTAAATAATGGTGGAAACCAGAATGGATCTTTCGCCCACGAACGATTGAATAGTTTTTATTTAACGCCACCCAGTGGTCCAAAATCGCCACCACAAGAGATTTTGAATTCTCAAAGTTTCGCAGTCCGTTTTTTAAAAATTTAACATTATATCTCATTTTTCTTTTTCTTTGTGTGAGAATGCAGTACATTGTTCCTGTGAGTTATTAATGTCGAACCTCAGAGCTGATTCTTTTCTCTTTTTCAGGGTACCAACGGGTTAAATGACTTTGTTGATAAAAGTGATGCTCCATCACCACATTCAAAATATTTGTCAGTTGAACCTGAGGTTGTTTCCATTTAAGCTATCTATTTCTATTCCCTAAAAAACATTAGTTTTCGCTGCTTCAGTGAATTTTATTTGTAATCCCTCTACCTTATCACCAGTTATTTCATAGTTTCCTAGTTGCAGAGTGCCTGAACTATTTTTTTGTTTGGCCGTAAAACTCACAGTTTTGTCAGGCAATTTTCAGTTCCACTAAATACTAGTTCCAGTAAAACAGAAAATGAATTGAAGGAAATTGTCTAAATATTTAAGATGAATGAAAAGGCAGCAATGGTTGTGAACAAGCAGTATGAACTTATAGCCCAGAAGCCGAAAGAAAATCTGAAGCAATATTGCTACGAAAATAACTGTGAGAAAACATCACAAAGATCGGGAAGCGATGGCCGCTCAACAATTCGGTATGCTTTATAGTCAGAAACAAATCATCTTTTCGGCGAGATAGTATTGTCAAGTCTTGCTAGTAAGTACATATACTTCGTGTAGATCCGTGTATAAAGAAATTTAACGTCTTCAAAAATTAAATTCTCAAAATGCCCTACTTTCTATTCGCAAGGATTCATCAGTTGAATTTTTATGCCCGCCACTGCAAATCAAACTTCTGTCACAGAATTTTTGGTAATGACTCTCTTGTGCATATATGCACTTTATTAATTTATGTGGTTGTTTAAATCGTAACTTGCTTGATCGTATTCTGAAATGCGACAGTTTTATCAAACAATGAATTGATGTTGTTCCAGAAAAGATACAGCATATTAAAATGTTGAATGAAGCCACATACCCTAGTTTGACGACCTTTCATCATAAAACAATTGACACTTCTCAGGATAAAAATATTTCTGTAACTCATCATGTTCATGCTAAAGTTAGGAACAACTCTGTGTATGAGAATGCCTCTTGTTCTTGATATTTCAGCGGCAATTTTGATTATTGGTAAATATGATTTGTAATTAAGAATCGCACATTTGGTGTCTTTATTATTGTAGTGACCGTTTACCACGGGGACAAACACGTAAATTGGCATCATTGTTTGAAATGATGAGTGATATAGCAAGTGTAGAAATGTCGAGAGAGATGAATCACTTGAAAAAGCGTGGCAAATCAGTTCCACCGAACATTATCACTAAAACTTATCACCGAAAGCCTAAAACCAACGTCAGGGAACTTTTTCACGGTTCGTTCTGTTCACTTTCTTAAAAAACCAATTCTACTCGTTTAGTCACTTATTTATTTTCTGACTTTGAATTCAATATTTCAGATGATTTAATCTTACAACAACGATCCATTTTGACTACAAGTTCGGGGATATATGGAAATCATTTAGATTTCACAGTTCCACACAAAAGAAATGCGTTTAAAGAACAATTTACAATAGACAAGCATATTGAAGTACCTAGCGTACGCAGCATTGTGAATCGGTTAGATTTATATCTTTGGTTTCTTTATTACATAAATTTTCTTCCTTTTTTTGCATAGATATTTTTAGATTTGAATCGGTATCGGCCCAAAATGGGTGTCGAAATTCACCACGAGCACTTCAAATTGACGCAACACCACGAAAACCAAGGAATCAGAAACGACAATCGCAGTACGTTACACAAATGTTACATCCAGTGCCGGTTGTCACCAATCATAGAAATATTCAAAATGTTCAATACACTGTTGACTCAAACTACAATATCTGTAGTGTTGCAAGGTCAGCTTCACTGCAATCGGATGAATGGAATGAGTGCGCAAGTCGCGGAAGTTCCGCCCACTATTTACCGTATGATAGAACGAGCTGCGCTAACGCTTGGGATCAGCAGCAATACGAATTAGGATTACGCAAGGTTTTCACTTTTTTAGTGTTCATTTTTTTAGGTTTATTTTTGTTTGAGATCAGCATATACAAGTATGGCTTTTTTAATGTCGACGTGATAAAGATGTTCAAGAAATTCGAATTTTCGTTTGCTATTTGAAACTTAGTTTCAGGGGATAATCAGTTTGAAACGTTATGACAACAGCTATAGCGGAGTGACGAATGAGGTAGAGTGATTTATGCATCAACAGTTGGTAAAAATGATCACATTTCGCCTATGCATCTGGAAAACTTCTACAAATGACGAGTGTTAATGTTTGAATTGAGGCTTACTGTACACTTACTGTATATTTGTTACAGATTCATAATACCGAATTATTTAAATGCAAAAATTTAGATTTTGAGATTCAAAAATTATTTTGTGTTCGCATATATACAGACTCTATTGATTGCAAGATCTATTGCAGATTCTCAATCGGGACCCATCTCATGCCATACAAACACGCATTCGCCAAATGAATTACAATTCTGAAGTACAACCGAGCCACCACATAGCTGCTGTTACTGACTGCTCACAAAAACGTAAGCAAACTTTGCTATTGACTTTTACTTTTTAAATAGCCTCAAAACCCATTGATTTTTTGATCGTTTTTCTAGATATCTATGAGGGAAAATCTGATAGCGAAATCGTCGATCACGTCGCTGAAGTAGAAAAAGCATTTGATTTCGTCAATAAGGTTTGCTTTTATTGACTTTAAAATGAAGCCCTCACAGTCAATTCACTATGATCTTATCAAATATCTTTTAGACCGAGTCACTAGTAACTCCGGGTCAACAATGTTCGCAAGAATCTCTGGAAAGACCTTCATCGCCACCTACGAAAGATTCGGTTAGTGGCAGATTTTTGTTGTAACTTCTACATTTATTAAGACCAGGCATTTCAGAAGCGTAAAATACTAACTTATTGCTAATAATATAACCTATTGCTATAATTCCTTTGTATTCTGGAGATATTCACAAATTTTCTATTACTTTATTACTTTTTTATTATGTCTGCATTGATTACTTACGATGCTCACAAAAATTTTATCTAGATCTCACTATACCGTGATTTGGAAAGAAAACATCGTAAATCACCAAATGGTGACGTCTCTGTTCGTTTCTCTCCGGCTATTTATTCGCCACCTCCATCTGTTGATAAACGACTGGTAACTTATGAACACAAAAACTCGGTTGTAAGTTTGTTTTGGTATTCAAAAACTATTTCCCCTAAAGGTGATTTGATTTCTTAGAAAATTTGAATTAAAGGCTATTGAATCTCCACTTTTTGAGCAGTTCTGTTCACCCTCTAAATTTAAAATTATATTGTGACTTTGGTTGATGTGATATTGTGAATAATAAGGAATTAATCACCTTCAAAGCTGCTAATGATTTGCTTCACATGATTGATATGTTCTAAAGCATATCTGTTGGCAACTTGGTGGCAACATATAAGGCGTAATTAGAATAGTCATGTCTAATATCCCAACGAGAATAGGAGCAGTTTAAGCAGTAGAACTAGCAATCATTTATTTTCAGACCAAAAATGCAGAACTTGGAAGTTATATGGTTACAACAGATCCAATGGCCACTTCCACTCCTCTTAATGGTTCACCAGCAGCTAATAGTCGTACGCAAACCTCTGCTAGTTATGTGCTTAATCGAAGTGGCATCTCCTCAATAACGGCTTCAACAGCCCAGGAAATCGTCCAACTACAACAATCAGATATAGAACTACAGGTAATGGTAGTATAGTTTTGAATTTGTCTATTTAAACCCTAATCGCTCTCATACTTGATGTCGGAGCAGTTTGTAGTTGAAGCATTTATTTACTTTGATAAAATCATTGAAATTCCCTGAGTTGCAATTGCATTATTTCTCTGGGTCACCTCATTTCTTTATTTTGAAAGGTGGCTCTTATTAAACTTCTATATTTGAAGTATGGATTTCAGACAATAAAACAAGAAATAATGATCCAGGAGGATCAGGTTGCACAGGCATCATTGGCATTAGCTCACTGTAAAAAGAACAACAGTTTCAACGGGACTCTTGTTGAAGTTCTTTTTCTTTTATAGATAAGAAACTGATACTACCATCTGGTTATTATTAATAACAAACAGTTATTGAATTAAATTATGCTGTAAATGCTTAAAATTTTTTACTAGACAGAAATTTCTGAGTAAGTCTGAAAAATGGAACAAAAAAATATTATGGTACAAAAACTCTTTGTAGATATTTTGTGATGCAATTGCAGCTAAGCGCTCAGCGGGGTTTATTGCTGGCACGTGAACGGCTTATGGCATTGCAAAATGAAGTGCAGCGTTTGAAAACACGTCGACTTGTAAAGGAATCAGTTCCCCTAATTGCGAAACGTATGCGTGGAGCTATCGACCTTACATCAATTAATGTTTATCTTAATCGTAACTTTTGCAATCGTAATATTGATGAAAGTAAGTTCAGATCGATATTTGTTGAGAGACTTCCTCTGTTTTATAATTTTTACAATTTATAATTTTTTATAATTACTGAATCTTCCTTTCACTTTGCCAGCCTACATTGAATTCCTCAATATGAACAAACTGATTTTATCTAGATGTTTCATATGCTTTTGTCATCCTTCTGAAAACTGATGAGCAAGTAGAAGCTACACAAACAGTTACGTTGATGGACAGGCGAGCTTTGCGCGTTAGCAAAGTTCACTTTTCTGATCAAATTCGCTTTACAAACCTGCCGGTCGATTTTACAATATTATTGGAAATTTACGCTTTGGTAACAATTTTTATTTATTTTTAATATCTCCAGAATCTCTGTGTACTTCAATGAAGTTATCTTTTACTCTTTAAAAAAAGAAAACATAGCTTGGAAAACAATTTCTTGCCCATATTTTTGGATCTTGAACATTTTCGAGATTTTCTGATGTAATTTACTGTAATTTTGCAGTGGTACCGATAGTTTTAAGAGCTTTATGCTTTGGATTTCGTATGATAATCCTCCTTTGTAATTACATTTTAAACTTCGAAGCTTTGAACAGACAGTTTTTACTCATTTTTTTTGCAGAAATTACATGTTACTGATTTTGTCAAGGATTAACATATTTTTAGAAAGTCAGTGAAAGTCGTCGCTCGGATGATTATTCATGCAGCATGCTGAGGAACAAAGCGAAATCGTTGTTGAGTCCATGTTAGTTTTATAAAACTACCAAATTCACTTTAAATTTCATAAAATTTTCGCGTTCTTTTTCTATTTCAGACTTTAATTTTCAGCCAAGAAGACATGCGGTAATGAATCAGTTGTGGGCTTCTCAGAATTCACATGCTGTGGACATATCTGTTTAAATAGAGACACCGTTGGTATACATAAATTTTATCTAGATGGAGCAGTTTATCCATTGGAGGGAACAATTGAGATCGATTCACGCTGCACGACACTTCCTCCTACTATTGAAATCGATTTCCGAGGATTCTTAGTAAGTTAAGTCAATGAGGATTATGAGGATTAAGTTTTTGGAATTTGGAATCTGTTTCCATTTATTTGTTTTTATGAATTGATGTGATTTGTATTTCAGACTATGTATCAAATAATAGCTGGATTGGGATCATGGGCCAGATATTGGGCTGTTTTGCGTTGTGGTGTAGTGCAATTTTGGAAATATCCAGACGATGAAGTTTATGAAAAGGTTCCTGTGTTTATATATAACTTTACCGACATGTTATGAGATTTCAAAGATGCTTTTGTAGCATAGATTACATTTTAGCCAGCCCTTGCGTCTATGGATCTTTCGAAATGTACGGACAAAGAAATTAGACATGCACCACACGAAATCTGTTCACGTCCGAATGCTTTCACTGTCGATCTTCTGGTCCCAACATCATCCTCTCTGACAGAAAAGAAACGGTTCATTACTTTGATTACCAAGATATTGTTGAGAAAAAGTGCTTCACTTAAAAAGATGAAGTGGTAGTGACGTTCACAGACAGGAGAATATATTTCATTTTTTCAGTGTGTTGTTATCTGCGGATACGAAGGAGTTTTGCAGTGCTTGGTTGAATGCACTAAATGGGACATTGGAGGTACTTCGAGGATAGCCGCAATTTATCTAAATTCTCATGATACGAATCATTTTCCGACGTCCATGATTTTAAAGACTGTTATTTTTCAAGTTAAATTCTAATTACAAAACCCAGTGCTAAGTGTGACATGTTTGGTTATTTCCTTGTATGGACTTCATGCATCTCTTTCAACCCATTTTTTGTTTATTTGCTGATCTATTTTAATCATATGGCTGATATCACTTTTCTTCTTTTCTGGTTTTATTTCACAGTATAAAAAAGAATTCAACTTATTGTTTTTTCTGTTGATAAATAATCCGTACTAATTCGTATTGTGTGCTGCAACAAATGCATAGGTCCGACAGCGCAGTATTGACAGTTTGTATTCATCTTCTAGCGACTAAGTCAGTGATGTCCTATTGATTAGGTGGCGATTTTCCGCGTGACGATGATTTCACAGTCTGATTTTGGCAAAGTTAAGTTCGATCCCGTTATATTGTTTTACACTTTTTATCTTAGAGAATCTAATTGCTTATGAGTGAGTTGATCGGTGAAGGACGACGCATATGACATTGAGCATATACTATTATTAATTGCTGTTATTTTGTACGCTTATCAATTACAAGTCTGCATTTTTCCGGATCTATGTGAGTTCGCTAGCAAGTTGGGGATGTGATGGGTTCAGTGAATGGTCCTAAATATTGGGATCGTTTGGAATTCCCATTTGACGAATTTTAGTGAATTTGCAGAACTTAATCTTAACGCTTTCCTTTTTCAGTCCGATGGCTACAAAAATCCCTGTAACGAAATACTTCCGGCCGTTTGTGCCACCATTACCGCCTGGCACGAAAATTCACAACGATTTGTATTGGGATGTATATATTTATCGACCCTATTGTCGTCTCTGGGAGCGTGTAGGGGTCTACTTATACAATCGAGTGATTAATCGCTTCGAGATTGGCGTACAAGATAAAGCGTACAATGCTCGCGTTCATGGTCCCTATTGTCCTTGGAGATATTATGGAACAAAAAGTATTCTTTTTTTGGATCTAAATATAGTTCAGGGACTTTTTTCGAATTCTTATCTCCTTGCAACGAAATTTAAAAAACGCTTTGGCAAAAATTTTTCAATAAAGAGAAGCATTGCCAGAATATCAGGATTATTAGACTGGATTAGTTTTCAGAAGATACAAAATTGATGGATGTGAAATTATGCGATTTGCGTTCGTGGTTTTCGCGTCGTGACAAATCGATTGGAGGTATTGCATACGCTGCTGTGAAAAGTTTTTACAGATTCGAACACTACTATTTCGATCACTATCTTATTAATCTGGTTACATTTTTGTTTTTCTGATCATTTGGGAAATTAATAGTTTTGATTGCTAATTTGGGAAAAATATAGGGCATGTAGGATATCTGTGTAACTGCACCATAGCGCATTTCGAGAATAAGTCTATAGTCATGGAAGGATATTCATTAAATTTTCCCGGTGAGCATTGGAGTTCCAGCAATTACAAAGATTTGATTAAAATAAGTTGGCAAGAAGAAGAACTAAACATCCCATAAAGCAACCATTAAACAGGATTAACAGTTTGAAATTCAAGAAGTAACTATAACTACAATATCAATTTGTTCCTTACGCTCACTGTCTAGAAAGTTCTACTTAAGTGTATGAAATGATCTATCAAGTATCTGTTTAAGATTTATTGTGGACAATACTGTATAGTTATTTTTTCAGCCACGATTCTTCTTGCGTTTCGTTCTTTTTGCTTATCTTCTGGGAATAATACTTTTCTATGACGAGATTCCAGTTTCTGTCGCGAGATATCACTGGTGATGTAATAGAGCGACTTTTGATCTTTTTCTGAGATGTTTCATCGTTAAGATATTTTGTACTTTTAGTTGTATTATTTATTGTTCCTATTACTTTGTGATAGCGAAATTCGGGATTTGAGCTGTCATAATAAATTTCGACTTAGATTTTGCTTTCATGTAAATGCATTAAAGTTTCAAGCCTTCTTAAGTTTTGTTTTTTTTGTTCTTACAGCTCTTGTTGTATATTGCCATATGAAACTTTTTAGTTTTCAAAAATATAATTGCCACTGCAGTATAAATTGAGAATGCTCTGCTTCTATGGTTAAAAACACATTCCATTGTTCAGACGGATGATATTAACTGCAAACAAAGGAAAGCATTATCTTAATGAATATTGCAGAGGAGTCTTCTCGATGTTTTTCATTTCTGCATTCTGAAAAACAAAGCACGATCCCGTCTTAATGGTCGTAATTTACTATCAGAATTCTGAATTTATTAGTAGTAGTTTTGCCGATTACTTTAAACGTCAATGTGCGACGGAGAAAGAATGTGACATTTTACGCTAGGCATATGCTGCAAAATGAGACTATATATTCCCTATTATGATGCTTTTTACGAGTATTAGTCTACACTGCCGATGAGTTTGCATATTACGATGCTCGGGTGGGTACCGCTTCGCTTATAATTTTGCTTATCAATAAATAATATATTCCTTCCACAGTGAGTAGTTGTGATGAGTAGCGTGAGTGATTATTATTGTAGAAATTATATCGAATGGAACCACGTGGTGCGTTTATCGTACTTGAAGGATGTGACAGGGCTGGCAAAAGTTTGCAGTCTAGAAAATTGGTGGAACGTATCAAAGCTGCAGGCAAAAATGCAGATTTGATTTCATTTCCTGGTTATTGATTCAACTTTGTGAAATTGATTAACACTTCACTATATAACAAAACTGTTTCACATCTGTTACTTCCATTCCAATTCCATGATTTTTTTTTCATTATTTTAGTCATAATAATAGTAACAATGAGAAATAAATGATTCCAATTTAGATCGATCAAGTGACTTAGGCAAATTTATTGATCGTTATTTGAAAAAGGAAGTTGAGATGGAGCCTAAAGAAGCGCATCTAGTATTCGCAGCAAATCGGCAAGCACTTATGCCCTTGATGATGAAAAAATTGCTTGAGGGAACGCATTTGGTCATTGACCGATATGCTTATTCAGGCATTGCCTATACTCTTGCAAAAGGTATCCTTACTATTTTTGTTTTTACTCTAACTTTTCAGGATTTTTATAGCATTGGAGTAGTTAGCCTAATTAAAAGCATTGGACGAATAAAAACATTTTCCTAGGAAAGTTCTATCATACTTCACTCATTATCGTGTTATTTATTGTGGTTAAGGAGCTGAAAATATAACAATGGAATGGGCAAAACTGGCTGATACGGGTGAGTTCAGACCTGATTGTGTTGTATACTTCAATCTTTCATTCGAGGAAGCGCAGAAAAGGAGTGGATTTGGTGATGAACGCTTCGAATTTAGCAGTTTTCAAGAGAAGGTGAATGCCATTATGAAAAAGCTAGCTGCTGAGGACAGAGATCTGTGGAAAGTAAGTTAAACGAGCTAATTTTTTTTTTTGTTATTTAATTTTGAATAGAGTTCGATTGATGCGGAATACTGATCACTGGCTTTGAAAATGTTCTTGATAAAAAATTCTTTTCTGAATAAATTCTGAATAATGTTAACAGTCAATTATCCAATTTAAGATAGTGGATGCATCCTTGTCTATTGAAGAAGTTTCCGAAAATGTCTGGAAATTAGTGGCACCAGTTTTGGACAATGTGAACAAAAAGAACCTTATGTTTCTCTAAGAATGATTAAGCTGTTTCAGTTTGTATTTCAAACGCATCTTTTTTTACGATTTAAATAAGTGCCTTTTGAAATTTATTGCAACCATCTTAAATTAAATAAATAATTCCAAACTGTTCTTACATTCCATGTTGCTAATATTATTTATCGTTTGTGTATGTTGTACATAAACAGTGAAAGATGTTTCTCTTTATTATGCTTCTAGATATTTCCTTTATCTTTCTGTATTAGGTTCTTTTCTTTTGTGGTTTATTCGCAGTTTCTGTATTGAAGCTTAATCGAGGAACCGTATTTACTAATTGAGATAGGTAATATCAGTTATATCCGGTTTCAATTTAATGATTGAAAAATAAGCTGTATTTCTGGGATTTGTGTTTTAGAAGATTAAAGAACTCCTACTATCATGCAAAGTGAACAACGGGTAAAATCAATTGAAATGAAAAGTTTGAATTATTTTTTGAGAAAAAACTTTTTGAGAATTGCTTCTAAATTTTTCATGATTTGTTAGGAAGCTTTTCCCGAATGAAGAAGAGTATTTGCATCAAGAATGGTAGAAATATAAACAAAAAACCGAATTTCGATCAACAATATGATCTTATGACATAAAATATTCACAAGTGTATCATAAGTTCTCATCATCTTTTAGGTATGCTTATCTATGAATTTGTATGTGGAACTGGAAAGACTGGTAGACAATCTCGAGAAATTCTCTAATCTTTTACTGAGTATATCATTGTGTATATGTTCAAAGTTTGACAATAGAAGTAAATTGATCATGTCAAAGTAAAATTTCTATACATTTAACATTCAAAATCTCAGTTTTTAGTGCAATCGTAATCATTTGATTTGCAGCAGCAAGAAAAATATATTTTCTTGTTTTAAAATAAAGGCAGAAGTATTATTGTTTATTATCAATTTGAAATGAATACAGTACATGTAATCCGGTTTTCTTTTTTTGATCACTGGAAAGACTGGACGTATATATGTAATATGTATATTAAAAATTTTGATAAATTAAATGAACGTTTTCAAAGAAAAGAAACAACGGAAAATCTTTATACAGGTAAGTATCATTTGTTGATTATATTCTTTCGAGTCAATTAAAATAAATAGGATCAATTCAAAATATATTATTACTCAGGTACAATATAGTAAGTGTAGAATTACTTCGATCAGTTAAATCAGATGGTCGAATCTATTAAAAAGAGCTTTTCATTTTAGATAAATAGAAGAGAATGGATATTCTTCAATAACTCTAACAATATTAACCAGCGGTTTAGGTGGAAGAATGTAAAAAATTTGGTACACAATGAGAGGATTTATTGTTTTCAATTTTAAATAATGAAATTTCAAAGATGACAAATAATAGATTTATTTTTCCGAATAATTTGATTGTTTTTTGAATATTTTATGGAACAATTCTAGAAAATAGGCTGGGCGGATGGTTTTAGTTGTGAAAAAAGATTTTGAGCCGAGAATGGTAATGCAACGGCAGCTGTTCTTATTGGTGCGGTCAATGGTTCCCGATGAACTGTCAGAGCTCCAGCAGCGGTAGCAATCGTTAGGGAACCATTTGATTCGTGCTTTTTAGTATGCCGATCCAAATTGGTTTGTTGCCCAAAACAGCGGTCACATCGGTCACATCTACAACAGATTATTGTAGCCATCAAATTGAAATGGTCAACAATAAGCATGAAATAGGTAAATGGTGATAATAATTGTTATAAAAAGCTTTTTTTCCCTAACAAACGAAAATGTTTTGAATAATAATGTTCAGATTTAACAAGAATTAATAAATTCCTTGCAAGTTCTCTGCCATTACAATTGCACATTCACAAAGATCATTAGCCAGTAGGAATGATAAAGATGATTGCATGATAATAAATGATCGATCTCAGCCATTATGATATAATGATAGAAGAATGATAAACGATTTAGAGCGATTGTAGTCAATAATGTAATAGTGAAAATGAATTGTAGGCTAATCATGAATGCTATCTCTCTAAATAATAAATAATAAATAAAATATTATACTCATAATGATTAGCCTATTATCATTACCTGAATGGTTTCTCCTTATTATGTATGTTACGAACATGTCGTTGAAGATTTGAGCTGATTGAAAATGATCGATCGCAATATTGACACTAAAAAAAGATAATGAATGATAGACGGTATTGCATGCAAATAAAATTCTTGAATAAATTAAGTTTTAAAGATAGATATGATTGCTTAGCAACAGCCATACAAATGAAAGTAATGTGAATGATAATTTGATTGTTAGCTTACTAAGCTGGATAATTTGATTTACTTTTAATTTTTTACTGTTACTCATTCTCTATTCATTATCTTGATTAATGTTAGTGATTTCTGAGGTAGATAAATCTTGATCTAATTTCACTTATCATTTCGTGGGAAAACGAATAAACGGCGATTACGCCAGTGGACATTGCCCCACAAAACTGGTTTTTAGGTATAGCAAGAAAAGAGAGGAGAGAATAGGGGTTTAGTTGACCCCGCGTGTGCTAAAGTCTTCAGCGCAACACTTTCACTTTTACACCGCACTCCCATTGTTGATGATGTTGATTCGTAAGAACATATGACATCAAAATTGAATGAGCGGGGGGAAAAACTGAAGGTTTCCTGATGCCTGCAGGAAGGCCGAATTTAGAAATGAATGTCAATGAAAATATGTTCAAATTATTTACTCTTGCTATTGATGTTACTGAATCTCTTTGGTAAAACGATGTAACCATTCGGAATTCCGGATGAATACACTTTCATCATTTCAATAAAAAATAAACTATCGTCCTAAATTGTATTGGCTAAGTTACTTTTTGCAAAATGAGCATTGTTAAGTTTACAAAATAGCCATCAGCTCAATAACCGTATGAAATAAATGGAACCTTATCAGTCTTCTGTTGATAAACTTGGAGAAAATAAATTAGTAATAATATTGTAAATTACTAAAGTGAGGAATAATTTCATGATAAATTTTACTAGAGGTTGCTTTCTTGAAAATTCTTGTTGAGAAATCAAAACGATTTGTAAATTTGAAATTTTGATTGCAAAATTCACGAAAAACTGAACTATATAATGAACTGGAATACAGTTGACATATTAAATGAGTTCTAGCTTGAATTTCTTTTAGAATTTAAGAATTATTTGAAAAACGATTTACTAGAAAACTACCACTGCAATTCAATTTTGCATTTCGTGATCCGATAATTGTCATCATTTTGCTTCCTGCTTTTGCTTCGCAATGATAATGTTATCAGTAAAGTTATAATATTAATTTCAATCGAATTAACATTGCAGTTTTTGAGCATTGCAGTAAAAAAGACATTTGTTAATAAGAAATTAACAAATTTTAAATTATGAATTATAATTTGTGTAGATTTTACCTTATAAGGCTGTTCACCGGTATGTGTTCGAAGATGTCGTGTCAAGTTTGCGCTGCGTGGAAAAACTTTGGCGCAGAACTTGCACGTATATCGATCACGTGCAGTTTTTGAGAGTAAAGGAGCTGATGGCGCTGAATGATGTGAAAAATGCGTGTAGGGATTCAAGCGATTAGCTGTTGTAACAGTTGCTGGTGCAGGAACAATGGGATAGGTGAATGGACGACGAAGCATTTGCATGAAAGCAGTTGAGGAAAAAGGATTTACTGATGGGGTTAGATCCAATTTACCAAAATTTTTCGGTATTATTGATGATTCTGTGGATGCTGCCAAGCTTTCATACTCTCTTCCCGCTCCATCTTTTTGATTTCTTGATACGGGAAATGCTTGATCATTTTCATTTTCTACATTTTTCTCCTCTTTTTCACCATTCGATTGCTCCATCGTTGCAGCTTTATCTTCAATTTGCGGAGTTCTGCTTAACATTGTTACTGCTGCCACTGTTGTCCCAGTTCCAGATGCTTTCATTGATAAATCCAAAGGAGTTAATTCAAAATCACCCAACGAGCCATCATCACTTGAACCATGTGGACTATATTTTTGTTCGGTTGGTGATGGATCTGATGGTTGTTCACTAAAATTTATACGATACTCAATTGTCTAAAAATTAGAGTAATAAATTTAACTTAATTTCAATTAATATAATTTTATCAAAATCAAATAATATATATTCTTTGAATGAAATTTAAAAACAAATTATCATTAATATATTAGAATTATACTTTGTCTGCCAAGAATTATTATTGGAATTTCAAATAATCTAGCTTAAAATATGTTAATTGAAAAAATAAGTCAATAAAGTTAAATAAAACGACTATACCTGCTTCCAGGTGAACTTTCACCATCAGAACCATTGATAGTATGATAATCATCCTTCCATGGAAATAAGGTATTGGTAATTGTGGGAACTGATATTGGTACTGTTTGATAATGTTGTTGTTGTTGTTGTTGTTGTTGTTGCTGCTGTTGTTGAATAGATGCGATTTGCAGCAATCGAGACCAATAATGCGGTGGTACTGTGAGCAGCGGAGGCTGCGTTGCTGTTAAAATGATTTCAATGTTTTAATTATTGACTAATCAAGTGAGTTTCTTAATTGAAATTTTTTAACTTATACTTTTTGCTTGCTATTACAAAAATCATATAAGTTACAGTTACAAGGAAATAGAGAAATTCTTCTTCAGGCAAATGATAGATGCGTTTTGTTTTTGTTTCTATCATCGCTGTATGCTTTTTTCGATTTATTTTTAGATGAATTAAAATGAAAATAAAATGTACATTTTTTTATGATACCTTTTTTCTTAATAATCATTATTTTGTTTAAAAAGTGATTTTAAATGATAAGCTTAGAAAGTTTTTATAATATTTCTTTTTTGTACATATCGTTGTTACATATTCCAAACAGTGTGTTGTTTATATGATAAAAAAGGTTTACGAGAATTTTCATTGCGTCAATGAAATAAAATTAAAATTTAAAATTTGGGTAACTGATGAGAAATAATTTTGATATCACGAAAAATGTGAAAATTGAAGAGAAACAAAGAGATTTTGATAGGAGTAAAGGGCAAAAAGAGTTCAGAAGAATTGTGAAAATTAAAAGATAAGGAAAATCAAAAGATGAGAAGGAAGAAGAAGAAGAAGATTACATTACATTTGTTGAGATGTTGTCAATGAAATGAATAAGGAAAGAAATCGTTCATAATTTGTTGAACCTCTTTTCCCAATTATCCATACTTATTATGTTTGAAAAACCTGTTCTTTATACCTATTCCAATAACAATGCGCTATTGCAAATCACGTAAATTACTGGAAATGAAAAGTAGGACAGAAAGAGCGAAAGGGATATTTTAAAATTCAAAAATAAAGCTAAAGAAAAGAGTTGAATGATATCATATCAATTTCAATAAGAAATCGACTGATATTTGCAATATGCTTTTAAATTTTACAAAAATCAAATTAATCTGTCAAAAGCATTGATGAATGCATTGACTGAAGAATTCTTACCAATAGGCTTGTAAAAGGCACTAAGTGCGGTCATCTGTGGCTCGCATATGGACCTATGCCTAACAAGCGCTGATTGACTGGCTAACGATGCACTACAAAATTGGCATTGCCATCCTTCCTGAAATTACATATCATATCAATAATTGTTTTTCTTAATTCCTTCTTAATTATATACCTTCTTAATTTCAAATTTACATTGTTTTGAGAGGGCTCCTTTCTCAGACAATTGCGCTATTTATTCAGAAGTTTCTTTCAAAAAAGCAAAAAGCACATAAAATTATGCAAAAGATCTTTATTTTAAGATTGATGAAAAAAGTGACGTTTTCAAAATTTCATAATAAAATTTACATTATTTTTAGAATTTGAAATATTTGCAGTAATATATGCAATAAAAAAATCTTTCAAAGTTTTGCTGAAAATTTAAAGTTTATATTTCAATCCAAAATTTGTTATATAAACAGTTTTATCAGCATGAAATATAAAGACTATTGACAGCCTTCTTTATTTTAGATTCAACTCAAACATAAATTTCTTTCGGAATACTTTTTACTATTAATTAGTTTCTAATATTATTATGAATAATTTTTGTTTCATACAAACAAATGCGTTAATGTAATAATAATATGCAAACGATACAATTGAATTTTAACAATTTTGAATCTTTGAAGAAGAAATTTTGAGTTTGAAATGATAATAATCTTTATAATATTTTTGCACAAATTGCATTCGATTGGGAAGAATTTTATGAAGCAAAAAAATTTAAAAAGAAAAAATCATTTTTATCAAAGATTGAAAAATTATTTTATCTTTTAGTGATACATTACAGTGATAAAAAAATGATACATTAACAGATGAAGTGTTAATGTATGTCCGATGTAACTGACCAGATGTATTCGCTTATGACGACAAAGATTTGAAAATTGCGTATATGCTTTGTCGCAAACGTGACAACGAAATGGTTTTGAACTGCAGTGAATATGACTGTGTTGTTTGAGACCGCTAAATATAATTAGTTATATTTTGATAAAATTTAAAAGTTAACAAATTATTCATTATAAAAAATTCAAAATTTTTAGATTAATTTAAGAAAAAACGAAACTAATTAAAAATTTTTTAGTTAATTAAGTCATTAATCGATTAGTATATATATATTTAATATCAACAAATATACAGTATTAGTATTTCAACATAGTGTTGATTGATTGACCGTTCTTAAGCAATTACGATCCAAGGAATTATATGGCCCAATAAAGGAAGCCGTTAATCTAACTGCTACAGTAATCATTACATAACAACGATAAAAAACAACATATTGCGTAAATTATTTAAAAGCGAAACATCATCAAATGGCACACTGTATCATGATAAATTCTGAACATTATAATGTCATTTAGATGATTGCGATGGTTATTTGAAGTTTTTTGAAGTGTTGTTAATCCATGAATCAATTCTATTTTCTAATTTCTTCCAAGGCTTCCTAACATTTTATTTATTAACACGATGAGAAGATATTTAAATAATACAATGTTGTAAAGCAGCAAGTGAAATAATCTTATGAGTAATATTAAATAAATTGTGAATTGAACTCATTTCAAACTTCAACTTCGGTTCACTTTACAAATTCCTGAATTTTCTTTAAGAGCTGAGAAGGAACTTTTTCTTATTGTCAAATCGATTTGAACTATCAAGTAAATCTAGGCTTAATAGAACTATTTAGATTAATATCTTTTAAAAGATTAAACTTGTTGATTTCAACTTCACTCAGTAGCACAATTAGCAAAAGTACAAAGGAAGTGTGAATTTTTCCATCCTATAAACAAATAATCTTACAGTCAAAAAAAGAAAATTGTCAACTAAAAGACGAATATTTCAAATTTACTAAATTGTTAGTAAATTAGTAGATGATTGAATATCAGTAAATTATTAAGTAATTGAATAATTAGCAATGTTAGTAAATTAGTATTGAATAATTGAGTAATTAGTAACGTTTAAGTAATGTTAGTAAATTAGTAAGTAATTGAATATCATTACAAATATATATATATATATCGTCAAATTTTACAGCAGACTAGAGAAGCTATATCAAAAGAAAAATATCGAAGAAGTATATGAATAATCGAATAATTTATTTTAAGCATATCTCTCTATGTTTGAATATAATAGAGAGACTATAACAATATGTTTAAAGAAATTAAATAGTTAATGGTGAAAATAAATGAATGGTTATCATTTGGTCACCTTGCGGATGAGAAGCTTTTAGGACAAAGTTGACACTGATAGGCTGCCGCTGCTTGATGATGTTGTTGTTGTGCTGATGACGACTGTTGTTGTTGTTGTTGTTGAGCACTGCAAAAATGACAATTTTCACTTTCATCGTTTTTCATTTCTTCAATCATCTTTTTCATCTTTCTAAGATATCTACTCTCTCTTTCTCACACACACAACTTGCATATATTTCTACTACAACAACACGAAATTTGAACATTGCCAACGGCGGGGTCGTATCTGATTAGGGGATGGTGGTGGGAGGATATAGCGGTAAGGGATAAGATTCGAGTTCAATCCCAAACAAGGGCAGTTCTTCGTTCATCCCCGAGGGAAAAATTGAGAGAGGAAGGATTGAGCGGGGTAGAAGGAGAGTATGTGGCGTAATATGGGTCACTAGGACAATCATCGAAAGTGAAAATTACTGCCCTTGCTGTATTATTTACTCCTATTACTTTTTCTACGATTGCTATAACTACGACAACGGTTGCTGCTACTCCGTCCGTATATTCTTCCGTTATCGTTAGGTCTGCAAATCCATAAACTTCCTTTTTACACTCAAGGATGGGATAAAGAAAGAAAAATTGAGAGAATACTTGATAATTCAAATGATTATTTAATGCGGGAATCATTAAGAATTATCATAAAATGATGTGATACCAATGAGTTCCATCATGTTATACTCCTACTTTCCCACTAAGTCAAATATAACCACCGTTCAATCGAAGGTATTCAGAAAAGAATTATCATACCAATGTGAAGGTTTCGATACCTAAAAAAACTTTTATAATTTACAATCTTAATTATTTAATTTAAAATGGTTAAAATTTTTGTCATTTCATGAAATATTATAAATATCAATTTAAATTGTATTGCTAATGCAAACTGTAAATCTAACTTTATATTCATCAAACTTAAGAAATCATTGTAAATTTGTGAAACAATTCGTGGAAGAATATTTTTCAATTTGAATACATGCCTGAAAAAGAAAAAGACGATACTTTTCCTTCGATTTTTAGCAGCAATTAAAATTTTAATAACGAATGAATGGAAGCGATTGAACTCAAACGAACTTCACCCAGACCCATTCCGATAACAAAACATTTTTAAAAGTAAAATTCCATGAAAGGGATCGAAATTGTCACCTCTTTTTAAAAAAGAAACAGAAACAATACTCCTCCCTGTTATATTTTCAATCTATCTCCACCTTTTACGATATATCTTTATTTCTTATTGTTCATGCTGGGTTGCCCCCATCACCTAATTTCCTTATCATTTAAAAAATTCTCTTCCGGCTTTCGATTTATTTGAACTTCGTCAACATCAAAATGATACCATAGATTAAAAAAAATCAATTTTTTTTTTGAGAAATAGAAAATATGCATCTTTTTTGTTTTCCCCTAATAAACAGGATTTCGGGATTGTAGGATTGAAATGAAACACTATTTTAACTCAACGATCTTTTCTTTCCAATAGAAAATTTTCAAAATATTTTCCACAAAAATAATTTCAAAAAAAAGGGAACAACAAAGGCATGATTTCTTATGCTTTAATTTTTTATTTAAATTAATTAAGAAAACGAATTTTAGCCGCTTCTAAGCTAATTAATCCTTTAATATCAAATTATTCTTCAAAGTCTTATTAATAACAATTACACATCCTTATTTATTGTTTGCGATCATAATAGGATCATTTCAAATTTGATGGGACAACAAATTTGATAATAATTTTTTCTAAACTCACTCTATTTGGTAACTCATTGTTTAAGAATTAATTAATTGTTGTTAAAATAACATCTTCTTTTATCAAATAGTGAATTTGTCAGATTCTGCATGCTACTGATAATACATTCACTCCTTCTTCAGTTATTTGAGAATATCTCAAAGAAAATGAAAGAAGTAATAAAAGGATGATGAAAGAAATGAAACAGATTTACCTTTCTGAATAATGCTGTTGCTGTCGTAATTGTTGTCTGCTGGTGATAATATTAGCAGTATTACTTGAAGTAATAGTTGTTGTAGGATACGCTATAGCTGCTTCCGGTTTTCGAGAAATATTGGATGATATTGATGATGATGCTGATGATGGTGATAATGATGATGACAATGACGATGGTGGCGATGATGATTGTGATGATGATGGTGATGGTGGTAACGAGATGAATGAGGTGATAAGCTTCCGTAAACTATGCCTTTGCATGTGTAAGCAATCCTCAGCCACCATATCTTCATCATCATCATCATCATCATCATCATCATTATCATTACCACTATCATGCAAATGTTGCTCAATTTCGATTTCTCGATCAGCTATCAGACGTTCATTCACTTCAATTTCACGAGATGTTTGTAAGCATATCTGCAAGTAATTCCCAAATTTTCATAGCCTTAAAACCAAAAAAAAAGTGGTAGAAAAGAAAGTTATAATAAAATAATACGACATTGTCGAATACTAAAGAAATGAATCAAAAATTATTGAAAGAAGAGAAAGAAAAGTGAGAGGAGCTATAAACCAATAAGTTAAAATATTGTTTACTATGCAGATGGAAAGAAAATCTGAACAATGACAAAAATCGTTCAAACACATATTTCTAATTTTATTCAAAGCATTGTTAATTATTTTCGGAAGGATTTGAAAAATCACTTCTGACCTTCGCTTTCCATTCATCGGTAACGGTTAATTTTCAGTTCTTTTGGACAATTGCAGTCTTTTTCGATATAAGATTTAATTAATTAATTGATTAATTAATTAGGCTTATAGTTGTGAAATGAGAAAAAGATGAATTAAAAAAAAAAGAAGCTGAATGAATGGATATAAGCTTAGTTAGAGGATTCTTGAAGAACTGAGAGAAAATAGAAGAATCATCAGGAGAATGTTATTACGGTGTAAAGAGAGAAAAGGATAAAGCTAATGATGATGATTGGTGCTTCGTTTTTTTTCGTAAACCATACCTTACCTCATGATACAATTAATTACATTGTTTGCAATGAAGCGGAAGACATATGTTGCTAATTTGCTCGTTATAATAAAAAGGAAAAGAAGAAAGGATTATTTGGAGATGGATGGATAAGGACAGGAAGAAGGTTTCCTTTCTTTTCCATTTGCAAGGTGAAGGCTTTCGAGAAGGTCACCGCAGGACAGGTGCTTTTCAAAGTGGTTTATACATGTACATTCGTTTCCCTTTATCCATCAAGAAACTGTTGGATTCTGAGATGTAAATGATTGCTCACCTGGGAATCCAAGCAACCTGCTCCCTTCTTCTTGTACACCCAATTCTCTTATATTCTTGAATAGACTCATTTTAATGTCTTATATTGACATTTCATTAATGGAGAAACATGCCTCTTCTATGTTACTCATGTATACATAAAAGATTATAGAAAGTATATTTTATATAAAACATATCAATGAATCTTGTTCAATCACGATAACTTTGAATGGAACACAATTAAAATTTTGATTAAATAAATTGGAAATGATTTGATAGAAGAAATTGGGATGAATTGAGCTACTAAATCATTAATTGTATCGTTTTATTAATTGTATCTTTCATTAATTGTACCTTTTTATCAATTTTTCTTTTATATAATTTAATTTGAGAATAGTCAATTTTTATTAAGCCTTTGAATTTTTCAACCATTTCATTCAAAAATGATTCGATTATATTTTGCTTTCACTATTGTGCCATACTCATCTCTTTCTCACCATCATTCACAATATACCGGTTTTACGCAATAACCGAAATTACAACTTTCTTTTTTTTGTAACTCTTTCCTACGTAATCAATCGATATAGATCAATTCAGTTTGATAAAATAAAAGCGAATAAATAATTTAGCATATATGAGAGAAATAGGTATTATAATTTGAACGAAAGATGAAATTACTTTTTATAAAGTTGTTTGTAAATGAAATAAAGATACTAATAAGTTTTGAAATATTCGGTTTCTTGATATTACTTGACAAGAATGATATAAAAAAAGGTGATTTATTTCATTTCATTAAAAATACCTCATTGTTGTATTACTAATTATGATGTTGCAAGCACTTCATTCATATTACCAGGGAAAACAGAAAACATGAATGATAGTGCTACAAACAGGTCAGGTCTTTCAATTCATTATCTCATTCCTTTTGATGCTACTATTTATCACAAGGATCTAGGAACAGGATTTCTTTAAATTCACTTTTTTTTTCTCAGCAGATCCGGTATATAATCGAATGTGATTTATCCGACATTTAAAAAAATGATTAATTTCTCGGCCAGCCAGTCATTCGACACCTTTACTATTTTGCCTCCGTTTGATTCTGATGAAAGCGTTTTAGTTTTTCGAAAGATTATTTTTCATTTCTTTATTTAAAGCTATTGACTGAATCCTAAATTGTTACTAAAAATTACCTGAAATGTGGAAGAAACTAAAAATGAATAGGACTAAAGTTGAACTAATAGTTTCAGTAAAAGGATTCAGTTTTCAAAAAACCTCCCGAAACATAGGAATTGGATTTTCTCTAACACAACCTATTCTCTTTTGATTTCACTTGATTTCTTTAATTACCTCTACAATATATGATTAAGTCAGCATGATTAAAAGAAATGCTTTTTTTTCAACAGTAATTCGAAAGATCGAACTTTTTGTTGAACAGATCGCACCAGTATGTTGAAATTGCTTTCAGAATTTGCTAATGGACGAATCAAATTGAGTAAGAGCAATGCATTCGCATCATTTTCTCCTCCCTGAAATGATTAATTGTTATCAAATCAATTTAAAGATGAAATTTTTCAATTTGAAACTTAAAAGAATGAATTTTTACTTGCTGTATTATTATAATCGAATCAAATAGAAAGTTAATTTAGGATTCCTAATTTTATGATTAAAATTTTTGCATTAATTAATTTCTATTAAAATGAAATGAAGTTGCCTTAGTATGTTATATTTATAAAATTTCAGCTGCTTCAAAATTTTACTTCGAGTTTTTTATTGGTTATAAAAGGCAATAAATACCGGCAACTTTATATTTTATTTGTCCTTTTTTCGGGCTTAAGTACACTTTAATTTGCTTTCCAATTTCATACATTATTACCATTTGCGCACTTTTGAAATTACAACTGTGTAGTAAAACGATCTTACTAAGCATTATCATTTAAATTGTTAATCGTGCATAGCAATTTCAATTATCGCTTGTTTAAATATCCTTGTCGTCTCGTCTTCTAAAGCGGAAATGCGTCAAAGAAGGAATTGATAGGATCTTTCATTCCTTCTACTTACTTGACTGCATGGCTATCAATTTATCGACTAAACTTACTAAAAGTATATTTAATAAGCTTATGTTTACTATACAATTGTAATTTCAAGGAAGCTTTGAGCAATATAATGGATAGCCATTTAAAGCAATAATCTCTCTCTCTCTCCCTCTCTCTCTCTCTCTCTCTCTCTCTCTTGGAATATGAACTATGAAATGAATATCGTCAGTCTAAAATCTCATTTGCTTCATTAATGATATTAACTTCAATAATTACCTGACATGAATTTTATGTAATATAAATGAATTAAAACATCTTTGAAATAGCGATAATATTACTAACTAAGATAGTGTTAGCAATGATAGGAATATTAAAGATAAATATAATTATTATAATGTTGTTCAATATAACTATTATAAGGATATTGAGTAATAATAGTAAAAAATGATGATTATGGTAGATGTTAATAATAGGTTCAATGTGATGAAATAATTATCTTTGATTGCTCTCTTTTATAATTCCTTCAATTGATAGTTAAATTCATTATTTCATATCTATTTCTGTGCTTATCTCCAAGGTAGCTGGCTATGTATGATTGAGTTAGGCACGTCATCCTATTCTGTTGTTAGCCTTTTCAAAACGCTACATCAATACATCACATCTCTAGTTCTCTTTTTACCTACAACATATCATTCGTTCCAAATAGGTTCCTATAAGCTTTAGCTAACCAATAAACCTAACCATAAGCATAACAGCTTCATAGGGCAGCATATAAAGTGAACTTATGAAGACTAAAATATTGAAAAAAATATACTACCTTAGAAAGATTATCGAAAAAGAGCAGCGACAGCGACACGACGGCGACTTTTTTCCTAGGTGCTCCTTCAAAGAGATATCCTATCATATTCTATTGTGCCCTCTCTCTCTCTTCTTCCTCCTGCTATCTTATCATGAAATTGGCCAGATAAAGAGTTATCCTTCCATCTCTCAGTAGCCTATGACTATTCTTCGATATTTTCATTCCTTCCTTGTTGTTATCACATATAGCTACCGTATCCATATCCATCTATCTCCTTATCATCATCATCATCATCATCATCATCATCACCACTATCATCATCATAATCATCAATATTTGAAAATTAATAAACAGCAATTATGCGTCCAGCTATCATTAAAAATTTTGCAGTAAATATTCACAATTTTTATGACAAATTTCATATTTTAATGTGAAAATTAACAACTAATCAAATCTGTAGAAATACTACCGTAGACTGCCATAAACATTTGAACTGGATTTGAATCGAATAATTATATATGATGAATTAATATCATAATTAAGTTTTATAAAATGACAGTTTAACCGTTTTTTTCGACTTAAAAACTTGATTATCTTTAATTTTTTTAGGCCTTTTTTTAATTTTTTAAAAAAAATTTAAAGAAACAAGCAAAGCTTATTGTGTGAATTATTTCATGCAATACTTTATCGTTGCGAATAATTCTTTGTGGATTTCAATCAAATTCTACTAGAAAAGATGCCAAGGATATGTATGCAATTAATGAATGGTTGATTGATTTGCAAGCAAGGCACTAAATTGCACCAAGCAGATTATACCTCAATTTCCCATGTTATATACCAATTATTGAGTTGTAGCATATCTATCCATCATGCTAACCATGAAAAGCTAAATTGTAGCTTGCAAATTGCGCGATATTTGCGTAATTTTTTGAAAGAAATTTCATGATCGATAGTTACTTTATGAATGTAAATGTAGCATTTTATCATTATCTTTTCAAAAATTTAAATGCAGAAGTTATGCTACATTGTTAAATTATGCTGTCTTAACAAGTTTTAATAGTATGCTAAAAATTATTTAAATTCTTGAATTAAAACTATACTTATCCTTTTTTTAATTCATCTTTAAAATAATAGCAAGAATTTCGAAGATAAATGAAATTTCAAAGATTGTAGATAATTTTGAAGATTTCATTTATTAGATAGATTTGATTTATAAAATTTGATGAAGTTATACAGAAGATTTTATGAATTATATATATATTGTTTAGAGTTCTAAACAATATATATTTATTTATATACAAATCTTTTAATAATTAAAAAAAAATTTTGTAGTCTATAAACTTTGATAGAATTTCATAAGCTGCAAATTCTTATCAGACTATAATGTCATCAAAAATATTAGCCAATCACATGAATTTAATATTTATCAGAGGTGAGAAAAAACTTCATTATTTGAAGAGACTACAAGTAATGGATGATATTAATAAAATTTTTTTTTTAATTATCTTTTTCATTATATGAATATTTTTGATGTAAAAGCAATTGAAAAATATAATTATAAATGAGAATGATACGATGATTACTATAAAAATATCTGATGATAATGAAAGTGATAATTCATTCTTCCACTCATTCATTCATTCTTTTATTATTGATAACTAAATAGAAAATTTTTTCTTTGATGAAATGGTGAATGGTACAGGAAAAGGATCACACATGCGGATGGTCATTTTAGTAAGCAATGTTATAATAATTTATGCATGTTAATATATCATAACAATAGTAAAATATGGGTTCGTTACCCAAATGAGGAAGGAACGCGGAGAAAGAAGAAGGAAAGAAGGAAGGAAAGAAGAAGGTATGGATATTCTTTCCTTCCTTCTTTCCTACCCATCAAATCATCACACGGAATGCGGAATGAAAATCCAAAAACGGCGTGGGTGGCAAACAGCTGCTATATTACACATTCCATTACTGATTATGAGACACTTCTTTTTTTTTGCATTTCCGTAGACAATTCTGAACATATGGAATGGTAAGAAATTTGCATAATCTATTTGAGATTATCGTTGGAGGTAGTAGCTAAGAATAATTAACATCATAATTAGTTTGAAAAAAAAAGTATGCACTAGAATATTAGAAAAGAGATTTTCAACAGATCAATAAAGATCAATATCAACGGCAAATAGATGTGACATACAATTTATCAAATCATATCACTGCAAATCTATTAAAAATTTCAAATTTTAGTATCATTTAGATTAAAATCTGACTGGATAATTTATGATATCAATAACTGTGAAATTGGTTAAACTTCTATTGTGATGACAGAAGATTGATATCTTCTGTTATCGCAATAGAAGTTCAATAACTATGAAATTGATTAAACTTCTAATGTGATAATAGAAGAAACAATTGGTTAAATTTCTAATGTGATAAAAGAAAATATGAATAACTGTAATATTTATGTCAAGTAAAACGTATTTCTATTTGCTGATATGAAAAAATGCTATTTAAAACTAGTTTCAAGATTTAGAATGGCTATTAACAAATGTTACGGCAGGTTAAGATGCACATCCATTCTATAATTGTTTACATTTGATGCTAGTTCATGTTGATTTTTCATTTAAAGAATGCTATCACTGACAAGCTGTCATATCATTATGAAAAATTTCGGAACGACTAAAACTTAATAGCTCTACTTCTAATCAAAAATGTTAATCATCATAACCTACTAGTTGATTTTCAATTCACCAATCGATATCTTTTTATTAATATTATCAGTTATTTGTAGACAAATATTTTAATGATTGATAAAAAAAGAGCAATGATTGATAAGTGGAAGCATTATTAAAAATTATGAAATTTGAATATAAATGTATAAAATTGTTATGGCCTAAAAGATAACCTTGTCAAGGACACCAATCAATAAACCAGGCTCAAGTTTTTCTCTTGTCCACAATGAACTCGTGTGATCATCATTCTGCCGAATTTCTACTAATCGCAAAAAATTCGCATCCAAACTCATTTTTTGATAATTCCTGCGAAAAGATGAATTTATGATAGTTAAAAAAGATAAAATTTATGAAATCAACATAGCAAAAGAAGTAGAAAAATCTGAAAAATGTTAAAATGCATTTTGTTTTGAGATTTTTCTAATTCAAAAATTAAGAAAGAGTTGAAATTAAGCATTGTGAAATTAATAAAACTGTTTTAATCCTACAGCTGGCAACTTGTAATTTATTCATCAGAATTTTGTAAAATAAGTTACAATTGTAAATTATCGTAGAGCTAAAAAATTTGACGTTCTCTAAAGTATGCTTAGAACGTATATTCGGAAGCCTTTTAATAGTACGTTGAAGAAATCAAATGATAACAAATGATCAATAATTTGATACGACTGAAATAACGCAATAATAATGCATCGCGGAATAAGATTGAAAGCTGAGGAGAACAATTTATGTTATCAATGATTAGCTAATTTGAAAGTTAGATTATAATAGTCTGTTGGTACAAAGTTCAAGGGTTAGGCTGTGATATCCTTTTGGATAAAAAGATGAAGAATTAAAGTATATTAAAACTAAAGCTTATTATAATTTTTAAAAAAATTACCAAACTTTCATTTTAACTAAAGATATATAACCTATGAACTTTCCAGAATTTCTAGATATTTGTTTAACTTAAACGTTGTAAATGAACCATCATTTATGGTATACTGTAGGTGAGGTTATAGCTGTGAAGCATTGTAGAGGGAGTGAGAAATAGACAATGATGATACGTGAGGAGAGGCGATCACGACGACTGGCTGATGATGGCGCAGTTGGAGTGAGTGCGAATGAATGGAGTGACACTTGTCTCATCCATCTAAGGTAAGCAGGTAGGTTAGTAAGGAAGAGGCGGAGGCGCAAGAGAGGAACAGTCAGCCTGCTTACTAACCATCTCATCTGCCCAACTCCGCCTGCAGATAGATGTTGTCATCATCGATGAAAGAAAGGGTTGTGCGGCTGCTTCTTCCATCACTATCCTCTGCTTCCTTACGACAATCAACGCATCCGGTAAGTTACTTCTCCATCATTCCTCCTTTCCTTTATTTCTTTTCTTCTCATCCATTCATCCATCCATCTATCACTTTATTAAGGATGTGTGTGTATATGTATGTGTATGTGGTGCACGGGCGGGGAGATAATCGGCAGCCGTATAGTGTATCTCTCTTTTTTCTATCTATGGACTACGGTATTTATGACGTTTAAATATCCAAGCTAATGGAGGAGAAAATGATGTTGAAAAGTGATCCAAATAAGCTTAAGCAAAATGAAGTCTCTCTTTTTAGCAATCAAATTATCTTCACTCCAATACTTTTTTCAAATTTTCTTCCTTCTTATCATGCCTTACTGTATAGTTAGTTTGATTATGTTGACAGCGATCTAATGGTCATTTTAAGTGCTAAACAATGATTTGATGTAATAGTGAGCTATTTAGGGTAGACAAATATTAATGATGAAGGAAAATAATCATTGAGGGACCATTGCATTTGTCATTATCCATTATGGAAAAGTAAGAGAGTGGCAGAAATTTTAGGTTCACATTATTATCGAAATCCGCCATTTTATTTCTTTACTTAAGATTTCTCATTTGTCCTAACGAGAATGATCTCTGCAATTATGAAGAATAATTCCTAAAGATTCCTCTATATGAGTTAATAAAAATTCATCCATTCACTCTTTTATTTACCTTTTCAAATGATTAGCCTAAAAACTTTCCGTAAAATACTTACCATTATTTTTTGGCTTCCTTCTAAAAAATTCAACCCTTCCATATTTCGTCACTACATAGTAGTCCCTCATATTAGCAGAAAGGATTTTTTGATAGGATAAACAAATGGATCATAATTTAGAACACCTAATCGAGATTAGTGTGATTGCTGTGGTCACAATAAAATAGTAATGCCCTGTATGTATGTATGTGCGTGTGTGTGTGTGTGTATATATGTGTGTGCGACTAGGTGTATATGTTGAAATAATTGACTTTAGCTTATTTATTGTTCATCGAAAATAGGTAGAATGATGTAATGATGTGGATGACTCCTAAAACGATCCTTAGATTAAAGCTTAACTATAGGTCAATTCAGTTAGCTAGCTATAGCTAAAGGTAAGCTTAATGTGCTCCTACAATTCACTTCACTTGACTGAAAGCTGGAATACTTCAATGCCATATCGTAGTACCTGCTGTCAATGTGATGAATTTTTCATAAAACGATCAGCATTACTCTCAAATGCACATCGGCTTTGTACATCCTAAATTACTATTTAATGTGCCATCAAAATACTAATTAACTATATCCTAACTATAGGTTCAATTTATAAATCTCTTCCATCTTCTCTTTATTACATTCACCTTCTTTTCCATTTATTTATTCATTTCTTTTTTTCTTTTCTTCTGTCCACTTATCCTTCTTTTTATTAATTTAATTTTAAATTTTTCATTAATGAAAATTATTTAATCAGTTATAAATTTGTAGCAAATTTTCTTTAAGCAAAACATTTAAAATTCATTCATTTTAGGTTAATTATGAGAATCAAACAATGTCGTATAGATCGAAATGCAATATTTGAATATCTCAAAATATGTTCTTTGCTCTTCTAATTATACATAACTTAACAAAAGATATTAGACTCTAATGAACAGTTTGAAATATATTCAAATGATGATTTTATATTTATTTTTACATTATGAGAGGGGGAGATATATGGTAGTGAAGTAGGAAAAATTGGATGGGTTAACAAGAAATGAATTTTTTTAATTAGAAAATGATAAGATGATAACAAAAAGATCTTTTGAATAAAAAAATCACTGAAATTTGTTGTTGGATCAGTTATGTGATAAGTTCTTTTTTCCACCTCACTTTTTGAAGGAAATCAAAGAATAGCTTCAATTCAATATGCCAACAAATAAAACAAATTGTGCAACTTATCAAAGATTCAATAAAAAGAAATGAATTCTTTTAATTAGTAAATGATAAGATGATAGCAAAAAGATCTTTTCAATAAAAAATCATTCCATTAATCACTTTATTTTCATTCAAAAAACAAAAGAAATACAAATTATTTTTTATTTAAAATGAAATTTCAGTTGAACCTTTCAAAAAGAACTTTTAGGGACAAACCATTTTGTATAAAGCATATGGAGTATATCAGGCTACCCACTTCATGATATATCTATCTCCTGATGTTTTGTGAAAAAACAAAGCAAATATTCTGAGATATATATTCCAATACATGACAAATCTTCAAACTTCATACTTAAGGCTTATTTTGCTATTAGGATCATAAAAACTAGAGAGAGAGAGAGAGAGAGAGAGAGAGAGAGAAGGGAAGAGAGAAAAAAGAAGAAATATAAACAAGCATAGTTACTGTTCAATCCCTAATTGCTATCATCATTATATTTTTTGTCATCATCCATTCATCATCATAATATTGTCGTTTTATTATTTACATAAAATTTCCACCACTAATAAGGAATTCAGCAGCAGTAAGTCTTTTCGGTCGTTCCATTCAAATAAAATGATAATATTGCGAATGGAATCAACACTTAGGTCTAGATTTTACCATTGTTAATTGTGAAAAGTATTCAATTGCTCCATCTGAAGATAAATAAGCCGTACGATACACATACACATACATACACACAGATACATATACACACATGCATACATACATACACATACACACACGAAAAAGGAATTTCTATAGAAAATAAATCATCGAAATGATTGACTAACTGACAAATTGACTCGATCGTATCAATGGAATATGAAAAATTGAATAATAAGTGTTGGTTGCACCCATAAATATCTTATTGAGAAGAAATGGAAACTTTATGTTAACAAATATCGAGCAGATATGATGAAATATGATGGCTTGTGGAAAATTAACATTTTTTCCATCGAAACTATTTTTCCGTCTGTGTGTGTATGTGTATGTGTATGTATGTATGTAGTATGTATCTGTGTGTATATGTATGTGTGTCGTTAATAACTAAATTTTCACTTCTATTAATTGATAGTTTACGATAGCTGGAAATGTTGTAATCGCTATTGTAACATTTCCAGTTATCGTAAATTGCCAATTAATAGAAGTGAAAATTTAGCACCTTTTCTTCTGGCATGTTCACTATTAATTTTAATTTACTTGCATAATCTTTAGCTTTTAGTTGTTTATTGATTGGATCTAACTTTCATATTTAGAAAATAAATGATAACCTGTCTTAATTCCAAATGATATATCAAACTTCTAATTAATTCATTTGCTATTAAATGGTAATAAAAGATGATTAATGAAATGTAGCTGTAATTAATTGATTTCTACGAACTTAAATCTTTTTCAATAACTATTTTCTAACTAAGACACGACTATGTCTATTGTTTAAGTAGAAATGAGAAGGCTTTCCAAGTGTATATGTATAAGTGGCATTTTGGAATGTGAAACGAACTTGCTATATTGAAATGCATACGTCAAGTCCATTTTATATCATTAATAACTATACACTTGTAGGTCTGCAGAAACATTATATCATAAATGCAAATATTGTATAGTTAGGTATATCAAGGCATGGAAATATATCAATGTTTTAAACATGAATTAGTTAAAAATTCGGTGCAACAAATAGGTAATTATATGTAATGGATTGTTGACAGGGAACCATAAAATGATTCCAGATATATGAAATATACATAATCTGAGAGAGACCGAAAATGTTATATCGAAAGGTTAAACACTTGTCTTTCCGATATGTAAGCATCAGATACCGAATAGGGCTAATCGTTCTTTTATGTCCATTTATTTGAGTCAACAAACAAATGATTTAAGGAATGAAGTGGCTTAAAAGTATGAGATGATTAAGTTTTAATTTTGATGCTATCATTTAAAAGGCATTCCAAAAGGTAATGATGCAAATATTATTATTTACATACCTGTCTTTTGTTTTTTCCTCACTAAAGTAAACATATCGTGCTGTTTTCGCACCTTTTTAGGGGATCCTAATCCAAAATCATTCTCTATGAATAATAATTCATGATTAGTATTACATTACACATACTTTATCGAAGTGTACTGATGAAACAAAGAAGGGAAACGGTGGATGTGTGAGGTAAGTAGATGGATGCGTGTGGTTGAAGTGGCTCAAGCTGTTTAAATCATCAATTGTCACAGAATCTATAAGTGTATTTATTTATCTATCTATCTACATATCTATTCATATCTACACATAGGTATGCATAAAAATATAGAGAGACAAGACGAAAAGACAATAATTGACGTCGGTCCTCTCAAAATGCCCAGATCTTCAATGAAATGAGCAGCAATTCGATACTCCTCAACTTATTGTTATTCAATCAGCATTACAAATAATTACTGCAACATAGCAAGTAGTTTGTTGACTCAAAAATTTTCAATCATCTACTAAGAATAACATTTTACTCATAATCTCCGTGACATGACATATAAATTACACATACATATCCTTCGAAAAATACCACAATACGCTTGGTTCAATTCGCTTTTTTATTCCGTTTGATTGAAAGTATCAATATCACAAGTTTTATAATTACTTTGATTATAACACTAATTACTACTTTAGTGATTGCAAATGATTACAATATTAATTACGTTTATCTGAATAATTGCAGATATTAACAGTGCTCCTTACCTAGAGAAGGTATAGTTCATTTCATTTTTTTCAGCGATAGGTTTTTTTAACACTTTATCATTGGCAACATCGGAAAATTTATTGATATAAATGAAGAATGAAATGAAACCACTCAAAGTCATCAAACAGTAGTAATTGGTAGTATCATCTACAATCTGGCATTATCAGAACTTTTTTATGCAATTTATTTTATGACAATTATAACCAGTAATTGTTATGTTTAATTTTTAAAGCAAAATATTTCTTATATCATTATTTGAACAAAATATGACTGAGTTGGTAACATAAAATGGAAAGCGATAAAGATAGAAACTTCAATGATAAAGCTAACGTACAGATGAAAATTTGAAAATGATTATTAGCATTTCGGAACATTTACATCAATCGAACGGATTCAGTTAAATAATTTCTAAATTTACAAATCCATTTAATTAATACATAAGTAAAATGTAAAGGAAGATAAAAAACCAGGATCAATTATAGAAGTGATATAAATAAGTTTTCAAAAATGATCGCTTTAATAATCACTTTAGGGAATTATTGAAAAACAAAAAAGCGGTAAATCTTCGATATAATTCTGATAGAATTATGTAACTAAATATTTAAAAAGCAAACATTAATATATGTTTAGCCATTGAATCCATTTCATCGATAATATGCAATCGAATTTTAAGACTTTGTGCTCAATGAGCAGCTGACTGAACTGCCATTTGAGGAGTAATAATCAATTTGATACATCAATCAATCTTACTGTATATGCATAGCGTTCGTTGTATTCCAACCCTGCATAGCTATTTTAAAAATTATATCATTTTGATAATATATTTTATCTTCTCTTCAACAACTAACACGGATATGATGTCGGATAACCATAAACTCCAACGCAGCAAACATTGAAACTTTGGAATCTTAAAATGCTGACTCAATACATATTTTTTTGTAAGTTTTTCTGCTCTGTGACAAGAAGCTACACAGTTATCCTGATAATGATGGAACAAAATACATCCCAACAGAGATAGTATTTTGATAAATTAGTATGAGCTACGAAATCAACTAACATTAGCAGTTGCCATTCACATAAGTAGTAAAACATCCAAACGTCAACAACTTATGACTGCTTGATAAGCTTTTGTATTGATATCGTCAAACAAACTATTTTACTCAGCATGAATACCGGATTGTCCGTCCATTCAATGTGATTTGACTTCTATTTATATAGTTTTAAATAGTAAAAATATGGGTTTTCAATAACCTATTATCCGAATATAATTAGAAAATTGATTGAATATCCAGCCTAATCTGGCAATTACTGCACATATAAAAAACGCCTGTAAATTAGCTTAAAAGTAGCTATAAGTGAAACGCAGAAACAATAACCTTTAATACAGTAATATTTTAAACAAATAACAAATGCAGAAGCGATAAAAATGGTAAAACAATAGGAATTTACCGTTTAACGGAAATTTTAATAAGCCCGTGTAATGGAAAAGCCACAGTGTCTGAAAAGTCACACTAGAACCACGATGATCTAAACAGTTTTCAACATAATAAAATCAAAAAATTAAGATTGAAATTTAATAATCGAAAACTTACATTACAAACGAAGAAAAATAAAAATTATATAAACTATAATGTTACCGTTACAAATAAGTGATAAAAATATAAAAAATTATTTAATTACATGAATCAGTGGTATAATAAATGAAAAAAGTAATAAGGCGTATCAGTATTATGTTACTTTTCAGAGACTAATTACGGATGACAGTGAAGAAACAAGAAGACACGAAAATATGAAAAACAACAAAGTGAACAGAGCAGCAAAACGGAAATATAAAAAGAAAATAAGAAATTAACAAAATACAAACAACATATTGAAAGATGAATATTAAAAAATGATAAGTTTTAAACTATCAATTCCCCTTTTAAAACTATCAAAAAAGGGATTAAAAAAAAGTTTAATACATGAGTTGTCCTGGATTACAGAGAAATCTTTCAGACAACATCAGTTTTCATTCTAAGTTGTTGTTGTTTTGATAGTTAAAATTACACATAAGGCTCATCTAAATCCACCGAATTTCGACAAGTTTTCTCGAAATTAAGCCTTACTTTTTAATTTGAAAAAGTAGTACTTTTTTGGTGAAAAGAAAGCAAATTTCTCAAAATCCACATGCAAGAAGTATTTTGATAGATAAAATTATACATAAGGCCCATCTAAATCTATCGAATTTCGACAAGTACGAAAACTATCACTTCCACGACTTCCAAGAGAGAGAAAAGAGTGTGCTCGTCTGTGAAAATTATCTCTTGCAATTTTTTCCAGTTCAACTGATACTCGTCGGCTGTTGAACTGTCCTGGTTGGAAGATTAACTCACTCTGCACAGAGTCCACTTCGCTGAAAATATTTAAATAAGAAAATTCATCGGAAAACAAAACAAACGCTCAGATGAATGCTATTTTTTCCTCCATCATTTAACGAGTTATGAATGTTCAAACTTTCCAGTGGAAAAAGCTTTCGTTGCATAAGCTGTACAAAAACATTCTGCTTCACGAACAAAATAAATAAAGATTAACGACATACTTTTCTTCTGCATTATTTTGACTGCTCTCTAAGCCATTTCGAGCGCTGACCGCGGAAGTAATATTTGAAATCCGAGCTTGTCGCGCAAGAAAACGTTGTCGTTGAAGTTGAATGAAAATATTCGCCGGAATATCAGGTATCACATAGGCAATCATACATCTGATCATTGCTATTAAATGCTTAAAAAAGTATATTCATAAATAAATAGGTATAACCGCAAGTGACTCGAATTCATATGTAAAAGGTGTAACAAACTGAAAATTACGTCATTTTCTTATTAAATGTCATGAATTTCTGATAAGAGACTTAAAAAGAATACTGTCAGCAATAAGTGAAGTGCTGAAATGTTCAAAATAAGGCACTCCACAAAAAGAAATTAATGCTGCAAAGGGAAGACAAGGAGAAGATTATATAAGGTTCAAAATTAATTCGCAACCCTTTAAGTAATCAATAATCAATTTACAGTGAATACTTATCAATAACTTTCAGGATTTTGTTCGCCTTCACACTTTATTCTTCTGACAACATTGCCATCTTTCAGTTATTTTACTACCCAATTGTGCTATTTCATAAACTAGCCCCACAAAGCTGCAGTCGTAAGCAAACATAATGTATAAATCGATTCAATTAGTTCGTTACTTCCTAACTTCCTTATCAAACGTTAAGTGTTGCGGAATAGAATTTTTCTCTTGGATGCATGAAGGATGAAACATACGCATTATCATTATTAATGCTTGCTATAATCAGAGAATAAAAAATTAGTGATAACGACAATTATCTTAGTCTTAACATCAAAATCATTCTGTTTCGAATTATATGTTACTTCGACTCAAATCAAGATAAATTATTACAACTATGCCATAATTTATAATTTGTTACATAACTTGCAACACGAAATTAACAACTTGCCTCGAAAATAAGAACAAATGCTAAACGAAAAGTAAAAACAATCCACCACTGCATAGTAAAACCATAATCATTATCACAGTCTGCCAACGGATCGATAGTACAAGGTGGCTTTCTGTAGTCACGAAACCTGATGTTATAAAATTATATAGCTCCCGGCTTCTAGTAACAAAACAAATACAATATCTGATATGACTAGTGGGATGTACAGAGTGCTATTTCCTTATTTATGTCATATATTTACCAAACTTACGAGAGAAACGATTTTGTGCTCTATCTAAGGAATAATTATCTTTCATTTTCTCCAGAAATTTGGCAAGTGAAAAGATGGTTTTATTTTATTGTTTATTGTTCAAAAACAACTATGCAAGTTCATATCTTTTAAAATGAATAGAAAGCTTGTCATATAAATCTCAATTTTAGAAACTAACCTACAAACAGTAATGTTATCATTCTTGAATTCGCTCCACTTCACAAAAATTCCAGATGAATCATAAAAGGAGAGTGAGTTGTTCACGTATCCGTACAATTCATCATGCATATACACAAACCGATAAACAAAACGGGGTATAAAATCGCTCGTAAACGCTATGATACAAGCCTTTAAATAGAAAATTGTATAGGAAAAACAGTAGAGAATGAGTGTCATATGTTTTTTTTAAACCTGTTTTGCAGACCTCAACTAGATAAGGTACTAGAACTAGCGTCCCTTCGACAATATCTCTTAGATTTCACACTGAGATAGTGAAGATGAAACTTACATTAACCAGGACAGCTGCTCTGCTAATCATGCTTAAAATAGGCAGCCAAATACCAATATCACGTGCTCGCTCTGGCATAGGACGTCGAGTGGCAACTACGTATTTGTATGCATCAATGCGAATTTCAAAGATATTATTCACCAAAGCGAAAAGTGGTGCAAGCGGGAACGCTGACACAAAAAGAGTTACAAAGCCAAATTGTATCACTAAAAAAAGATTTCTTTCTCTTTAAGAAAAAAAGTATGCAGAAAGACTACCAATTCCTTTTGTCATGAGTAGCTCAACAGAAAACGCATTTTTCTCCACAAATTGCAAAGATTTAAAAAATTTTACCAACAAATCAGGCATTGGTAGGGTCAGATAAACTGCCTTAGCAGAATAATTATGACGCATTCCGTTTAGGAAGTTTTCAAACCGTTGTGAAGGGTACCAAATTACTATATATCGAGATTATTTAAACTTATAATTAAAAATAATTAGAAACCAACCCATTTCCAAATATTCATTAAATAAGAATTGTTCATATGCAGGATTGAGTATATAATCTTGCTCCCATCTAGCTAATTTGTTCTTTTTATTCAGTCCATCGACCAATTCATGCTTTGTCCTTTTATCTCGTTGCTTTTTGGTTTCCAATAATCGCAGCGAGCGTAACCAAGTCTTAAGCATTCTGAAAGTAAACTGCTTTTCAAAATCAATGATAAGATCGTTCGGTAGGAAACAAGGCTTTCACTTCTAAGGCAATTCTGTAATGTTCCATTATGATCCAAAAAATATTGCTTACGGCCATGCAAATTCCACGAAAGCATTCCAGAATTGTTTACCACACATGATGATTGCTAATTGTATTACAAGCTCGACCATACAACCAGCTGGATCACATTCTTCTGGCCGAAGACCGAAATAACGTCGTCCAGGTACGCTTGACAAACTACAAATGTCTCTTTTAAACCGATTGAAATTAATTAAATAATCTGCAGATTTACACTACACGTCAGTATGGGTATCCTTGCTATCCTTCTGGACAACTACCCAGTAAGATTTGTATGGTGATTAATTTATATTAATAGATGATTAAGATGCATAATACTTTTAATCCGAGATATAATTAACACCTTAAATAAAACGAGGAATATACTGAAAAATCATTCAGTTGTGAAAACAAAGCTACGCTGTCAATGTCATTTCTATAAGCTGATGAAGTCTTAAAAATGGTCTAGGAATCGAAAATATCGAAAATATAGCATAAAATAAAGTCAAAAGGATGTCGAATTAAATGAAATGACTAGTTTCTATTAGATATCAAATGTGGCAAAATCCATTCAAAAGCCAAAACTGAGATGATCCATCCTTTAAAATAAGGTAAACAGTCAGATCACGAGCAGCTTAGTGATCTGAAAATGCGTAGATGGACAAATAGTTGTGCAATGGCATTATCATTACGAATAATTAATTCCACGATGAAGACAATGCAGAGAGGAATGGTCAGCTGGAAGATGAATTCAAAAACAATCACAGCTAACAACAAAAAATTATTTCTAAAGAGTGGTTTCATATCCAGTTATGAAGCATTTGCTCTACATGAAAATGGATAGATGAACAAACTACTGCAAAATGAACATGACAATAGCATCGCATCAACATGGCAAACTACCAGTACTGACGCAATTTTGATTTAGCAATATTATTCAATATAATTCAAATTTAAAAACTTCAAAACATACTTTCCCTTTACGAAAGCAATGTAAAAGATGGATGAGTAATAGTTGATAAATTGGAATAAATAAACTTTAAACGTGTAGCTATTATCGAATTCCAATTGGGTCCTTGGACATTCCCAATTTGTTAAATTCAACGCCAAATATGAATAAAGCTAAAAGTAAATAGAATCTCAGGTTAAATAATAAAAGTACAGTGACCGAAAGCTCCAATTGCTTCTAATTTGAGTGACTTTTAAGTGACTCATCTCCCTTCATAGCATTATTTACCTGTGATAATTTCACAGCTCAGAAAAAAAGTGCTATCTGAAACTTCAAACACATGGTCTGCCAGACATTAACATCTTTCCGTCAATATAATATTTTTTTTAGCTTAAATCAAAATTTTTAATTAGAAACATTTGCATGTTTCTGAGCAGAAAAGAGTTATAAAAGCAAGTTATTTTTCGAGATCTTCCGTAAGTTAGCAATTTTTTAAACATACATAGCTCATTGCTAAAATAACAGATAAATTCAATGTCGCAGCAGTAGTGAATGTGAGGAGATTTGCATATGATTTCATTTCATCCATCCGATAAAGAACTTGAGCAAATACGATTCGATAAATTATAATGCCAATAACAAACGCTATCACGAGAAATAGCTGCAAATAAAACAAATAATTGAGGTATTTTTGGAAGGAATTGAAAAAAAGAAAAGAAATGCTGTTGCACATTACGTTACTTCATCGGCTGTAATAGCAGCTATGCAGAAATGAAGAAATGAAATGAAGAACCTAACTCCTAATTCGGCCTTCAAGGAAAAAAGTTTTTGCCACATTTTAGCATTTCCTTAAACGAAAAAAGTCAAATGAAATAAGTTAAGCAGATTACCAAAACTATTAAAGAAACTCACAAAGAACAAAACAGTTGCGGCAGATCCGATTAAGTGTAGAAACTTATGACGAAATGTTAAATAAGGCTCCAGCTGCTGCGTAACCGGATTGATTCGCATTGTTTTTGATTTTTTAACACGTAACTGATATTCAGGTCTGATTGTTTCCTGAATTGAATAATTCAGTTAGTTACGAAAACTGAAGTAAAAGTTTGAAATTTTTTCTGTTGAATGAGGATGCAACTTACGGTATTTGTAAACATAGTGAACTGATAAGAGAGATTAATGCATTCAACCAGCAATTCTTTTAAGAAAGAGAAGAAATGAGACCTGATGAGTTAGGTACAACAAAAGAAAAAGAGAGAAAACAGATTTTGATAAACAGGAACTTCATAGGATTATAGAGCTTACTTGAATAATTATATGATGATGCTTATTACTGCTAATTAAGTTGATGAATTGTAAAAATATTTCCGATTTGTAGGAATGGTCTTATGCTTCGCAACAATAATGTTTTGAGCCAACAATCTGTAGAGAATTTGAACCTACAATTCTGCTACAAAAGTAAATACTACAATTTTCAAAAAATATGTGTATAGAACCTCGTCAACTTCAAAATCAAGCAAGCCCCATTTCCAGGCCACTTCAGCGTGATATCTCTTCCACCCTTCTAGAAAGAGCGTTGCAAATATGCTCATCATGGCGGCAAATATAACAGTCGACGTATTATCAAACACATATGACAGCTGCAACTTAATAATAGGTTGGAAACAAGTGAAAATAATAGGTTGGAAACAAATCATCTTGCAAATGCAGTAAAATGTAAACACATAACAAATAAAAAACAAGCAAACACACAAATAGTACAGCACATTTTCAATAAACAGAAATTAAAAGCAGCAAAGAATTTCTATTTCTATTTGGTGCGGCCGTTTGCTTCAGAAAACTTCTTGAACTTTCCTTCTCAGAATAATCAAAAGTACAGCGACAATACCTTTGAATATATGCAACTGGAATTAAGCCGAGTGTAATCACAGTACTTGTCACACGTTGGGCATAATATCACTTTAGCACCAATTCCATCACTACCACAAATATCGTTACTAAAACAACAAAAAAATACATAGTTCCAAATTTCAAGAAATTTTAAACCCTAAAATTTAAATTTACAGTTTAATCAAGGTGTTAAAAGGTTAAAATCGAAAAATATTCTACAATGAGGAACAGCAAAACACTCAGTGCATGCAGAATTCAAATAGGTCCGTGGGTTCAAAAATACAGAACCTATAGACCTATTTGAATTCTATATGTAATGCGTGTTTTGCTGTTTCCCATCACAAGTCCTTATAATTTTCTCAATTTCACTTCCAAATCTATTTCCTAACCAAATAATTTCCCATGGGTTCCATATTTCATGTTTTTGTCAATTTCGACATCAACCTTCAAACAATTACTCTATTGAGCGTATAAGATATCCTAACAAATATTCTTGCGTTGTCCTCAAAGAAAACAATTTAGAAAATTTGGGTAAAGGACTGAGGTGTATACGTAAGCGTAAGCTATTATGAGGGTAGAAATTAAATAAAAATAAATCAATATTTATAGAAAAATAAAAGTGGACCTCGGTGTATCCTCTGAAATTGTTAATATTCCATAAATAAAACATAAAACGCCGATGACAGAAGCAGGAACTAAAATTTTCGTATAGTAACCTAACCAGGCAAAATACCATCCAACTTTCGAGCCAAAATACTTCCTAAAAAGATGAATCCAACAAACTCTCTTGCTGTCAAAACTCCGAGAAGTAATCCAAGAATCACCACCCTCATCAGTCAGTGTACTGCAAACTTCGCAAGGTAATTTTTAACATTGATTTTAAGCGAATGCTCAAAACAATGTGAAATTCATCCTGACGCTAGCAGAAATAAAAAAGATGAATTCTACTTAAAATCGATTCGATGCATAAAATGCATTAAAGAAATCTGCTTCTTGAATCAAGCCAAAGACAGTAAGCGCATAATCTGTTACCGCTATGAAGAATTTGGGAATGATATAGAAACAACATTTGGCATTTCTCAATAAATGGAAAAAAGAGAATGCGATAGGACAAAGAATGTTGACATACTTTATTAGTGCAAGTGGTTGAAACTTGTAAATGTTTGTAATGCGAGCCCAGTTCCAATATAAAAATTCACGATCGGTACTTCTATCAGCATTGTACTTCTCCCAATCACAGTTCTATGAACAGAAATACAAGAAATGGCAATAAATATTACCGTATAAAGTATATTGAATCGTCAATAAAAGATAATCGACAAAAAAACACCAACTACCTAACTGTTTCTATCAAGACGATAATCAAAGTTTGCATCAAATAGATCAAAAAGGCTAACTAAAACCACAATCCAAAATACCCAAAATTTTATAAAAATATTTCGATTTGATATGTCGATGTTACCTCGTGAAGAGGAAAAGCTGACGTATATGTACCATTCTTGATCAAACGTTGTATGCCAACGCGATATTTTTCGGCTTCACGCGTATCATATTTAGTTCGAATCAATAAATCATATACTAACCGACTTCGTTCCGAATCGTCAAAAAATGTATTCGGGTTTTCATGACCAACATAACTACAAACAATACACAGGTGGGGTCAACCATACACCAAACAAAACGCAGTTATTTCAATTACGAAGAAAACGCTTTTTATTACTGAATCACATACTTAATACAGCGACTTTGGAGGTATCTTGATTCTTTCTACATATTAATTACTAATTTGTTATGAGTACCACTAGCTTTCACTGAAGTAAATTTTGAAGTAAATTTTCACTGAAGTAAATTTTGGCTTTCACTGAAGTAAATTTCTGAAGTAAATAATAGAGATTTTAAACAAAAGCCAAAAGCATACCATTCAAAATGAGCAGCCATGAAGGGAGCTGTAAAATAATTTGGTTCTTTTAATCGTTCATTTGTCTTCTCATCGAATGTTAAAAAACGAAATCTTTTCATAAATTTATCCAATATTCCTTCCAAAATAGTTCGCTCCTGAAATGGAGAAACTAATATTTTGCAATATTTATTATAAATGAAGCTCTCATTGTCACGAAATTGCTATATGTCTTGTCATAGATCTGGTTCTTTCAGAATGCTTGCATAGATATAAACTGGAAAGTTATATTTAAAAATTTTTTGATGCTGCTAATTCTCCTAGTTTTAAGTTATAAAAAGACATCTGTGTATCCACTTGTATCTTTTTGATAAAACCATACTTTTTGAAATAAAAAAATGGATCCTAGTCTAAATCAATATGATGCCAATTTCAGTATAACGAAAATAAACTAACTTTCACATCGCTCTGCAGTACTGGCATCTTTAAGCAAAGACTTTCAGCTTGTTTCATAAGCAGCAAAAATGGTGCATGAACCAATACAAAATGAGTCTTCTTGCAATACTGAAAACCATATATTTCAAAATTGGCTTAACTTATACGAATCACTTTTTTAGAGTGCCTTGTTTGCCTGTCTGGTATCGAAAAATTTTCTCTTTAGGTATAAACCTTCACATAACTACAGAAATGTTGCTCCATTTTCAACCTCGAACTAAATATCGGAAATTCCAACTACGAAAATCAGACATAAAGTCCTTTTGAATAATATGCGGTAAAATTTTGGAATAAAGAATCTATTCATCCCTTCGTTTGATCACTGCTAATAAAATGAGAAATTGCAAGAGTAGTTGTAGATCATTATCAATTATTAATTAGTTTTAAGCAGCTCTGTAGCTTAATGAAATTCATGTTAATTAAAAGCTATATTACAGAGATCATACCTTTCCTTCAACGTGCTCTAATTCCAATCCCAGCTCTTTTAAATTTTCCTCGTACTGCAGACGTTTATTTACTTTTTTCTCCTCTCTCGATCTTGCATGAGCACTCTACAATAATACCATATATGAGATGGAAGTTGGTCTTTTCAGAAACTATTCTGAGAAAAAGTGTCTTCATTATTTTGACCACATGTATTGTCGGTCCAGTGCAATATGGCTACAACTGATAGTATGCCTGCCGAACTGTGCTGCAAATTTGCAAGTTCGAAAATATATCAATGCGTTAAGCAGTTAAAAAAATTCCGCCTAAGAAAATAAAAGAAAAATTGTGTACCAAATAATTAATGAATATGATTAATTTCAATCAAACAATACCCACATCTTCTAAATCGTCTACACTGCTGGATTCTTCTTCACCATCCACTTCATCACATTCGTAGGTCAGAACGTAATCAATTTTTCTTTTACCATCTTTAAAGTATGCGGTCTGGAAGCCATTTCGCTGAGGCTTCGAAATTTTACTCTCACTCTAAAAAAAGAGATTCACGTTCTGACCTCACGAATAGAAAAATGATTTATCGGAGAAGACTAATTCAATTCATGTCTGCTTCTTTTCGTTGTTCTTTAGTCCTTTTTTGCTTTTTGTTTTATGCCCCTTATACTGTTAGATGTGATAACAGCTATAAGAGTCATGAATAAATCATAAACAAATATTTATCCAACATGAGTCAAACAAATGTCTATGCTGTTTACCTTTAATTTATTTCTTCTCCATAACTGATGTATACCGTCCGTTACTTGCTGTGTAAGTCCAATTATAAATTTTTACTATTTTATTAACTAAAGAAACATCTCGTGTTTCACAGATCATGAAAAGCAAAATCCTTACCTGGCTTTCCTTTAGCTCCATGATATTCTTTATTAATGTTTCACATTCAAAACTATTTCTACGCTTCAAGCAATTCCTTCGATTACTCCCAAGCGATCTTCCTACAAAATGAACTTTAATTTACATGCTAATGATCTGAAAAAATAATATGCTAGGCACTTGCTTTATAAATATAACTATAATTATAATAGTTTGAATTATTATTTCATGTTTTGTTTCTGTATTAGTTTTTTCCCTTTTTTAGGAGTATGTTAGTTTGATTCTAATTTGTAATTAGGAGATTAATTAAGTTCATGTCTGCTTCTTTTCATTGTTTTTATTCTTTTTTTGGCTTTTTGCTTTTTATGTTTCTTATATATTGGACATTTTTAATTATTCTTGGGATTGTTTTTTTTGATTCATTTCATTTTGTTTTCAATCTTCTATGAGTGCTTTTGTTTTGAGTTCTATTTGTGTTTATGAGTTGTTGAATTGTTGGCTTTTTATAGTTGCCTTTTAATCTTTTGGCGTTTATTCCTTTTATTTTCGAAGATTTCCGATACTTTGTTTTTTTACCAGTTGACTATGGTTCTTTTTTATTTTGCTTATTTGGCTGTAGTCATCAGACTGGTGCTTGCTATTATTTCATTTTTTGTACTTTGCCGTATTTGTTCTTGTATAAGTTTTGTTTATTATGATTTTGTGTTTTGTGAGTTTGTTTGTTTGTGTTTTTTGATTAAATTTTAGGTGTATTCTGTTCATGTGTGGTTGCCTAGATTTCATGTGAGGGCTCCTATTAAGACTAGTATGATTTTGGCTGGCATTATATTAAAGTTGGGTAGGTATAGTATTTATCATATTGGTCTTTGAGAAGGTTTTGAGTTGTTGGTCTTTTTTTCTTTGGTTGGGAAGATTCCTTTCGTTGGAAGAATTTTCTTGTTTATTTTTGTATGGTGTAGAATGCTTGTACGTTTTTGCCTTCTATTTGTCATATGGGTTTTTTATTTGAATTGAGTATGGTTTATTATGGTAATAAGTACAAGCATTCAGTTTATTTGGTTTTGATTATAAGGTTGGCTCATAGTTATATTTCTGTTTTGATACTTTATTTTGCTGAGAAATTTTATCGTATTGCTATTAGTCGCTTAGTTCATAACTTGCGTGGATATTTTGATGTTAGTATGTTATTTTGCTTAATGTTTTGTTTATATCACTTATTTAAACAAGTTATGTGTGAAAATACTGGAAAAATATAAAATACCATAAAAAAATTAAGCAGAGAGAAAACAAAATAAGCCATTAATGAACCCAAATGTGCGGAAGCTCGGAAATGCCAAAGTGCTATGAAGTAAAAAGAAGAGAAAAAATATATGTAAGAAAAATATGATTGTTGGCCGATACCTAACATACCTATCAACATCTTAAAATCCTATTCATAATCACAGCAATTCAAATCAGTTGCTGTAAGCTGTCATATTTTCGAGTAAAAAAAACATTTGCAAATAATAATAAAAATATTTGTCCTAAGTTAATGTTTTTTGGAGCTTCCACAAACAAAGAAAATTAATAACCTTACTTCCTTCCTTTTTAGCTGAAAATCATATTTCACACAAGAATTGCACCAATCCACTTATCCATAATCTAATGTAGCAAAATATGCAAAAATTTTTGAATTGTTAATAACGTTATTATCTTTTTATCAGTACGGCACCATTTATGTTTTGTCGATCCATGGTAGCCCAGCAGTTACTTGATGATTAAATTTTGTAAAAGCAGTTCTAAACTCTCGTATTTGTTTGTTACCATGAGCCGCGGATAAGTGAATCACTGCAGTTTTAATATGAATGGTAGTATTTGTCAGTAAATATCACTTTAAGTATAAATAAATATCAGGAAAGGAGGTCATATATGGTAATAAAACCAAATGAAAATTTAACATTAAAAAAACATCACGAACAAAAAAGAAAAATACATGATACAGAAAGACTCAGACAATGGGGAGTAATGATAAAATGAAAAAAGGCATGCTCAAATGAAGGAAATGTACTATTTAACCGTGTGACCGTGTAACACGCTAAGCCAATTTTTAGGCAATGCACGCATAAAAATGGGCTTGTGAAAAATTCATTATACATACAAATGAATTGCTATTTTTATGATGACTCAACTTTAGCGAGGATATAAACCAGAACGATCTGACGCATTAGCACGATCATTCGCTTACGAGAAGCATATCGGTACTTCATTCCTGATAACCGTTTCCGTTATTTCCAAATCTTTCTACTGCTTTATATCTTGGATTAACTTCTATTTTGTGGACTAACCACCACTGCCCTGTCCCATAAAATACTTATTCTATCTGCTCTTCGTTAAAAAGCCCATACCCAGTAAGCACATAAGATTCCATGAGGGTCATTTATTAAAAAATTGCTAATAATCATACAGTCAACAATGAAACCATTCAATTGTCATCAATCCAATAAGTCATTTAATTTAGCTTAAAACAGCAAATAACGGATGTTTTATTCCTATGAAATACACGAAGACAAATAAAAGTGATGCAATGTCTATCAAATACCTGGTTCCATAGCGAATTATGTCGACGACGATGTTACATTGCTATATAACATAATGGATCGCGCCTGCAACATAACTGGACATATGTAAAAGACTAATCAAACGATTAAAAAGATATAAAGCACTCGCCGAAGATCAAATAAAAGACAGAGAGGATGTACACAATTCTACGATAACGGGTAAGGATCACTATCCAAAAAGATTACTCAAAATGACTCAAGTAAACTAAGCAAAATGCAATAATCTGGTTCGATAAAGTAACTGGAAGAAGTCATTCAAGTTAGACATTAAAAACGAAATTATATTAATGTATAATCAAGTAGATTTTGACACTAGCATTTCAGAACTATCGATGTTCCTTCCATTTGTCCCACGAACAATGGATGCGAATAAAACGAATAAAATATATGAATTATATGAATGAGTATCGATGAATAAATTACATAGACACAATTCCATATACTATTCTATTCTTTTCCATTTCATTCTAACTATATTCTGCTCCTCTTTGTTTCCCTTATTAGCACTTTGATTGAATCTTACACATCGCCGATCTATTATTATTCTGCATAGAGAAAACATAGAATTACTGCTCTTCCAACATTCTGCCATACAAATTTAACATAAGCTATGCAAATGTTGTTAAATCCTGAACTCAATCTAACATCTTTTCATCCTATATACCTTAGCGTATATCAACATACCATCACACGAACGATCTCCCACCCCACGACCAGCGCTGACATCATCAGTTACCTCTCACCTTCAATAAATAAGCTAGCTGCACACAAACTGCAAAATTCTCACTTTGCGCGAAGTGATCGATCGGTAAGGAGGCATTGTGCAAACTGGACGACTCAGGACTGACCAGGCTGGAGTAAGAATAATGCAATATGTATGACGTGATGATAGAGCGTTGAATTTCCGGAATGGTACTTTTTGTTTGCTTTTACTATTTTATGCTCTGTACCAAATAAATTGTTTGATGGTATGACGGGAATGGATGGATTAACTTTTGATAGTGACTTGAAGAGTGATTCAAAGAGAAGCAAGTTTTATTCAATCATTTAATTACAAGTGAATATGAAGAGACAGAGATGCTCGTTCAACTTTCCAAAGTGACTGAAAATGTGATGATTATATGCAGTAATGATTATTAAAGAATGATTTTGTTATTTGTGATGGTCATCAAGGCAATAAGTCCCGAAGAATCATTGGGACAATGATGCTCTGCAGTGGTCATTTGAAGGAGTGTTTCATTGGTGTTAAATTTACTATACAGCAATATGTATCGCTGTATTCAGTATTCTTTCCTTCTGTTATGATATCTTTTTGGTTTGGGAGTAAAGCTAAATGTGATGAATAATAGTTAACCGGAATTCGAAGAAGCATTCTGATCCATTGAAAATGAATTCCCCAGTGCTGTATCACAATCATTCGAAATTGCTGATAGCATCGATGAATCACTTTTTGCTATAAACAATCATTATCGGAATTACTTCAATTCTTCTATATTGCAAATTATCACTTTGTCACAATATTATAAACTTTGTTTTCATGAATTGATAAGATGAAATTTATGTCTATCACACTTATACTCTTCATCATACATAACATTAATATTTAAACGGATTTCTAACTGAGATTTTATTTTATTTTTTCTATTCATTAATTCTCTCATTTTATTAATTTTATTGATATTAGCATTGGCTAATGATTTATTAATTCTATTAATTATTTTAATTCTGATCTTAAATAATGCTTTCATTTATTTTTGAAAATTTTGGAAGAGTAGATCATTAGAGCAGTCAGATTCGGCAAACAATTATTTGCATTCAGTCTCTGACCTTCAAGATATCCAAGAACAGAATTCTTGTTGACACCTAAACCATGAAGAAAGCAAATAAATGATTTGAACATAACAACTCTTACAACAGCATTATGTCTTCAACTTATCTTCAAGAAAGCTGACTAATTGGCAAATTTTACAAAGATAGGTTATAGTATCGGAATCAAACTTACTATTATCCGCAAATGCAAGTAACTGTTCCATATTACTAAGATGTTGGACCGGCATTACAGATTTTTCTACAAGAATCGAACCTTGAATCATTTATTTCGTGAATGTAAAAGTTGATATTCTGGAAAATTAAACTTCAAAAATGCCTCCAATCTCTTACTCATCTTTTACTTCTCTCCTAACTGTTATGCAATCAAATGAAAGTTGGAAACTATGGTTTACCATTATCATTTGACGAAAATTGCTCAAATTCATCGTTGATCGCTTCATTTCCTCCAATTTACTCAATTATTTAATGAAAATATTAAATCAATAATAGATATTTTTAACAAAAGGAGAGAAGTAATTATTCACTTAATTATTTATTCCAGAAATTTTGAGAGAATTTAATAGATTTCAAAAAATTTTAAAGTATCAATAAACAAAGAATAGATTGAGCATTGTAAAAGCTCACTTTGTTCAATAAGCTCTATCGAATCTCTAACATAGATGGAGCGAAATTTCGGTGGACGTCCTAAATTTGAGATTATCTTAAATTCAGTTGTCATTTCTACCTAATCAATATCCATCACATATATAATAACATAAATTGCGAAATTTATCTTACGTGTATAAATATCGCTCGAAATAGTATTATGCGTATAAGTGCTAGAGATATTATCGGTGCTCCACGATATTTGGCGTGCTGTAGAATACAGGATCTCTTTTAATTTCTTGAAAACACACTACTCCACTTTATATTTCATTTGCTAAGATAATTTCTTCATACAATTCTAGTATGATAATTGCTATAATAGTGTTGTTATTCGACAGAGTGTTGTACATGCCATAAATCACATGCGAAGAAAAACAAAATTCTTCAAAATAGATTTCCAAAATCAAAATAAGTGTAAATTATTAATTAACATCAAGTATCTTAAATAGTTGTTGACATTACTCAGTAACTACAAGGTTAATGTTTAGAAACTTGTTTGTTGTGCATAGTTAGTGATCAGTAAATTAAGTGCCTAAAAATTTTATCGGCAATTTATCATCGTTTTCAAATTAGAACAAGCTCTGTTTTTGACTTTACAACAAAACATTTAAAAATTATTTTAAAGCTGATAAAGCTGATGAATTACTCACTCTCTATACTTCTGACGTATTTGATGCTTTTCAAATTATTCTTAAGTGACAGTGATTAGCTTTTCTTACATTTTCAGTTTGGTATTTATTTCCAATTCTCATAAAAGATATATAACCCTGCTGCAAGTTTAAAAGATTTCTCTCTTTTATCACTTTTATAAAAAAGGTTTCTTTTAAATGCTATTATTCAGACTTCAAATGATAGCAAAGAAATCCATCTGATTGCTAGAATAATCTTACCTGTGTTTAGCTCTTCATCGGAAGTTTCTAAATCACCTGCAATACCAGTACTTTGTTAACTCACGTTGGAATTTTTCACCATATTTAAACTTCATATATTTTTCTTCAATCTCTTCATAAAATTAAAAATATTTTTCTCAAGCAAAACAGCAAATTGATCATAATTCTAAATGAGTTAGCGATTTTAAAAATTTCGGACTGACTATCGTATTCAATTTCAACGGCTGCTTCAGACTTCGGTTCTGTATAATCAGAATAGATTAAATGCGTTTCACGACCTGGAATTATATTTTTGCATTATTCATATATATTGTTCTTAGATTACTGCATTTATCATTTTGGATCAACAAAGTGTCAAGAGGAATTTATTCCTATCTGTTGAATAGAGTAACATCTTCATTTTCATTATGATTAGATAATTAGTTCAATTTTTAGAAATATACAAACATGTATCAAATAATTGTAGTTATATAATTGCAATATTTTCAATATTAAAAAGCCAATAAACAGAAACTATAGTAATACATACAGTAACATTTGACAGTTATTTAATAAAAATTCTATGAATACAAAGCGCAAAATACCTTCATCTCGAATTTTCCAAAGTGCTGGATTACCTAAAACAGACTACAATTATTTTTTTTATTTAGCCTAATTATAACTTACATAAATTTAATAAATGAAAAATGGGTAAATTTTTGCAGCATTGACAAGATAGGAATGAATGTTCACCAAAAATAGAGCACCATGGACGTCCATCATATTCAACATCTGTCTCTGATGGAGGCTCATCGTACTCAGAATAAATTAAACGAACTTCACGGCCTAAAAAAAGCTCAATTCTTTTTTAAAAAATTACTGCAAATTTTTTATTATTCACCAAAGTTTCTTTATTAATTAATACAAAATGTCTCCATGAATTAGAGGAACTCTATGCATGTTTAACAGATCGTATACTAATTCTTTGAGACAGATTGTGTATTAATTTTTGAAACAGATCATGTATTAATTCTTTTAGACAGATCATGTATTAATTCTTTGAGACAGATCATGTATTAATTCTTTGAGACAGATCATGTATTAATTCTTTGAGAGATCGTGTATTAATTCTTTGAGAGATCGTGTATTAATTCTTTGAGAGATCGTGTATTAATTCTTTGAGAATACAAATCCTTCAATTCCGGTTTATTTCGGTAGTTAAAATGTTATATAATGTATTAGATAAACCGTTAATTTTGTTATTGTGAAATAATTGATTCATTTCGACGCTCGTCTCGGAAGATGGTTCATCGTAATCGGAGTAAACGAGACATACTTCTCTTCCACCTTAAAATTTGTCGAAATTAATCTATCCTCTCCAATAAAGTTACTACAATTTTTAGTAATCTCTATGAGTAATGTCAACAATCAATTTTTCCAGATTACTTATCGGTAATGCTGAGTTTTTCTTCTTTTTGATATTTAGTTAACCTTATCATTACTGTTATCAGACGTTTATGAATTTCGAACAGTTTTGGTTTATGAATTTGAATAGTCTTTTCTCTTTCCATAAATCTCAATGAAAATAATATATTAAGAGAGTTGAACTTTTTTGAATGGTTTCATTTTACATGTTTGATATTTTCATTCATACTAAATTTTAAATTCTTAAAGTAAATTAAAATATTAATTTGAAAGATAAATTACATTGTGGTGAACAGTAATTATTAGTCCCATGCGGCGCATGATTGTAGTAGGAATTAATTTCATCAACTGCTGCAAATCATTAAGCATATTGCAAATTAATACGAAATATGCGAAGTTATCAGATATAAATATATTATCGATGATTGTACGATAAGACATCATACTCACTCGATTTTGAACTTTGCCACCAATAATGTTTAGCTCCTTCGATTACTTCAACATCGATTTCCGATGGAGCACAATCATATTCTGAATATATCAAATGAACGCCTCGACCTAAAAATTTTTTGGAAGAATATTTATCAAAAAATTGATTTTGTTTTAAAAAGCAAAAGGCAATATGTACCATCACTATTGTTATTTGCACATTCTTGACTATTATCATTTGCCGATAGCGGAGATTGCATTACGATAAAACAACCGTATAGAGTAAGTACAAAAGCACACAGTAACAAAAAAGAGGATAATTTATTCATTTTATAATTTTTTTGAAAAGTTTCCGGAATTTTGAAATGATTATTTTTGAATAGCAGTTTATATTAGAATGATTTAATTGAAATGATTACATTTCTTGCAGTGTACGAAAGTGAAGCAGTTTGGTGAAGAATGGGTGTCGCAACAATCATCATAATTATTGCTATTACTGCTATTTTATATTTCTTTTGCTGTTATGGAAAACAGGTTATCGTTATATTTCAGTTAAGAAGCTCAAATCTATTTCCTGAAATTGATTTTATCGAAACTTTACTGAGATGGAATAAAGATAAACCAAAGCTATAGAATAATTTGGAATCGAAAAAGGAGCAGAATCATACAACGAACTATTTACTAATCATATTAAAAAAGATTTGAGAAACGGTTATTTCCGAATTCGACGCTTTTTCAGAAAAGCATATCTGAAAAAAATATTCAAGAGGATGGTCGATCGTCAATTGGATTTACTACTGGTTCCGATTTTCAACACAATACTGCAACTTCAGGGGTCGATCTTATATTAATTGCAAGATTTAAGGATTTATTCTTTTAGTTTACTTTAATTTTTAATTTAAATTAAGGATGAAATAACAAGCAAAATTGAAAAGAACCATTCATACTGGCTTTTCATTTGTTCAATTCAATTTTACATCGATATCTTGCATTACTTTTCAGAACTCAAATTATTTAACTGCAACAATGACACGAGGCCGTTCCATTCATATTGGACCAACTTAATGCTTATTTGCATATTTATTACAGTTCAACATCAGTGCATGCAAAAAATAACTGTAACAATGTGCAAAAATTATTGATGATTGATTAGGAAGAGGATGATGAAGAATCTTTTAGGAAATTGATTCAAAAATATTGAAGCCCATATTGCTGTTTGTTGGTGATTGAGCTTGATTACTAAAAAGTTTCGAATAATTTCAAAAAATTTTCATCTAATAATCAATTAAAACATACTGTTGTGTTATGGAAGAATTGAAGTAATAAATTACGAAAATTAAATTTAACTTAAATTTCATCGTTCAATTAATTTTATTAAAATTTTTTTAACGAAACATTTTTGTACCAATGAATATACAGACTTTTTTAAGCGTTTATCTATGCATTAGCATTTATTTTGATAAGATAAAAATTATTTAACCTTAGCGGACAAATGCGTTTGCAACAACATAGTACACCATCGAGAGTGTATGCATGAGAATATGTTATGTTACGTACACCGCTACATATATATGATCGAATTTGCCATAGTTTAGCATGCTTGCAATAATTTAATACCGCTAATTCTGGTTTTTCATTTACTAATTTTGGTATATCATCGATGCATCCACGCTTAAAAGTATTTGGCAGTAACAGCGAGCGTTACAAATGAAAGAGTTGAGATTGGATATATAATTGGAAATATAAGAGATAAGATTTAATTTAATCAAATTAATTTAAAGTTCTAAATGATCGTTAAAAAAAAGGAAGAATCATCTTGAATTTCAATTCAATTTAACTTCACGACAATTTTTAATAAAATGATAATTGTTAAATGTGATTTATGAAATTATGTGTCAGCAATTGATTTTGAATGAATAGAACTTATCAATGATTATGAAATTTAACAATTTAAAACTTTAATTATGTTAATTTTTCTCTAAATAATTTTAATTTTCATCTATGAAAATTTAAGCTTACATATCTTTCACCGTTGAAAGAATGAAAATCGAAGCAACCCAATTTTGTTTTACAATCTATACGTTGTAAATCATCCGTAATATAACATTTGGAATAACCAGATGGTTCTTTATCTCTTGCATAAAGATGCAGCGCCAATGGCATCATATGTTCCACCAAATTTTTAAAATCTGATAAAAAAAATTTTTTAATCATAAAATTATCATAAAAATATCTTTAACTTCATGCATACTGTAATTTTAACATGGATATGTTCAGTTCATTTTCGATAACATGCTTATCTTCACTAAATCTTCAATTGTTTTTTTTTTAAAGATTAAGCTAAAGTTTTAGTAGAGAAGGTTAAAGTTTAACTATTGCATGGTGTTGTTAAATTCGATTGACATCGTTGTATAAATGTATTAGTTCGCTGATGTCTAAATGACATAAAACGTTGTGAACTTTCAACTTCAGCTAACACTTTTGCTGGACGTAACGCATATATGCCAAATGAAATGCTTTCTCTTTTAATTCTAACAAAAGTAACACAAATTGGAGTAATATTTGTCATCTGAAATGAGATAGAATTATAATAGAAAGAAAGTGATGATTAAGATTAAAATATTAAAAAGCAAAGTTTCATTTGAATGATATTGAGCATAGAATCAGGCTGGTAATAATTTAATAGCAGTGAATCATTTCATCTCAATTCTATCTCATTAAAAAAAATTTCTCCATGAAATTTTTCAATTGAATTTCTTGATTATCAACTAATAATTATTATCATATAACATTTAAAAAAATTTATTATAGGATTTTCATTAAAATTTAAGTTAATATCTCTTATGTTTGCTTAGGAAATTTTACACTTTAATGAAATTATTACTTACTATTTTACTGATAAAAATACCACTAAAATCAATCTTTTGAGTAAATGAATATAAATCAATTGTTACTGGTCCATTTTCATTATACGATTCATAACAAGCTGGCCTTTTAAGAGTAAATTTGTGCTTTTTGAAATGATTTGGCATATTTTCATCACAAGTTTTCTGTAGAATAATTAACAAAACAAAAGGAATAAAGTTAGAATTTGATTATCTTAGAAAAATTCGTTTCTTTGTAAGATGAAGAAAAAAATGGATTAATTCTGAAGATTTCTGAGTAAGAGTAATTCTGAGTAAAATTCTGCTCTCTAATGATTAAATTATTGATTGGAAAATGATAAGCAAATTGGGTATATTTTTGAAAACTATAAGACACCCGAAAAGAGAGAGAGAGAGAGAGAGAGTACTATTATTACGTATTATCGGATATGCCTAGAATGAATCATTCTATGTATATCCGGAAATACTTTGATTAGATGATAAATGAAGCAAATTATTTTTGAGTTATTATGAAATGATATTTGCTTTGCTCTAAAATATATTATTTCTCGATTTTCTCAAATATTTCTGAATTCAAGAACTATCAGATTGAAAATTTTGTGAAAGATTTTATTGAAATTTAAATTGCATTGGTTTGTAAATAAAAATGATTTTAGATTCCATACAGTAAGCTTGCGATAACCGAGAAATAGATCCAATACAAGATCAAAATATGTTATTTGTTGTTGGCATTCACATTTGAAAAACTGATAAGTGATAGGCAAATGTATATAATCATTACGATGACAGTTTTGTGATCGTAATGGAAATGTATTTAATATTTCACAAACATAATGTCTATAAAGAAGAAAAATTTTAAATGATGAAAAAAGTTTTACTAAAATGAAAATTTCAAAAAACTCATAGTAAAAATCATTTCGAATTCGTTGACAGATTTAACCCAATATGTGAGCTTTTTTCAGGCACTATGCAAATTACCCATATTAAGGTTGGATAAATGTTGCAATAAATAGGAAGACTGATAATTTTAAATTCTAAAAATTCTTTATCCAATTATACTTTCAAAAGAATGATAATGTTCACATGGAATTTTCCAAAAATGATACTTACTGGTCAGGGAATTCTTTACGTGCCACTCGATAAATCATCTCCGACTGATAAGAAACTCCACCAATCATAAGAATTTCCTGCTCGAAATGAAAATCAAATGATCGCCAGCATACTGCAAAGATAAAATTTGCTGAAGCCGAGGTAATCTTTTCCGTAAACTTTGCAATTGGTAATTTTTTAAAAGTTTGTCAATATCGGATCTATCCTTTCCTTTTAAATCAATGAACTTACTCTCTGATAAATCACTGTTAGTGCGCTTCATAAAAACTTGAGTTAAATATGCTATGGCTGTGATGTGACATCGAAATTCAACACTAAAATGGATTATTCTTCATATAGTGTTTTACTTCAATGAAATCATTGCAATCGTTGTATGAATTTCCTATCAAAACTATTCAAATTGAAAAAATAATTAAAATTTTGTTGAAAGTTGGAATCTATTTAAATTTTTAATAAACTTCAAAATTTAAGATCAGAAGTGTAACTATAGCCTGAATTTTGCGATTTAAAAAAGAATCAAAATTGTTGTAAATTCGTTTCATAAATATTTTTACAGAATAATTTCAAGTCTATATCCAATTATATTATAAAGAATTCAAATTTAAAATTTCAAATAGTTTTCAAAAAGACATGGAATACAACGGAATTGAAATGATCCAACTTCTGCAAATCCTCCGGTTTTAGGCTAATTTGATAATTGCTTTTGTCAGGATTATTATTGCCCCAGTGATTGCATAAATTTCCGCGATTACAGCAGCACCGATATTGTGCTTTAATATGCGATGTGTACAATAAATCATTGAGACATCTCGGTCCAACTAATTGACAAAAAACGCTTTCAATTGAATTACAACTTCCTTCCGTATCCGCTTTTGCTTCAAAAAATGTGCTAAAATTTTTGCAAATTTTTGGCAAAATGTGCATTTTTGAATTTTTTTCAACTTTTGAACTATAATTATAATTGACTTACAAAAGCTTTGATTGAAATTCTCAGAGAATATTTATGGTTGTTGTGGAGAAATTATTTGCTATGAAATTAAACTTAATCTACCGATAGCAAACTTGATCTGCACCACAACTTTTTAGAACGATGAATTCTTATCAAAAATTAGTCCTATATTTTATTTGTAATACATTCGTCGATGAAATTCGGATGTTCTAAATGTTAGCTATTCTATAAAATTCGATATGATCTTTTGGCGATTACCGATTTCTGTTGAAATACATTGCAGAAATTTAAGCAAATCAAAAGGTTACTTCATTTATCATATCTATTTCGTAATAATATGATAAATGAAGCAAAATTACTATCAGTCTAATGAATTCATCTGTTCAATGACGTAGAAAGCTTTTTCGTAATTCCTTTTACAGATATTTTCGATAACATTTTATCACTGTAGCAAAGGACGATTGATGACAATATCAAAATGACCTTGATTATAATCATAATCATAATCGAGATTTTTCTCCTTCAGATCACAATCATGATTATGATCGGAAAGAGAAAAATGTAGAAGCATAAACTGCAATCATTACCTTTCTGTCTCACCTTCCTTGAATTCAATCCAAAAGTCAGCGATGCAATGTTCAGTACGAAATGGTAAATCTTTCCGCTTCAATCTCTCCAATTCTACCGAAGTAGTAGTATAATTTCGAGTGTTATGCACCATGAATTCACCAACAGCACAATGCCAAAGTGGGACATTACGAATGGTCGAAAAGTCTTTCTGATCACCTCAAAATGTATATAACATTTAAATGATAATCCATTTTTCTATCTAATTATTTGTAATCATTGCTCTATCCACTTACTATAATCACTATCAGTAGTAGAGCTTACCAAATTTTGTGGGTCTACTGTAGATGAAATCCCGATATGTCCAAGAGTGTGCTAGCGTATCATATACATTTGTGCGCAATTTATTCGCTAGATGATAATTGCGCACTTCGAAGTTTGTTTTCCAAATCCTACGATTTGCTTTTACATTGCTCATCGATTTATTAGATATTGTATATGCGCAAAGTTCCGGTCTCTCATAACAGCAACAGAGTACAAAATATTCCCTTAATGATGCATACCGGATGCATTCACCGTCCGGAATTTGTGAAACACTATATATTGCACAAAAATGGCCTCGTAAAGCTAAGGCTACTAGTGAATTCTGAAAGATTTTGATGAGTAATGTTTAGGAATGTATTTTAAAAAGATATTTAAAATTAAACGAAGAAGTTAGTATGTGAAGTAAACGAAACGGAAAAAAGAAAAAAGGCAAATTTTTGTTATCATTTAAAATTCTATCATTTTCCTAAAAAAGGTTATAAAAACAGATTGGAATAATATTGAGAGAAATCGATCTCAAATCAAAATGAGATTATAGGATTACTGGAAGAAATAAGATCGTACAAATTTCGTTCTTTTATTATTTGTTACGTCAACGAACATACATTTTCACGTTCCGACGATTGCTTCATCAAGTCGATCATATTCCAGTGCATTCCACCAAAATGCACTTTCGCTGGAATATTTACATCAAGCATAAACATGCACGATACATCACTTATCTAGAATATGAATTCGGAAATGGTGATATCCGGTTCAAAGTAATATCAAATCAATTTCATGCAATAACCATTTGTATATGTTAATTTCTCTTTTACTACGTATTACTTAGAAAGTTGAATTCAAAAATATACTTGCCTCTTTTTCACCATCAACATTGATGCAGTAATCAGAATTTTTCTGAAATGTTGCTACTTCAGTGACATCTGAATCTTTAAGTCGATGCTTGTAGAATTCCGTAGCAAGATCTTCGATTATTTCTTCATCCGTTTTATTCTGTAATATTCAAAATTTATGCATCCTATAGAAAAAAAATAAATGCTTTGAAGAAAGCGATTATGTTATAAAAGTCATATTAACATAAAAATATCTACGTAATAAACCAACATAAATATCCATGTAAATGTATCCATGCAAAAATATTTGCGTAAACATATCTGCATAAACATATACATGAACCAATTCACATAAATATATCCATTCATAATCACTTCATGGGAAAAATTAACAAATTTATATGGATATGAAAAATAAGACTTATTATAATTCATTTAGTGTTCGTTGTTATTTACCTCATATTGTTCGCATGATTTACAACAATAATATATAACTTCGACAAGAATTTTTTGTCGTTCTTCAATTTTAAGTGTTCTGTTACGTACTTTCAAATTACTGAAATAGTTTATATGCAACTTCCGCGACTCGTTGATTGCTTCTTTATTTTATGAAATAAATGAAAAGTTGACAATCGCTTTTTAATATTGTCTTAATAAACAATTGACATTTTTCTAAATTTTCAAATTATTTTGCTATGAATTTAGTGCGCCATTTGAAATTGACTATTACATATTTTCAAATAATTGAAATTTATATTGAGTTAGTTGATAGAAATGTTTATAGGAAAAAATGTTAATTCTTGCAAGATAAGAATTTAGAGGGAAAGTGTCGAAAATACTAACATATAAGGTATATCAGTAGTTAGATTCATAAATGAGATACCATAAATTCCATAAACAGTTTTAATACATTTCAAATATATATTATATTCCAGCAAAGATGACATGCCGTTTCGATAAAGATGAAATTTCATTGCTGTTACCAAATCAATTGCCCACCAACAAAATGGTTTTATAATCTTTAAAAATTAGTTAAAATTTTGAAAATGGGAAATTAAACAAATTCAAAAATGATTTTATAATTCATGTAATAAATTAAAATTTAATTTTTAAAGTTAATGGTGGAAGGTTGAGAAGTTTATTAGGAAGTTGAAATTTAAGTTTTATTAGACAAAGATAATTTAATTCGGCATAGATTTACTTCAACTGTTTAAAAGAAAAAGATCCGAAACAGATATTTACTAAATTAAGATAGATGTATTTCTTGATATACGATATGCATAGCTTTTGTTAAAACTACTTTTCAAATTTACTAAGATGAAAATAATTAATTTAATGAAATATGATTTGAATGAAACTTACAGTTGGAGTGCATCGTTTTGCACCAATACTATTCTCTTTTCTAATCGTTAAAAAACCTGAAAGCATTAAATATGAAAACTCAATTTATTTTCAGTATTCAATTAACAAATTTTTATATTTGCAAGATGAAATTGTTCATATTGTAAATGTAAAATATAGAAATGTTAATTAAATCACTGAAGACTGTCACTATTATAATATGATTGAATTCGCTCTTTTCTTTATTTCACTTATTAAATGTTTTAATTTATATAATTTAAGAGAAATTCAATACCTAAAATTATTAATATTAGGAGTTTAGGAACCAGTGAAGAAGTAGCAACCATTTTAGGAAAGAATTAAATTACACAGTAAATTTTTGACATTAAAGGAACTATTAAAAATTATATCAGTATTTATTTAATGTTTGTTGCTTCATATTTTTGCATTTCATTCATCTTTTTAAATATTTACTTTTTAAAATTCAAATTTAAAAAACATTTAATTTTTATTCTTTATTACACTCTACATGGATACTATTTAGAAATATTAAAAACTCAAATGATCATTCTCTATTTCAATCAAATTTTCAATTGTTAATAAGTATATTTTCTGTATTAATAACAATTGATTCCTGAATAACTGTCAGTAATGCATAAATTATTTCATTTGTGTTATCACACTTCTACAACGGACAAAAACAGTATTATCGCAATCATTTATGAATGAGTAATGTTTTTCAACGGATATATTAGTGAATTGATAATATCACTTACTTGATAATATAGCTTAATAGTAATGTATTTCAATTGATATATTATAAGTGGTAATATGATTAAGTGATAATTTAATTTCATTAAGAGAGATAATTTATGATCAGATCATAGAGAAAATTATTCCTTGCTATATAGTGAAAGGATGTAAAGTGGCAACTATTTCAAATGGTATCAATTTTAAAAAATAATATTACGTTGTCCGGTGAGTAATAGCCTTGTCCTCTCTTCCTCTCTCCCTCTCTCCCTCTCCATATTTTCTTTTCTCCTTTATATTGTTGTTTATAAATCGGTTTGTCCATTGGAATTTATTTTTACAATTGCTTGAAGAATACGAAATTTAAAAAAAAACATTCTTCTTTTTTCCTCGGCGATACATATATATACATATTGTTTTGAAGTGAAGCCATACATTTCTACAAATGTTTAATCACTACATTCTATCTCTTATTGTAATTACTCTCATTAGCAATGAAGCATTTATATTACAGGTATTTTAATTCATCTATTATCACTGATAATAATCATTACTTCACGATTTGATTAACTTTATGGAAGTGACTTCTTATCATTAATTTCTTTTTACTCTATCAAATAACATTTCATTCGATAGTTTCATTTAAATTATTATTGTATGATTTGGATTGAATTTACAGAAATTATTTGGTAAAGAAATTATGAATTTTAATTGACTGTAAAGTTTATAATTGTGTTTATATTAGTTTGTGAAAAGAAATACTATCAAAGCTGAATCTCTTAGGAAAGATTATAGATGTGATCAAGTATTATTCTCATTTCTTATATCATAATTAAATCACTTTCCGGTAATTGCTAACTGTAGAATTTTTTTAGTTACATGTTTATACATGATATAAAACTGGAAATAGTATAATGTATAGAGATTATAGTATTTCAGTGCCAAAACTGTCGATGCATACCGGATTATTGTACACAAACGGTACCTCGATCATTATGCCCTTGTGATGGAACACAAACACCGTGTAGTCGTACAACTGCTGAAATGCAGGCTGTCACTAGTGCAAGAAGTGTCCAGCAACAACAACAATTTATGATACCACAAGCACCGGCCGTGAAATATGTCCTCATCCAACATCCAGTTCAATCAGTACCAGTACAAACACCTGGTCAGGTTATGATAGAGAATCAGCAACAGCAGCAAATCATGCAAACGTTAACTTCGTTGCAACAACAAATTTTACCTCAACAAATAAGAATAAGTGGAATACAGCAACCGAGTATACCACCTGTCTATGTTGTCCGAACTATTGAGCAACCGGCTCAGGTGTTAGGACAAATACAACAAATATCAGAACCAGTGATTCCATCACAATATGTGCCTGCGATGCCAATGCAGCAAGCGCAAGTGATGCTTGTGCCTTCGGTGCAACAAGTGATACCGCAAACGCAACCGTTCATTTCACCCTTTCAATTTTCTATGCAGACAGTTACTTTGCAAGTTCCAGGTAAATTTGGTACAAATTTAAATATGAATTATAAATTTCCTTTTTTAAAAAAAGGTTACATATCTGATTCAAGACAATATTAATTTAATTTGAATAGAGTTGAATTTAAACTTTTGAAATTAATTTAAAGAAAGGAGCAATAATTTCAAAGTTAATAATTATTTGTTTCACTAATGATTCAAAAGAAAAATTTGATAACAAATTTAGTAACAATGGCAGAACACTGTACTCCTCGAATAAATGCTTGTCCACTTGGATTACCATCTATTCATGCTGTCACAGAATGTGACAATATCACCAATACTCCAGGTTAACTCTTTCCACTGAATCATTAAAATATTTATATCCATGAAAAAGTGATAGAGCATTGAAGATATAATGGATTAGGATTAGAGTATTAAAGCATTGGAATTTAGTTTACTTCGACAATATCCGTATAACATTCTTTTGTTGTAGTGTGTTAGAACTTTTTTAATGATATTTTAATCAAACTCTTCCTATATTTTAAGATATGATAAGAGATAATTTTTAGCCACACGTTGTGTTACAGTGGAAGAAGCACGAAAACTATACACTTGTCTTCCAAATTTTAATTTCAATAAATTGTGGGACAATTAATTCCATACAGTTTATTCATGAAGAATTAATTCATTAAGTTTTATGTTGTACTGAACAAATTCAAACGATCAATCATAACAAATTTTTTATTCCAAATTATTTATTTATATTAGAATGAAATTTTTGAAATGATTTATTAATGTTTATTGTTTAAAAAACTACATAAGAAATGATATTAATTGATAAAAATATTCTGTTAATAAACTCATTGTATTATTAATAATTTAATGAACCTTTTAATACTTTATGCTTAATTTGAATTACAATAAAAATTGTTGAACTCTTACAATGTATAATTAAAATTAAACTATTAATAATTCAATGAACCTTTTAATGATTTATGCTTAATTTGAATTGCAATAGAAATTGTTGAACTCTTATAATAAATATATAGTTAAAATGAAAAGTTTAGTAAAGAGAAAAACCAATATGTATAGTTGATTTTTGTGATGACTAAGTTCGGTGTTTAAAAATGAAAAATAAATGGAAGTGTTGATGAATCCTTTCTTTCTTTCTTTCTTTCTTCCTCTTCATTCACTTCAATCTCATACAGTTCGTTTCTTTTCTTTTCTTTACTTCAAAATATTTATGAAAGAAATTTGGAGAATTCTCTAAAAGAAAAGCTATATTTTACAATAGGAAAAAAGTAATTGTAAATGTTTTTTGATGAAATTCCAAACAGAACAAAATGTAATTTTATTTGTAATATAAAATAAAATTTTAAAATAGAAAGAAGAAAATTGGAAATGAAATGAAAAGAATTAAAGAATAAAAGTAAAAATAGGCTGTAATGATTGGTTGGTTAAAGAATCAGAACAATTTGCTTCTTTCTTTGATAATAATGGAAATTTCAAATTTTCATATCAGAATTATTTATTGTTGTTCTTTTTGCTGATACCAAATAGTTATCATAAAATAAAAGACAATGAACAAATGAAGCTTTCCATGTGATAAATGCAAATCAATGATATTTGATAACATATACTAATATTTCAAAAATTCAAGAAATATACGAATAATAATCATTGCCATGCAGAAGTAATTTCAATCGTACAAAACTAACCGATTGACATCATTCTTCCAGATCGCTAATAACAGAATTCCATTCGTCCAATATTCGCTTTTCACGTTGTGCTTGTCTTTTGATCAATTTCACGTGTGTTTGTATAATTGTGGAAATAATTTCTTTTTCATTCATTCCTTTCATATTTTCTAAAACAAAACGATTTAAATGATTACAGAATAAATAAAAGATAAAATATCAAATGTTAATTTAATTCTTTCAAAAATAAATTTCTTTTTTACAAATTTTTTTTAACATTTAAAATGTGATTCAAAGAGATGTAAAATTTCAAATAAGAATAGAAGAATTTTCATCGTTTCAACTTTTTCATCCGATAGAACAATTGATTTTCTGTAAGATTACATTGATCGATGTGAAATATTGGAATATATTAGTTAATGCTTATAAGATTTCAGGAATAGATCTATTTTTTTGTATTCAAAAAAATCTTACCCTCAATATTTTTTAATAGAAGAGGAGTAAACAGAGGAGATAAGAGGTCATCACTATCTGATTCTGAATGAATTGTTTGTACTGCAACACTTTTAAAACATTTTTTTCCAACATGTTCGCTTTTTCTTGAGCAATTATCAATATCTGCTAATAAATTTGTATGTTTTGGCATAGAATGATCCCATAAGATATTGGATTTCTCGGATTTTTCAAAACCATCATCATCATATTCGATATTTGCTAAACTGTTCATATAGATAATTGATCGCTTGCTTTTAACTTTATATGACTTTTTATTCAGAATATTCGATTCCCGAGAACTTTGACTATCTGCACTGCAACTGCTTCTCGATTGATATATTTGGATACTTTCAGAATTTAGTTTATTAAATCCAGTGTTAACGTTGTTCATATTGTTTTGGTTTTTGTTTGAATATTTCAATTTCTTTTTTCTTTCATGCTTTTTCGTCTCATAAGATTTATATCTTTCACTTGTCCTCATCGTAGACGAAGAAATCGTCTTACTGCTAATTTCACTGGTATTTGTACTCTCATATTCATTTTCCTGGATCACTGGTTGCGGTATATATTGTTTCGTTTGCATCAATCGTTTAGCAGGTAGTGATGAACTGACATTTGATGAGTTACTGATGCTACTGTTATTATCGCTTGCAATTTTTGCAGAATTATGTTTCATGAGTCTTCTGGAAGAGTCTCGACTTCTTAAAGATGAACTTCCTTCAGAATTATCCATATCAAATATATTTTCCTCATTTATTTCTGACATTTCATCAGTAATTGAATTTATGATGCTTGCAGATGACGATCCATTGGTAGAAGTGCATGCTTTTTTGAAAGGTGATTGTTTCGTGATATCCGACTCTTTAGGAATGTCTTTATCATCAAATTACAAAATTAAATTTTTATGAAAAAAGTAAATGAGAAAGTAAATACACAATATATTTATATAGAAATTTAAAGAAAAATGTTTTTACTTTTTGGTATTATAATTTAGAGTATAGTAAAGGGTTAACTTGTAATGATATTAATCTGCCCTGTTAAATTATGATTTTTTTTCAACGAAATTATAAGCATGAGTCATAAGGTACATTCAGAAATTAGAGAATCGCAAAACTCTTAGATTTGAATACTTCTATGAAATGTAAATTATTAATTACTTGATATTGCCCAGAATCTGCTGTGACTAGAAAGCTTTAAAAAAAGAACAAATGATATCAAAATGATAATTTTAAGAATATCATTTGGATATCGTTTGAGGATGCTCAATGAAAAAGACATACTGAAGATGGATTTCTGGACTGTGCGAATGTTTAAACCGTCCAGTGATTTCCGTTCATAGCTATCCGATGTTGGATATCCAGATAGAAGTTTGTCAGCGGTTACTCCAAACTTCTCTTTTTTAGCAGATATTTGCTTATATTCTGCATGCGGTATAAGTGAGAGTTTCTGAAATTGTTCGATCGGAGTTTGCTGCTGACGCAATTCCATGCGCTCAGTAAAAACCTCTCTCTTAAGATTGGATATGCTTGTCGCTTAATGCTTTCTGTTATTTCTGTCAGAAGTTTTTCGAAATCTGATGAAATTTAAGTTCATGAATATTCTGAAAAGTAAAAAGTTACTGGAAAAGAATTAAATTATTTATCAAATGGAACATATTTTTGTGCCTACCGACTTCCATTAGAGATATTGATTAAATAAATTATTTGAAACATTTAATGATCAATATTAAAATTGTTCTAATTTTTGAAAGTTCCAAAAGTTAGTTCCCAAAAACTGAAAAATTAGGATCGGAAATAATGCGAGAAAATTTCTTGTTATATCTAAAACGGAAAAATAAATTTCAAGAGCACAACTTAATAAAACTTTTCGGTAGCCTTCTATGTTCCAAATATCCGAAGCAACTGAAAACAGTAATGCAATGCAATGCAAGACGCTGAAATTTTCGATTCACTAACTTTCCCTTTTAATAATAAAGGAATCACTAAACGAATCACTAAACTCAAGAAGATACGACATATTATTAAAATGATGATCATCACGAATCACGAATCACTAAACTCAAGATACGAAATATTATTAAAATGATATTTAACTGAACCAAGAATTTTCATCACCATTAGTAAAGATTACCACGAAAAGTCTTCTGAACAAATGGCCAGCCAAACGCACAATGCGGTAACCATGGTTACCATGTACAATCCCTAGGTCTAAGAACAGATTATTTTGAAGTAAATCAATCTCACTCCTGTTGTTAAAATTGAAAATAGAGCCAAGTCAATTATAATTCACAATCAAACGTATCATAAAAGCTCGGTCTTGAATAAAAACACACCGAAATCTCAGTATAAAATATTTGAAAATTTAAATTTATCAAGAGATGCTGCATATAATTTAAGATGTGCTTCATCACCAATAGACACTTGAACACGACAAAAATTCCAGTCCTTTGCTCTGATCCAGGAATAACAATAACGAACCTCTTACATCGAGATCATGATACTTTGATAAGTTGTACACCTCGTAACAAAGAAATGAAATATTTATTCTATCCAAAATTTTAACAAGAAACAACATATTTCAAAAATGTAGCAGAATACTATATAGAAAAGAAACCACGGAAATTTTTCCCAATTCAACAAGAGATTATATAAATGAAATTATTGACGAAAAATCGAAACAAAATTAAATCAAAAAAGCTTAATCAAAGCTTTTCACTGAACCAACAAGTTCAACGTAGCGATAAAATGTATTACTATCAAGTAAGCAAACACGCCTGTAAGGCCGATAAGTGACACCTTTTAATATGACTGAACTAAATTTGGAATCTTTTTCTACATCTGATTGAACCGGGTACTGGAAATAGTCGAACTGTAAGTCACCCTGAAATCACTGAATTAAAAAAAATGAAAAAAATCTCTAAATTCTATAAATTTCCTGAATAAGTAATAAATAAAGAGAGAACTATAGTGCCTGTAAACTAATTTATAGGCACTATATATCCACCAATTACGAATTAAATTTGGATTTCAAAAAACTAGTTTTTCTATACTATGATGGCAATTCGCACCTGAAACAAAAGCTCCTCTTCACGGTTGTCATATATAACATCGGCATTGGCAACTGCACTCGCTGCAATGCGCCTTTTTTGCGCCTTAGTTAACTTTCTCTTATTGCTGGATACATTGGAATAACTTCTTTCATTTTGCTCTTCATTACCGTTGCCATCAGCTATTCGAATTTTCAAAATCAAAACAACATGAGAAAAGCGATATTGTGCACCAGACTTTTTCAAATCATTCCTAAAAGGAAAAATTTTAAAAAACATGTGAGTGCTGAAACCACATAATGTAACATCAACTAAAAAATTTAATTGAATAATCCGGTGGTTTTTGAAATCTCATCGCCATGGATTATGAAATTTGTTTTTTGAGTTAGTTCTCTATAAACAGCAATGTCAGTCACACCGATGTATAAAAAGAAACTTCTGACGAGATGCAATCACGAAACTCATATGGAATATATCCAAGCTTCTTTAAGTTTTTTGCAACACACACATACCATATATTTTGTTCGGGTCAACTTACGTTTGAAGACCCAAATATTTTTTGATTTAATTATTTGTTTTTAAGAGTGAGAATTAATGAATTCTTTAAAAAAGAATTATCATGAATTTTGAAAAGCACATGGTTTTGACATTGATTTATCGTGGATGAAAAGGAGAAGAACAAAAACCACAAGAAGGTAAAAAGAAGTATTTGGAAAAGTTTCTAGAAATAAAAAAAGTAACATACATCAGTGATCTGAAAGCAGGGGAAGCAATAGTTGCGGGAAAGTGGAGCAACCTCTCGTTGATTAGCAAGCCAACATGGATGTCTGATTTTGCAGTTGATAAATCATTCAAAATCGACAGTATTTTTTTATCAATTGAATATTTTCGTGCTCTTGTTTTCAGCAAAGTCCAAATATCAGTTTGGAATTTCTGCAATAAAATATCCCAGTAATTTCCCAAAACTCGATGCAATTTAATTTAATCAGAATATTTTTAAAAGGTGGAAAGTGACGGTTATAAAAAAGCAACAATTTCTCGTCCGTTAACAGTCAACACGCATAAGATCGATGAAAGGAAAAACAAAAACCTGATCTGTACCCAATTTTAACATAGACAGTACACCATACACAACACCTTCATCATCTTCATCCATAAATTCATCGGCAGGCTGAAAAGTCTTGAAAACTTGGATCCATGAAAATTCCTTTCGAGACTCTTTACTCAAACAACAGATATAAGAGGATTAAATGATTGCAGTGCTTTCAAATAAATTATGTTTACAAAGTAGGAATACAACAAATAATTTGAAATGGTTATAGCTTTCACTGTTAACGAAAAAAACATACGCGGTAAATGCAGCCAAATGGTGACTGTTCCACTAAGATATCAGCCATCTGTTTCACGTCGACATCGGCACGAAGAAAGATCTGCAAAAAATGACAATATCCACAATATTCATACTACTACCACTCTTTAAAAGCACTTGATTACTCTTCCAGGGAAACTAAATGGTACCAATAAATGAAATGAGCGCAGTAACTCCTAACCACATGTGTCAAAAAAATGATCCATTGCTAATTTAAATCACTAAATAAATTCTTTTCAGAAGAAATCAACTTTCAATTCCATCAGTGAATTGTGTATCGCTATTTGCACAAATAGAAAAATAAACATAGGGAATTATTTGTTTTAAATCAAATTTTGGCATGTAAGCAAAGAAAACATTAAAAAATGCCTGTGTTAACAGATTGACAAGGCCCTCTTTATCACCATCATACATTGGATAAGCCTCAAAATCGAAAACCAATTCATCAGCATCGTCTAGATCATCCCTCATCAGTCTATTCTCATCCAGTGATTCATCCTGCAATGAGAAATTCGCCTAGAATCTACCCTTTTTTTTTGAAGAAAGAAATACTAAATAAAAAAGTTTCTCAGATATGCAATAGCAAACTATCCGTAAGAACTAACCGAATCACTGGGTCCTTCCACAACAGATACATCCTCCAGCATTTTCTATTTCCGCGGGCTGAAAATGAAATTAAAACCAAAAGGTGCCACTGCCGTCACCAAACAATGATCATATGATACTTGTGAAATATTGCAGCTTAATAGTGTGTTGGAAGTACACAACAATGGGAGTGAAATTTCCCCCCTTTTACCTTTGTTATACCTCGGAGAGCATCACATGCGGTGATGAGGAAATACTACATGGGTTGGCAGCAAGGGAATGTAAGAATATAAATTGAGTTTTAATTAAAGTTGTGAGCATTATGTTTGGGGAGGATGGAATTGAATTAACTTTGACTTAAGAGGATGGAACTGAATTAACTTCGAATTATTCTTGCATTTATCCGCTTATCAACTGCTTCAATTCACTACACGTTTAGCACGTAATGCTTACACGTTGCATGGTAGGTCTATTATAGAAATTAAAATAAACATTATTGTGTGAATATTGATTTAGTGATTCGATAGATGATGCTTAAAGCAGTGTGGAAGAACAACGAACGCCATAGTTCGGGAGATCGGAAGATCAGCAACTCAACAGGTGAATAAAATATGCCTTTTGTAGAAGTCTCGTTTCGCGGAAAGAAAAAGATCCACACATGATAAATTCACACTATTATTGATTCTTCCATATTCAGCACCGATGCATCATTATTTGCAATGGTTTAGGCAGGAGATATAGATATGTCAATATTGTGTTGCTTTCAGCCTTCCAATTATTTTAGTATGCGATGACATAACGAAATGACTAATACCACTTATTTTTTTTTTAGCTAAATTATTGGTGAGTGATAATTTAATGAATTACGGTTGTTATATTTTCTGAGTCAAATTTAATTAAAAATCAATATTATGACTATTATTAAGGATAATAAAAGCAGAGAAGAATAGATGGAAGGAAACTTATAGGGAAATTATAAATTTGGTTGGTACCATCTCTCCAAAAGATGGCGGTTATTGTGAAAAGGGATACTTTGAAAGTGAAATGAAAATATTAAATAGAAAAATCAATTTATATTTAATTTGAAAATCTGAAATTTCTAACGCAGCGAAGAATGGTTACTTTTATCATTTTTAATTTATTGCTTGATACAAACGAATTAATACTTTTTCACAAATAAAATGGAAATGAGCATGTGATGATTATACAGTAAAACAATAAAATGACGGAAATAATAAATGAGCAGCGATACAAACAATAAATAACCATTTACTTAATAAAAATAAACATTGAATAAGTTGCCAAACAGTATTTGACATTGTTGTGGAGTCGTTGGATCGTCGTTAATATCATTGATTGTTGATTTATTGCGCATCGCAAAAATTTCAAGCCCATAGGGCAGGTGGAATTAGGTGATTATGTAAGGATGTCTTTGAAATGAAGTAACGATAAAATATAAAAATCATTTCTTTCCAGTCGTCGAAATTTGAACTTTGATGGCTCGAAATAAACCTTCAAAAGTTGTATTATTATTTATTGTTAAAAGTTTTCAGAAATTAAAGAAAAACAGTATATATATATATATACGTAAGAAACAAACGTGTTGTGAATCAGCAAAGCTACTATTGGTTGCTACTACAAGCAAAATCCCAACTCTCCATTGCAAAAACTTCCTAGATATTTCGACAATAATTAAGATTGTATTTCTTTTGCCCCTAAAATTAATAAATTAAGCCTTACCATAATGTAGAAACAAGAGGTAACAACTGTAGAAAATTAAATACGAAAATCATCGGAGAAATTGTAACAAGACTTTGACGATTGATTGCTATCATTAAAATATTACTATTGCCAAAAAGCTTTCCAATATCATTACAGCAATAAGTGAGCGCGGTGAGATCTTCTATGTATAGCAGGTATCTTAGAAAAACAGTATAGTTGAGTTGGATCAAATTAAAGATGAATGATATATTGGAGCAAATTAGAGATCATTTATTTCCCTAATTCCTTCTTTATCATTTTAACTGTTAATTACATTGTTGTATTACTACTGATAAGTAGTTATTTCCATACAACGTCAAATCTTAGCGATCAATTCGCAAGATGAAATCTTTCTTTCCATTTTGTTATATATCTTTTTATTTTCAAAATTTTGGGAGGAAATTTTTTTAAAAATTTCTATACACAATTTTAATTCCTATCCATTATATTAGGACGCTCATAATTTCGAAAGAACAACAATATCTTCAGGTAAATAATTGCTCTATTTTAATTCCTATCCATTATATTAGGACGCTCATAATTTCGAAAGAACAATAATATCTTCAGGTAAATAAATGCTCACTCTTAAATTTTAGAATTATTCCTCAATATTTGCTTTACTATATGAGAAAGCAAAATCGTATAAATAATAATTTCTTCTTCAGATTTTTCATTCTGGTCAGTCAAAATAACTGACCAAGAAGAAGAGAAAAAGTTTAAAAATTTTTTTCAACATAAACATTTTAAATTAAACTAAAGGCTTTGCCACTTTTCTTGCAAGCTTTTTTTCAGAAAAAAAGTTTGTATAGATATCTATTGACTTAAACAAATTGCGAAGAAGCACACTGAATTGATCTGTCTTATTTATGTGTAGCAAGCAGTGTCTAATGTAAGATTATAGAAGGAGACGATTGTTAGTTTGGCTCTTCAATGTTGTTACAACGGGAATTTCCTAATATCCTCCAGTGTTCCATAACTCATTGCTAACATTTTCAAAGAACATATGTTTTAGTTAGTTTGGCATTATTCGTCGTCCATCTTCTATTCATTATTTAATTCAAAATTTTAAGCTGTAAATTTCTTAGATTCAGAAAATTTTCATTTATACATAAAGTTTTAATGTGTAACAATAAATGCAAAAATGTTGTAATATATTCTTTTATTGAATGAATCAAACCTTTTAACTTATTTAATTATATTATTGACAAATTATATCTTAATATTATATTATTAGATTCTAGTAGACTTTTTAATTTTAGAATAAATTTTTCGGTTTCGGATAATTTAAATAACCTGCAAAGAATTAGATGTTGTCAATTTTGAATTTGAATAATTTGTTAGATTTGATTTATCTTACCTTAATTTTTCTTTTTAATAACTTCATCTTAAAATTCAGTAAGTAAGTAAGAGCCAGTAAGCCTGTTTTTGTAAAAAATAAAACTTAAAGAAGAGGTAATATTGATCACCTGTGATTTTAAGATATTTCATTTGGTCATTTATATCTGAATTATATCAAAATTTCTTCAATTGCGATCACTAATTTTTGTCATATTTTGAACAATAATTAAAATTTATCAAAAACTATGAATTACTGCGCTTCCTTTTTTACATATTCATATCTATTCCTATTATTTCATTTCTTAATTACGATATATTGCTTATGGATGATCCTCTGTTTTACAACGATTTGGAATATGGTTCTTCATTGCTTCAATCATCATCGATTACTAAAAGTGATCGTTATGCAACATTGAATGGAAAATTGCATGGAACAACGAAAGATGATGATATGGAGCGAAATATGAGTGGAAATGGACGGAATGATAATTTCGAGATGCGAAGTATTTTGAAGAACAATAATCATATTAAATATGATAGCTATTATACACCCACTGCTATACAATATCAATGTAATCATATGGATCATAAGGTTTGTTTATGTTCTTTCATGAATAATAGCGGATAAGATGGCGTTGTTGTCCTGTTGAAAGCTTTTCGAATTATATAAAGGAAAATGAACTATTGAGGAGAATTAAACTAATAAAGTGGTGGATTTGAATATGATACTAAAAGTGACGAAAATTGTTGGCAGAAATTGAAAAGATTTTCCGATTTGCAGTAGAACAAACTTGTTGTATTATATCTCCTTCATTTTCATGCTTTAAAAAAATCATTAACAAACTGTTAATAGTAAGTTGCAATTACAACCTTAATTTTGTATTAATTAGTGTACAAATTAATAGCAAAATTGCTTCAATCGTATAATGCGTCCATGTGCAGCAGAATTTATTGCTGTATTCTTATGTATTTTCATTGGAAAAATGATGGAAAATGAATTAACGGTTCATGTTACATCATCCAACACCGAACGAATCATTCTACAAGCACTTACTGATTCAGTGGTTATGCTTGCAATGGTTACAGCTTTTCAAACGTAAATTTTTTTTTAGTAATTTAAACTTTTTAGAAGTTGAAAATTGGTCTGAAAGAAAGTTTTTTGCAAAAAAGTTTTCCTTTTCAGTTGATCTTTATTGTTTTTGAGAAAGTTCTTATTAAGATCATACTAATTAAGTAATAATATTAAATAATTAAAAGTAAAATAAAAGAGACACAAATATATGAAAGTTATTTGTCTATTTTTTCTTGCCTTTTCATTCTATCTTATCCTTAATTTTTTAATGAAACACTAAAAATTCGCTTCAAAGAGTTTCAAAATTTATTCTTCCATTTAATTAGCTAACTAACTTCCTTTCTGGAATGAGTTAAAAATCAGAAAAATTGCTGTTTCTTTTGTTACATAACAATTTTCTCAGCGGTTGATTCCAAATCCGATATAACCTGAATAGACAAATAATATTCCAATTATTAAAAGACTTTGCAAAAAAGTTTTTATAAATCTCAACTAATGAAATAGATTGATTTTGCTGAAATAGAAAAAGTTGTATAAGGCGTTAATTACTAAAACTTTCTGGATGCACTTCTCGATTTAAAAAAAACAGGAAGGAAGTATATCAAAAATTAACTTCCACTCAAACTTCATTATTTTTTACATTTATCCTATCTTTGCTGTACAAACCACTATTTCCTACAATATGCAAATTTGTCGTAGCACAAAGGTATCATAGAATTAAATTGAAAGAGTTAAAAAGAAATTAAAATAAAAAAACTAATATTAATGTAAGCCTTAAAATGGTAAGAATAGAGAAATGAATTAAAATAATGAAATATTTTAGGACAAATTATTGTATATTGAAATAAATTAAAATCATTCAGCAACTATTTATAAAAACGATCGCAAATTGAGTGCAAATAAAATATTACATTTTAAATAATCTTTTCATCAAATGATCATTCATTTGCAGTGTACATTTGAATCCAGTGATTACCTTGGCTGAATTCTTTGCCCTTACTACTGCTTGGCCAATGTGTTGTGCTATGATTATCATGCAGATACTTGCATCAGCAACCGCTATTGCTAGTTTTGCGGTAATCAATCATCAATCATTAATTATAATAGCTTATTAAAATGTTCATATCTGTACTAACTAATTGGTAAATTTTTTTTGTAGATGTTTCGATTTGGTGGTTCAGAATTGCAAATGTCCATAATCATACCTGATATTACCGCTGATCGCATTGGTGCTGCATACCATTTAGTAAGCATCATGTTTAAATTGTTGATTAATACAAGTTACTGATATTTAGAAGTTAAATGTTACAGTAATTGACCTTTATTCTTGTTTTGAAACCTGGAATAAATTTAAATTTAGTTAATTCTTATTTCCAAATTAATAAGCGAAATTGGTATGTTACAAGCTAAATTCTATTGCTATATCTTCACGAGAATTCAAGTAATTTCAAAAAGTTTGCGAAAAATGTTCAAGTAATTCAAAAAGTTTTTGCGAAAAGGTATCTTCCTTTAGCATCTGGAAACTATGAAGTAACAGTCCTAACTGATTTAGCTACTTGCATGAATAACAATTTGCAGGTTCTTTCTCAATTTATCGGTACTTTGCTAGTTGTCATTACTCATCTTCTCATAACTACACGAACAGGTTCCGGATTAACAACTATAGCACGACCTGGTGACACTCCTCTCTCTGTTGTTGCCGCTGTGTTTGTTTCATCACTACTATGGTTGGTTAAAAAAATGCTGATTCTATAACTGTTGAAGTAGTTCGTACAGATTAACGAAGACGAAAGGATAAACATATTATTGGAATTGCGTCGGGACAAGATTCCTGCGATCTTCTAATTCATAAAAGAAAAAAGCAATGGAGTAATTAGCAGATAAATTTTGCTTAAATCAACAATCATATATTATCCTTACTTCATAAGGTTCATTCACTTACAGTCTATCGAATTCAACCATAGGATGGAATCCTTTACTTGCATTTGCATTAGCAAGTTACGCCAGCATTGATTACAATTTCGGGCCTCTGCAAATGCAAGGGATATTCTGGATTGGACCTTGTTTGGGTTCTCTTTTTGCATGCTTCTTATATAGGTTAGTTAACACTTTTTCATTATACGAAGAAACTAGTAAATTTATGCATACCTGCGTGTGATTTTCAAAAGATTTATCTTTCTAATTATTCGTCATTTGATTTTGGTTCAAAAATTTACTTTAGTTATGGTTTAAAAGGAAAAATTTTACAACGCTATTTAAAAATTAGTTTTAATTGCTGTAAGAAAGGTCATGTCAAATGAAAATGGAGCAAGCGCCATTTTATTTGATACATCCGTCTCTTCAACTGGTTTCAGATTACTGTTTGCAACTAAAGAATCTCGTTTAATAAAGTGCACCGCGTGGAGTGGAAATGATCATTTATAGCCGTTGTTTTGAAAACAGTTAATTCATTCAGTTACCTATTTTTTTGTCATATTTATCCAATGCTTTAACCACTAATACGGAAACAATTTTTATTCCTTTCGAATATGGGTAGAAAATAAAATAGCCTAAATCAAATTTAAGCAAAACAATATACTTCAATTAAATTCAATGCAGTTTAATTCAAATTCAAATCAATAAAACTATTCGGTGTTTGATCATTGTTGTACAACTGCCAACATTTGCTTGTATAACTCTGGTAACAATAATAATCATTTCCGCAAAGCAGGATAAAAAAGATGCATAATAAGCTTCTTTCTAGAGTTCCAAAAATTAGCCTTATTAATGTCCACAATTGGTCTTGCTACTGTATGACAAGGTTTAATCCAAAATAAAATGTGCAACTTCAAGAACACAGCCATTCTCCTCCTTCCCTGTTCTTTGTAGCAATCACAGCATCCGCGATTGAAGGAATGACATTAAACTGTAATTAGGCATTTAATCGGCCTTGCAGAGATGAAACTAAATACCACTGCTACCTTCCAATTACAGACAAAAGTTTAAAAAGTAGAGAATTGAAGGAAGCAAAGGTCACGAACTACTCTAGCTATTGATTATTAGTCAATACCGTTACAACTCTGATTCCTCTCTATCCTTTCAACCACAATATTTCTTTTATTCTCAATCGCTAGTCCATTGAAAAGATAGATCTATTCGGGAATTTTCTCAGTGCTTAAAAACACACCGTTTCGCAAGCTCCAGAATCTCCGGATCCTCAATAATCACCACACTATGTCATGCAATGCTCTTGTAATCTGGTTTAGCAAAGCTGTAATCGATGCGACGGGTCTCGGCAGGATACTATTTATACTATGGTTATCATGCTAGTGGGAGTTTCGGCTTCGGCTGTATCATTATGGGATTTTTATTTGGCATGTTTATTATGTATCCCGGACGTCTGTTATTTAGGCAACCTATCACAGTCGATCTGAAGCGATTTTAAGCATTGCTTTAGTGAAGTTTTGTAACTGGGATAGTGCTTTAGCGAAGTTTTGTAACTGGGTGTAGTACTATCAGTTCTCACCGTCTGCCAAATATAGTTTGTTAGTCCAAAATTTTTTTTTTGACCGTTGAAAGTGCGCGTGACCGTTAAATCATTGTAGGATTTATTGAAATCCATTGATTAAAAGCAGCATTTAGTTATTATTAATATCCGTACAACAAATGCTCAGAAAATGGAAGAGAATTATATATAGTCTGTTAAGAATCTGTTAAGAAATCATTTTGAATCTGTTAAGAAATCAGTACACCGGAACTGCAGCATAAATGCTTTTTGAAATGCTTTTTAAATGCTTTTTGCTTTTTAACTTTTTAACTTTCAAATTATATCCCTCTGTAATACTGATAGTTGAGGTGCAGTAAAAAATAATAATCTCATAATGCTAAAAAACCATGCTTTTTGTACGCTTTTTTGTAATGCTTTTTTGTACGTATGTGTATATGTGGATATAATTTGAAAATTGGACTTTACTCACAATGCTTTTTTGTACGTATGTGTATATGTGGATATAATTTGAAAATTGGACTTTACTTGTTACAGTTATTAATATCACTACCATTCGAATATTCTAGAAAGGTACGCCGATAATTTGAGAAGTTACTAAATGATGTTTATGCTAACAGTGATTGTGTTTCTGGGTAGTTTGTCAATGGTATCTCACGAGAAATATTTTGTTGGTTGTTTTCATACACTGACAGCAGCAGTAGATTCTTATGAATAATTTGGATCGAAGATCAGTAGATTTTTCTTGTGCGTAGTTTGGATTGAAAGTTTTGATCTTTAAGAGTTCATGGTACAATTTTCAGACTATTATTTCTCTTTCAACATTAGGAGTATTATTTGCTCTCATATACTGAACTACATTTTCAAAATATAATGTCTGCGAACGATTTAATTGGTCTTTCGCTTGACGAAATAATTGCACGCGGTGGCCCGAAGTTTCGCACAAACCGACGTCCAGGTACTACCAGACGTGAAGGTGGCGTTCGGCGTTTTCGCGGTGGAGTTCGTCGAATCCCTGTAGTTACCAGTCGGGTAATTGTTTTATAGTTTTATTTGCTATATTTGTTTTATAGGTCTGACATCTATTGTTTTCATGTGCAAGTACTTCAGTACAAATTTTGAAAATGAGCTTTGCATGCTTGTTTTGCGTCGTGTTAAGAGCTTTTGCTTTTCAGCTTCCAAAAGGAAATTTCCGTTTGAATAATCTCAAACGTGATGTCAACATGTGCATTGTAAACATTTCAAATCTCGGACCAATGGTCACCACGACAGATTTACAGGTAGTTGAAAAGTTTTTGACCAAGTCTTTAGTAGGTTAAATAAGTGGCCCGTTTTTCGTTGCTTCAAATAAATATGTTTTGTTGTTGTTGTAATAAATTTGTTTTAAAAAAGGAGTCCTTTGGAATTTATTTCAGGAATTGTTTGCAGAGCATCCTTACGAGGATGTCGCCGTGCAATATGAGCCAGATGGTAGCCCATCTGGTACTGCTGTTGTGATATTTAAAAGATTCGAAGATGGTATGAAATTGAAGAGGCAATTTACCGGAGTGAGACTAGATGGTGAGTGATAGCTTTAATTTTTCCCAAGATCAGGATTGCTTAGTAATATTCTGCTCTCATACTGTGGTGGTATGGTACGTTTTCGTTACAAGTTACTGTATTTTGAAATGGTGCAATTGTGGTTTTGCCAATTCTCGATCCCATAGTGAGGAATACTTGCTACTCCTTTTCACTTAACTTTTTAAAATAGTATTGACATGACTATTATGATCTAGAATTATTTACCAGGACATGCGTTGGATATCTGTTCCGGACTTTGACTGTTGTATAATCATAGATAATACAGTTAACATTACTAAATTCTGATTGATCTCATCAGCGTTTTCTGCAGAGTATTTGGTTCTTTTTAATTTACAACAGATTAACGATCTTACAACAGCAGTTGGGAATTGAGCAGAAAGAATTTTAAAGTAGGGGCCATATAAGATTATTAGTTATGTTTTATTTATTGATGACTTGAACTGTTCAGGGAAAGCAATGGATTTATTCGTGTTAACGAAGAATGATTTCATAAGAGGTGTCTCGCAGGTTAGTTTTTTTCAATTAATTCTTCTACCAAATTCAGAATCTGTTAAAATTATCAAATTCGAGAATTTAACGAGCTCTCAGAATTTCTTCACATATTTCCCGTGCAAAATTCGTATTGGAATTGAGGAGAGAGTTTAATACAAGTTTATAGATGTGGTGATTTCAGGGTCGAATAACAAAAAGAGGAGCGAGAGGTAGTGTTCGATTTGGTAGCAATAAATTAAAAAGGAGTGGTGGCTTTGGTCGACTGAAGAATACATCTCGAAAACCACAAGTGACAAGTGAAGAGCTGGATCGAGAATTGGATGCGTACATGCGCGGTTCCAAACATCCAAAAGTTTCGGCTCCATAAACGGGAAAGTGTTCAGTGTTCTTTTTTTCTTGGATGATTGTTTCTGTTTGCTACGATGGGGCATATTTTGATTATAAATTTAACATTATTTAAGATATACGAGAGCGGTCATAAAACCGTTTGCATGAAATACATAAGATCTCGTCTATTTAATTTTGTTACTGTATCAATCAATTTCAATTACCAAATTCCTAAAAGTACAATCCGTATTAATAATGATTGTTTTTATCCATATTTTTTGTTTAATTGTTTAAATAATTGTGAAAGGCGAAAAGAATTAATTTTAAAATGTTGATGGGAGAGAAAATGCTAGAAACTGACGCAGAAAATAAGAATGAGTTTGGGTAGATTATCTTGTCTTGTTGATGCAGCAATGATAATATTTCATTTAAATAAAAATCTGAGTCTTTGTACTGCCTCTAATTCTGTTCATCCAGAGGGCCCCTTGGTTTTGCGACTAGTTCAACTTTTAAGAATTTCCCTGAGAATTGGATATTATATTAGAGAACATAAAAGATAAGCTGTCGCAGCAATTTTCCTTCACGGCGTTTTTAGGATGGCTTCAGCGATTATATGTTCGAATTGTACATGATAATGATTCCCTTTATAAGCATTATTTTCACGCTATAATCAGCGTTTAAAAGCAAATACAGCTTGAAATTTAATTATGAAGCCGGATATCGGCGCAGCACCATTGCTATTCGCTTGCAAACATTGGTGCTGCGCACGTTTGCTGATAATAAAGCATACTTATGTTTCTTTCATGCTTCTTCAGCTCTACTTGTTTGTTAGCATATTTATTTTACTTAATACTTTTTCCCCTCATTCTTCATTCCCATGCATCTACATCTGCACACTTCCCCTTGGATATTAAAAAGATGTAAGAGACCCGTTTGGCCAATATGTCGCAAATGAATTGTTATGAATTAGGATGGAATATGAATTAGGAATAAATGAAAGCAAATGAATTAGAAATAAATTGTTCCATTTGATCTCCGCGTTGATTCTTTTTGTCAACAGATCTGTAGGTGTGTGTGCAAATGAAACGCTCTTTTCAGCAGCTTTCAGAAATATTCTTTTCAAATAAATTAGAGCATAAAATCTCATAGTTTTATAGCTGGGGCGTAAAGTCTCATAGTTTTACGGCTGAGGCGTAAAGTTTCATAGTTTTATAGCTGGAGCGTAAAGTTTCATACTGTCGCAACGTTTTTTTCTTTCACGGCTACGGGTTCATGCATGTTTTATTCGCTGAATGTATCTTCTATTAATGCTTTAATTTATAGCATTGGCGGTAAAGAACTATCAAAGTTGTGTTTGAAAAAATTGAATCCAATTAAAAACTTCAGGATTTTTCAGCTTTCAATAAATTACGGAACATTGAAATAGTTTTCTACGTGAGACGTTTTATCTAATATAACATTTCCGATGACATCGAAACCTTCTTTTTAAGCAGATAAGTCGATAGGAAAGTATCTATTGAATGATTAGTATTATCGAAATAAAAATAAATGAGGAACAATTTGAAAAGTATTCTTTTAATGTTGAAATTTATTCGTCACTTTTCAAGTTAAGAAAATTTCACCGATAAATTATGTATGACACGATTAGAGGAACATTGTTGGGCATTGCAAACTTTACTAAGCCAAGTAAATGACTTTCAAAATGTCGATATTGACACGTATCAATAAGAGTCACAGATTCATCAATAAAGATAAATCTGAATAAAATGTAAATCAAAAGGAGGAAATGATTAGTGAAAGCCTGAATATTGCGTCAATGATCGTTCAGTTTGTAGCTTGTGATCTCCCATAGTAAACTGTTGTGGGAAAATGATAACATTCTGCCAGAAACATAGTGAAAATGAAATAAATTGTTCACTTCATGGATTAATAAAATATAGGTTGAAGCATTCGAGAAGATGGCAGTAATTCGCTTTCCACTGTGGCAGATACACTTAAGTTGAAATCAAATTCAATTTGTTTCAATACCTGCCAGATCACAACTTATTATTCATATCACAATTTTATTAGTTTAAATCTCCCTTTAACGATTTCTGGTTCATGCCTAATCATATAGCAGCAATACGTAAGCATAGATTATATCATCTAATCTCTCTTTCTCCTTATTTTTAAAACAAGCAATTTAAATTCATATTTTATTAATTTTCAGACTTTTTTCCACCGAATTAGATTATTTGATATACTGTTGCATTTTTTATTGATAGCTATAAACATGAAGGAATAATCTGAAAAATGATAATAATTTATAGGACAAGATTGCAATTTAAGATCTTAAATAATTTAAACTATTAGTAGAAAGAAATGAATTGCCATATCATTCAATTAAAATAAAAAGAGATTAAGAAGAAAGAAAGAAAACAATATAGGATATATTAAAATCATTAGTGATAGCAATCTGCATTTACTTAGTTTTGGTTGTGAAATTGACAAGTCAAATTTTCTTTGTGTTGTTTATAATGGTTTTAGAAAAAAAGAAAAATTTTAAATCTGACCGGTCAACTTGACTTCCATACTTTGCCAAGTCCAGCTCCAGCAGCAAAAAGGAATGCAATTGTTAACGACATGGATATACACATTAGAGCAATTGCTGTAACTGACCAGCCATATTTACCTGTTTATTTTAGAAGTTAGTGGTTTAAGGAACCGCAAACTGTAATTAAAAAAAACTTTTTTATTGTTTTTCTTTTTTCAAAAAATTTCCTCATCCACAATTCAATTTGTAATAAGAAGATTCATTCATCTCACATAATCTAAACAATAATAATAATTATATATGGAGTAAAGTTATACCTAAGAGCTGCTCCTAACTTATCCACAAATTGATCATTCTAAAATGGTCATTTCAGGAAACAATATAGGACTAAAGTGATCACATTATATCTCTACTGATATTCATCAATAGTTAATAAATTAAATTGTATTCACCTGAGCAGGTCTCTTTTTGATCATTTTTTTTCGCTGTTTGTTCAACTGCAAATTAATCAATTGATTACATCGTTAATAAAGAGAAAATCAAAAAACGAAGAAGAAAGATTTCAACAAATTATACAACATTTATGCTTATTAATCAAATAATATACTAAATTGAAGTATTAGAAAAATTATTATTTAATGTAAATTGAATAACTGAAGCTATCGCTATTCTAATTAGAAATAGCAATTTGGTGAAAAAATAGCAAACAATGCAAAATTTATGAAACTATGAATTATTTTAATTATTTTAACATCGAATGATAATTTAGAAAGACTGATAAATCTCATCAATATAATATATATATTATATTTACTCTAATTATCATCCCAAATAATTTAGACTTTCTAATTTATGCTTTAGAGAAATGAAATTTCCACCATTATTCTCTTCTTTTTTTTCATCAGATGGTAGGATAATATTTCCGGTTGATCCGATTGTTTCATATTCATTAGCCATCTTTATTTAATTGCTTTCACTATTTTAGTTTGTTTTAAACTAAAAAGTTTTAGAAAATTTAAGCTTTCATGAAAGAAAAAGACGGAAGTTTACTTTTCTTTTTCAACTTTTGCAACAGATATGAAAAGCAATGGATCGGATGAATTAATCTTATTCGAAATTATCAAACAAACATTATCAATGCATATTTCTTTTTTTCTTCTTCATCTATTGTTTTTCATCAAATTTTTAATTGTATAAGAAATGCTACTATCGTTTGAATGATAAATTTAAAGTTAAAAAAATTTTTGTTTAATGAAATTAATGAAAATTACATTGAAAAAAATCGGTTTCAAATATACACTTAAAATATAAGGCGGATAATGAATGTTAGCTTTCCTGAAACCGAACTGGAAATTGCATAAAAACAAAAATGTATTGCATATAAGAATTTATCCATTTTATACTTTTAGTTGTCAGTAAAAAAAAAGTTGATAGTGAACAGTTGCAAAATAGTTATTATAAATGAAATATCAAATGGATTTCAATAAAAACTTCTGAGAATTAAATTTATTCATAATTGAATTTAACCTGATTTAATTTTTATGCAAAAAAAATAATTTCTGACAACTTTTACTAAAAAGTAAAAATAATTCTTTTTTAATTTTAATTTTTAAACTTTTATATTATAAGCAAAGAGGAAGTAAAAGAGTAAATATGCAATTTGTTGTGTGGTTATTAATTAACAATGATAAAAATATCTTATGTGATTTTAACAATTTAGATATTCAATTTAATTTACTGCTAATTTAATTCGTGTATCATAAAATATCGTTCTTGCATTTGAGATTAGGGTTTCGAAATCCGGAACAAAATTTATCAATTATCAACGTTATCAGTGATCTTTTACAATTTTGTTAAAAATTCATCATAATCCTATGTTATTTCATAATCCTGTTATTTGAAATATCTTCTTAAATTTAGTCTTTGAATATAAACAAATATATCATTAATGCTAAAATAAGATAGTTATCAATTTTCTGAAATACTGACTAAAAGATCAAACGAATCATTTGAAAGTGTAAATCATTGATCAGTCGAAAATTGAAAATCTTTATATTGACTATTATGGTAACATAAGTTATCACTGATTAATTAAAAAGGCTTAAAATTGTGTATTTGTAACCATTATAGACACTGAATTAAATCATGCAATCAGTTCAGCTGTCAATTTAAATTTAAGATTAACCTTAGAGCATCCATTGATAGTAACCATTTTATGCGATGGTGGAAAAAAAATTCAATCGAAAATAGATAATTGCATAGAATAATTCTAGAAGAAAGAGAAATTAGATCGGAATTGCATTGAAACATCAAAGATGAAATGTGTAAATCCTGAAGAAGGAAGTGTGGAAAGATGTATTGACGTTGCCGAATCGGAAAATTTGTTGTATAAATTTCAATCCCGAATAATTCCAGAAATTTAAAATATTAGTTGAAAGACAGTAAAGGATATTATAATTTTACAGTGAACTTATGCAGTGATTATCTGATGAGAAGATTTGATCAAATTTTTTGTTAGATTTATTGGTCATATATATTTGTTCATAATTTTGTTGTAGTAAATTTCGTATCACCAAAAATTGAGCTTGAATTTGTTTGTTTCAATTATTTCATATGATTTAGCAATGTACCTATGTTAATTATTTTTTACTCTGGTAGGAATAATATATTATTATTTTAGTAAGCTATTATTTGAACTACTGATTTAATAGTTTTATATTTGGTTTTAACATTTGATAACTTCGTCATTTCGATCTCTTTGAGATGGAAATTGTTGTAAACATATCCGTCACTAATTGCTATTAGAGGTTTAACTTGTTTTTTTCTCTCTCCAAATTCCTTCTATTAATTTTACTATCTCTGAAAATATCGTTTTTCATAAAGAGCGGTGGTATTTTACTATTTTCTTTGTTTGATGCATCTTTTCATTTCATCCATCATTTTAAATAACTGAAAATATTTACGCTAAAGAAATTTTGCAAAATGGATTAAATTTTCAGATAACATTTTAATCAAAATTTTAAGTGTGATTAAATAAAATCTCTTAGAAAGTAACTCTGTGAGTGAAATGAATTTTAAATTGAAGTAGTTTGGATGAATAAACTGCTGCTATAGGTGACAATATAATGAGAACAGTGACACTAACACTAACAGTATAGCAAAAAGTTGGACATTGGTCATTTTAAAATGTTCGGCTATTGAAAGCGAATCATTCACCGTAGAATGCGCAACAATTAATACTTTCGATCCTTCAATAATGGAAAAAAAATTTGAAAAATTCTAAGCTCATCGAATGCCTACCTGTAAAGTATTCATTCAATGAATTTATTGGCTAATTCATTGACTTTCTTCTTGTTGACTAAAATCTTTATTGATTTTTGATAACAAAAATTTGAAGAGAGAGAGAGAGAGAGAGAGAAAGAGATGTATCATATAATATCCAAGAGATAGAGTAGTATTTCTACGATGGAAATCATTTTTACCGCAATGGCACCAATCGAGAAAATTATATTTGAGAAAGTGAAAGTTTGCATTGTTTTGGGATGATAGTATTATCATTTCTATCCAGAAAGATATGTTTATTAAAATCATAAACAGGCCGAAGTGAGCAAGGAGGAAAAGAAAAAGTGGGGTCAATTACCCTGCGGCAATCTTACCCCCTCTTTATCCAATCCCGCTGAAACAGTTCCACGGTCAACATCGGATTGACACTAAAGTTTTCATATAAAAGGAGCTTTCCATAGTGGGATATCTTGAAGCAGAGGCAATATCATATATTCATTCGTTCTTTTTAAATAATGACAAAATTTCTATCTTCAAATTGCTTATTTTTACTGCTATTGATATTACTACTTGCTAATCTGATTAATGCTATTCCAATCGATAACGGTGTTGAGGGTGATCCTGAAATTGAATGTGGCCCAAGATCGGTTACTGTTAATTTCAATACAAAAAAAGCATTTGAAGGTTTATTTTTAAATTATAGAATTTATTGTAATTCAAAATTTCAACATATTAAGTTTCTGCTATTTAGGGCATGTTTATGTAAAGGGCCTATATGATCAACAAGACTGTCGATCGGATGAACGTGGTCGTCAGGTAGCAGGAATTGAAATTTCATTCGATACGTGTAACGTGGTACGGAGTAGATCATTGAATCCACGTGGTATCTTCGTTACAACCACTGTTGTCATCTCATTTCATCCGTTCTTTGTCACTAAAATTGATCGTGCATATCATATACAATGCTTTTATATGGAAGCTGATACCACAGTGAGCACCAAAATTGGAGTCTCTGGAATGACTACCGTCTTTCAGACTCAAATAGTTCCAATGCCAGTTTGTCGATATGAGGTTATTTGTTGTTTATTCTTTCATTCTCAATTAGTATAATTATAAAAAAGTTAAAGGTTGGAAAGAAAAAGAAAAAAAGGAAGATGAAAATACGGTAAGAATAGAATAAATCTATCGGTTTTTATCTTGTTTTAAGTTGAAATTGAAGAATTTCTTCATTCAAAAGATGCAAAATTTCTCTTCAACTCTTTTAATTTTCTTACATTTCAATTCATTTCATTTTTCTTCTTCTTTTTTTAGATTCTTCTACTTCAAAATATCGTTAAAATATATTATCTGTAAAATATTAATATCTAAGATTCCTTAAATTTTTACTTTTAATAATCTTTGATCGAATAAATAATTAACGCTTTATTAAATGATATCTCTTTCCAGTTATATCCTATATTGATCCCTAAATTTCAGCTTTTGGATGGTGGCCCAACTGGAGAACCGGTTCAATATGCAGTGGTTGGTCAGCCAATATATCATAAATGGACATGTGATTCAGAAACAGTAAACATCTTTTGCGCATTAGTACATTCATGTTTTGTTGATGATGGTAACGGTGATAAAGTGCAAATTTTAAACGGTGAAGGATGTGCTTTAGATAAGTATCTCCTGAATAACTTAGAATATCCAACCGATTTAATAGCTGGACAAGAAGCTCACGTATATAAATTTGCTGATCGACCGCAACTTTTCTATCAATGTCAAATAACAATCACAGTCAAAGAGCCACATGAAGAATGCGTTCGACCGAAATGTCCAGAACCAGAAGGATTTGGTGCAATTAAGGAAAGCAGTAGGAGTAATCGTGAAATAGAAACTTTATCAGTGACACCTACAGTATTACAAATGAGATTATTGAAAAAGAGAGCTGCTGATTATGATGATGCAACAGTGGATGTTAGGACTGATATCAATACATTGGATATCATTGATGAGGTTTGAATTACTTTCAGAATTTAATTTAAATTGAAGTGAAGAAGTATCTTAGTAGGAATGTAAATTGAGAATAATTTAATTTCATTTTTGCTAGTTAATAAATATTTCACTACCTTTATAGCATAGCATTTCAAAACCACAAAAAATATATCTTATTGTAAAATGCATATTTATATTCATACAATATATTTTATATTTTATACATGTTTATAGTCAATAGAAAATTTTTAGTGGAAGCTCTCCAATAGGAATTAATAACTTTGGCTATCGATCATCTATAAAAATATACATTTGAAATACTTCCTAATCATATTTAAATAAGAAATGAATAAATTTCATCTCTTCATTTAATTGATTTAATTAATTCTACGTGAAAATTTTTCATTGAAATTTCAAAATTGATTTTAAAAAAAACAATATCAAAATTAATATAAAATATTTATATTAATAAGTTTATTTTTTCTATAGTGAAATATTTTTAATAATGTTAAATGACCGAAACCTTAAGTCATCTATGTATTCCGAAAATATAGAATTTATAACGATTTGCCATATACTATGTATAGTTCCGAGAGATTGATAGATATGAAGGCATAGTTGTTAGTTTATTTTAACTTAAAAATTATATGATGATGAATCAGAATGTTTAATTTGCTTCTTGTTAATTCTCAGATTAACTTGGATTATATGGAAAAGTTAGAATAACTTTTTCCCAACAATTAGTATTCTTACAAATAACATTTATTTACGAACAAAACTTTAAACTAACTTAAATTAAACAAATTGCAAAACTTCATTTCTATTGCAACAGGAAATAAATCTAACTATTAGGTATGAATTTACTATAAAATTTCTTGCTATGACGCTAAAGTTACAAAGCCTTAACGAAAGTTTACTTTTAATAGTGATAGGCAAATTTATGGTTTAAGAATGTGTCATTCACATCAGTCAATGTGCTATAATATATGTAAATGTAATTATATCATAAATGATGAATTTTCAAATTTTATTTTATCGAGTAAATTTGCAGAATCCAATATTACCAGAAAATTTACGACATCGGAGACGGTTGCACTATGAAATCAATAATCGCAATGCTGTATGCATGTCATCTGCAGTATTCTATCTATTTTTTGCATTTACCACATTAATAATAATAGCTGCATTTATCACATATGCTTCCTATTTGTATAAACAAAAATTATGACCATGTTTTTTTGTTGAAAAGAAAGCTATAAAATTAACATGTATTGATAATTAATTCTAGCTGTACTCTTGAGAAGATGAAATAGGCGCTGTTTTCTGTTTGATGATATTCATTGCGGTTCCTTTGTTTGTTATTTTGAATAATATTTATTTATTTATTTTTTTAAATGATTTACTAATAATTGTGTTACTATTTTATGACTGTGCAATAATGCGTTCCATTTGCGCAATATATCGCAAAAGTCTTTCGTGATAATGCTATCATCTATTTTAGTCATTCATTTTCCTATTTTGTTTTTCTTCTTCCTCTCTCTCTCTCTCTCTCTTTCTCTCCCTCTGAGGTAATAATCAATAAATTGAAATTGATGTATATTTTGAAATGTTTTAACAGCCTTTCATAGTCTTATATTTCTTATCTTATCTTTATCAATCAAATTGACTTCATCCTTTTTGCTTGTTCAAATAGATTTGGAATGAAAATTTTGCTTTCACATCAATTTCAATTTATTGATTATTTATTAATTTATTGATTATTGATTAGTTATTGATTATTAATCTATTCAGTTAATTGAGATTGCTGAATGTTGTATATACTTTACATATAATGAAAGATTAGTTTGATTTGAAAGAATTATTTCGGCAGTTCAATGGGTAAAATTGAAACAGAGAACTGAGAATGAAATCGTGCTGGTCATCGTTCATCAGTTGGACACTCAATCGGTTTTGACACAACAAAAGACAAAACCGAAATGAACTTTTGTTTGAAGACTGGCTGTTGTTGTTGTTATTGTTGTTTAATTGCAAATTGGTGGTTTCATTGTTTTCAAATGAAATTTAAATCGGGATCGCTTAGATATCACTAAATATTGTATTCTTTCATAGGAGACATTCACTCTTCTTTGAACTTTTTCCTTCCATCTTTCTTGATAATTAAATTCTTCAATTGAAAATATTACTATTATTTTGTTAACAATGAAAATATATAATAATTAAAATTGCATTTTAAAACTCTCGTTTTCAATTGCTAAACATCCGAAAACAAACCGGTTTTTGAAGTTCCCAATGGGAAAAACACGAAGTAGTGAAAATTGATAAAATGATCATCTTTTCTTATCAAATATCACTGAAGTGTTATTATCATCATTTTGTTCATGCTAATCAATTCATAGCAATGCAAATTTAAATTTTCATAAACAGTGGATCGATCAGTTTCATCCGCTAATTGTATTCATTAAAATAATTTCATCTAAATTATTCAAGAGATGATGGAATTATGAAAAAGATCAATGGGTGAAAACCAAAAAAAGGAAATGAAATGAAATGAGAAGTGAAAGTAAATAGTTGGAATATTTGTTAAAAAAAAGATTTCAACCTGAAGTTTTATAGGAATGTTAAAAAATTTGCATCCTTTTGTTTTATGAGTAATTAAGCGTAAAATTCATTTGTTTTTAAATTTCATTTTTATCGATTGTTTGTTTATTTTAAGTTCAAATTTAGATTTTCCAATATGAAAATGAAAATGTAAAAGATATACTTTTCTTTTTTTAAGAAAAAGAAAATTACACACTGACATTCGCTCTTTAAAAGAGAAATTTATTATTCACAAATGAAATTTTGAGCATTTCAAAACAATGGAAAAAAACAATGGGCTTACATTTTAATAATTACAACAAATAAATAAAAACAATTTTAATGAACAATAAAATATTATTCTTACCTTTCTAAAGATGAGAAATAAATTACACAAATATGATTGTATGTACAAAATGAATGATAGCAATTAATTATTGCTGATAATGGTGGAAGAAAAACAGTTGATATGGTAAAATTAAAGCATGAATTTGATTCTGATAGGAGATTTCAACAAAGTATTTGCGGATAATATCGACTGCCATGTAGTTTTTTCCTTCTCATTTTTTGTTTTAAATTTTGATCAATGGTTTTGATTTTTGTGTCAATAATTTCTCTTTGGCAATTTTTTTCGATGATAATTGATTATCATTAAATGGATCCATTTCCTCAAATGGTACTTCACCGTCGAATTTGACATACTCTGAAACATTTCAATAATTCAATCATACAACTCTTTTGATCTAACAAAATGAAAACATAAAATAGAAATAGAAAATTTGATAAATTTATTATGATTTTATTTTTAACTTTTACCATCAAAATCAAACAATGATTAATTATCATTATTTATAATATGGTTAAATTTTCAATATCAAATTTTATTTCGTTATCATAAATATGCTAATAGCTTCCTTTTTTCATATATAATTGTTATCAATTTGTCTTATAAATGATAATTACTTTTTGATAACAAATGATAATGCTAATTGTATTTTTAGATGAATGAAAAATTTCATATGAAATTTCAATCACATAATTGTATTTTTTGAAATTGTCGTAAGGCATTGTCTTGATTATGAAAAAAGACCTAAAATGGAATAAAAGAAAAAATAAATTTTTGAAATTTCTTAATGGAAAATTCTTGAATTCCTTAACAACCAATTTTCCAATATTTTCATTTTTAAAAAAGAGAAGAATATAAGATAAAAGCGATAACAATGAAAAAGGCTGGCATAACCTAATACTATGTCATTTATTAGGTAAAGAATATTCATTAATTTAAAGTAAAGCTTAGAAAAATAAAATATATTTTTGTAATTATCAACTTTATATTAAACATAACTAAGCAAGCATTATCAGAATAATTATTCATATCATAATAATCATATTGATTTAAACTTATTGATTACTGATAAGAATTATTATTTCCACAAATTTTCTTTTGTGATAAATTTATGTGAATCGCTCAATTACTATAAATACTTCTTTCTATTGGTGATCCGTTCTTTTTTGAAAATATAATTTCAAAAAATTTATAAATTTAATATTATTTTGAATTGAGCTTATTGGAAATGAAAAAAACAAAAGAAAAAGAAAGCAATTTATACATTTCTTTTAATTTATTAATTACTTATTTCTCTTATGAAATGGTTTCATTTTTGATTTTAAAAATTTGCAAAGCTATTGATTGTTTACATTTTATTCGATGCTAATGCTTGTTGACAAATAATTTTTTGATAGAGAGAAAGAAACTAACCGGATAATTCAAGTCCGCCATCATGATTCTTATCGAATGAATCAAATATTGACTGGAAATTGAGACGAGGTTTCAATGCATATCGTTCAGCCAATATTTCTTTCACCTCTTTCATATCCAATTTTAAATCAAAGTTCTTATCAAATTCCTATAATTCTTTCTTATTTTGTCATAATGATATCATTATCACTTATTGATTATTTACTGTTATCATTAAATGAAATCATTATGACAACTTCTTCTTTTTCGAAAAACTTTTCAATAAATATAAAGTACAAAAATAGTTCTTATGATTCTTCTTATTTTTGTGATAATTTTATATTATAACATAAAATTCATTTCTAATGCTTACAGTACTCTTCAATAATTGTTCTAGAATTTTCGACATATTAATAAATATTTCAAATTTTTTATTCAGTTTATATTCGTATATGATGATAGCTCATCTTTATCAATGATAAGAATTAATTACATAATAGCAATAAATCAATAAAAGCAATCGTTCAATCAATCAATCAGTCAATCAATAGTATATGATTTCTTTTATTTCTATATTTTCAAAATCAGAATTATCAATGAAATGATAAGCCTTATTTTTTTATCTATCATTTTTTCTATCATAAAGAAAATTTTATATTAATTTTTCTCATAAAATAAATTTTCTATAATTTCAAATCAAAAAATTATTCGTTTAAATTTTTTGCATAATATTTTAAAGAATTTCAAATAATTACAAATTTTGATCGTATTTGTAAAAGTATTTAATTAATTAGCAAATATTGTTTAAAATAAAATTTCGATGAATAAAGAAATATTTTAGTACTTCATAAATTTGTTGAAAATATTGGGCACGTCGTTCATCAATAATTTCCTTTTGTTTTACACCTTCAGCATCATCATGTTCACTACGTGAAATGTATCCATCATCTGTCAATTATTAAATTTTAATAAAACAATAATTTAGTATAGTTATTTAATTAAAGTATAATAACGCTTTACCTATGTGATACAATAAAAGTTTAATTGATACTAAAAGAAAGTTATCATAAAGAATAATTATTGCGAAAAGGAAGACCGAAATCTTATTCAATTGAAACATTATCAAATAACTCTTTTCATTTGTTTTATTAATAAAATATTTATTTTGAAATTTTGAAAATTTTGAAAAAAATTTTTAAAATTTTTTAAAAGATTAATTTTCAAAAATATTTTGCAAATAATTAGCTAAAAACAATTATTTAATTGCATAGCTATTAAATTATATTTGCATTCGAAATATTCTAAAAGCATATTTTATTAATTTTAATAAAAATATTTATAAAATTTAAAAGATCACATCTTTTAAAATTTAAGTGAAGATAAACTTTAACAGTATTATCACTAAGAGAAAAGAAACTTTAACAGTATTATCACTAAGAGAAAGAGATGAAAAAAGAAACTAACTATTTTTGTCGATTTGTTTAAATTCAAATTTCTTCATTCTTTCATAGAGTAAATTTAAGTGAAGATATTCATCAAATGATAATTTGTTATCACCATTTTTATCCGATCGTTTAAATTGTTCTTCTGAATTCAACAAAAAAGAATTGTTTTAAAGAATTTGAAAAAGAAATTGATGAAAAAATTTTAAGTGAAAAATGAAAAATATCGAAGAATGTTTCATTCTTAAAACAATAATTTTTTTTTAATTTACAAAATTAAAAACTTTACGAATGATAATTTTTCATACTAGAAAATATTTTCAATTAATTTTTTTAGTACAAAGTAAAAGAATATCTCTGAAACTTAACAACATTATCACTAATACTGATAGCATTAATAATATTTAAATGAGAGAGTATCATTCATAAAATTAACAGCATTATCACTAATACTGATAGCATTAATAATATTTAAATGAAAGAATATCATTCATAAAGATAACAGTATTATTCATAAAGATAACAGTATTATCTCTAGTACTAATAGTATCAATAATATTTCTAATTCTGAACAAAAAGTTTTAATTATACTATTCTGTTGCTCTTAAAATTTCAATTAGTATATGCTAAAACCAACCGAGAGTTTCATATGGGAATTCTGAACTGATACTCTCAGGAACTCTAAGTGTAATTGTTCTCGAATTGACCAAATAAACAGAACAAAGTAATAAGTAGAATAATAAGACAGACATCTTTTCTTTCTAAAATATAATCTGAATTGAAATTACTCTCCTTAATATGAATGCTGTTGTTTGAATGATATCAGAAGGTAGTTTACAGGTACCTATTTATAGTATCTATCGCCCATCTCATTTTATCGCTATTTCATCCTTCCTTACTCTTACATTCCGGTTTTCTTGCTCATCATCTTCTATTGCTGTAAACATCTTTCGGATGGGCGGGGGGATGAGAGAAGAAATTTGACGAAAAAAATTAGAAAAGAAAGGATATCTCGAAGAATCGATTGTTTTATTAATTTGACTTTCTCCGTATACATCGATTGGCTAAGTCTATCATTTTGAATTTTCATTCGATTGATCGGTTTGATCGAACAATTCGTTTGACTGATAGCAACGATCAGTTAATCATTAAGTCTAAGGATTGTAAAATATACGTCTGATATCATCGGGCAATGTATGCATCAATTTCAAATATTTTATAATATCATAGAATCTTTTCATTTTTACAACAAACATTCTTCGTTTTGGAGAGTGACCAATCTGATAAATGTCCTGCATATTGAAATGTTAATTGAATTGCCATACTATAACAAATTTAATTCTAAATAATGGAATGGATAGAATTTGTTCAGTTGAAATTTACTGATAATTCTAAAAATAAAATCAAAAGGAAATTGACACCTTTAAGTAGATCCACTGTATTGCTAATAGTCAACCATTATGCTTCATATAATTGTTAATCAATTCATTTTACTATATCAGTTCTGATAACTTACGTGATTCACACATGGAAATGGCTTTTAAGTTCGAAATTCGAATTGACAGGCAATGTTTTGATAAAATAAAAATTTGAAATACTGAAATCATTGAAATATTAAAAAAGAAAACTTCCCATTTATTCACATCACTTTTTCAAATAATCGTGCAAAAATTCGACCACAATCGATTTACTAATTCTATGCAAAATTATCGCTGAATGTTGTAGTTGTCAATAATTTTACAAAATTTAAATCAGTCTCTAAGGAAAAATATTCTGTATTAAAAATATCAAAACCGATTCCGGAAAAATTCCCAGCCACACTGTTGCATCAATTTGCGAACTATTTTTATACAAATTTATAAATTATCTCATTACAGTAATGCTGTCATTTCTACCATATAATGTATTTTAAAACATTGTAGTTCTTCTGAGTGTTATAAGTAAAAGTCATTTAGGATAAAGTTAAACTTAATAGGTCATTTTGTTTGATTGAATTTTGTGAAATGATTTTTAAATATTACTGCTAAATTTACAGTGTGATTGCGACGCTAAATAACCTGCAAAGGTCGTCGAGTTTTGCTTCTCCAAAATTTTTATTACTTAAATAAGTAAAGTCACAAACTAAATAATTTAAATTATATTTGAATAAGCGCCTACTTTTTCAATTTTTAAATTGTCTTCACTATCTGTCAATTATAAATGTAATAATCGAAAATTTATTCACATCGAAATTTTCAAATTATAATAATTACTTTTTCATCAATAACAATTATAATTTCTTTAATAACGCTCGCTTATCGAATAGTTTTAAAAAAGCAATTACCACAAATAAACTTGAAATTAATTTGATAATTATTTCATTTTCTTTAGGCTGTCAGATATTTGCTAAAAATATGAAATGAATTAAATAACTTAAAATTGAATGAATGTATTTTTGATATTACAATTGATGAATTTCACAAAATTTAGCTAAAAAATTTCTCAGAACTTTTAACACTTAATTAAATTAATTAAATCAAAGACTTTGAATTATATTTGAATGAGCAATTTTATTCAATTTTCAAATTATCTGTCAATTAAAAATGTAACAATCGAAAATTTAAATTTTTTAATTTTTTTAAAAATTAATTACAGAATTAAAAAATATTAAATTTTTATTAATTGATATTTCAGGAAATTAATAAAGCGGACCTTATAAATTTATTCGTAAAGTTTCTTTTACTATTATTCATTGCAAATAATAAAATTTATTTCTGTCATGAAATAAAGTTCTTTTTTTGGATCGAATATTTTCAACTTTTATTTTTTGTTTTATTTATTTTGAGAAGCGCTGGCTGTAATAAAACAATGAATGATTCTTTGTTAAATTTAATTTTATTCGATCGTCTCTTTCTTTTTCTTTTCTGATCGTTTTATGAGAATTTATTTGAATGAAATTTTACAACTGAATGTTTGGTATATTCAATTCAATTAGAATTTTGATTTTTGAAATGTTAAAACTCCGTAAAATTGTTTTCGTTGAGAGTATTCATTAACTGTCACAAAGTGACATACATTTGAATTTTTCACAATACTCGAAATTTTCATATGCCATTTGTAAAGTTATAATCATTCGTAATGACCTGTATCGGTATTCGAGAAAAAAACTTATCTGCACGTAATCTTTTTGTTTTTCTTTTCTGTAATATTGTAAAAGCATACCTGAAGAAGTTTTTAAGTGATAAATTATCAGGTATGGAATGCAAGGACATTAATTAATTAATCATTGAAATTTATCAATTAAAATACATTTTAATCTAATCAATTGTTTATGTAATAAAATATTGGAAATTTTGATAATAAAAAAATTAAATGGAAGTTTCGATTTGTTTTGTAATCTGTTTTTCTCTTCTAAAAGAATATATTATAATGTTAAATTGAAGGTGAAATTACTAATGAAAGCTCATCATCATTCATTAGTAATTGTTCTTGCAAAAGATCCGGTTTACCTTTCTTTTTCTCATAAACAAATATGATTTATACCATCTACGTCATTCATTGCATTATTTCATACGCTGTCATTTAGTGTTCGATAATAAATATTGTAAAAATGATGAATATTTTGGGTATGTCAAAAATTTTCAGTGATTGAATGAAAAAATAAAATGATAGAATTTGCATTACAATTCTTCACTGTTAACATATTGTTTCATTAATTAATTAACTAACATTTTTGTTTGAAATTTTCTTCAGTGGGTTCAATCAGCTGCAAAATTGTGCTATGATAGGGAATAAAAGATATGTATTGTTGCAGTAACAGTATTGAAGAAAAATATTTGAAAATGATAGAATAAAAAATATTGACTGCCAACAAGAAGAGTCTGTTGAAATTAAATCGCTTGCAACTTTATTAAAAAATAAATTTTTTTAATGTTGGATATACATTAACAACATTCTTCAAAAAAAACTCCCTTCAAGGAAAATCAATATTGCTTAATTTTTTAACATTGAAACATAAATCAATAAAAATTGAATAAGTTAAACATTTTAAATAAGTATTTGCAAAAAGATAGTAAGCAAACAATTGCTAAAATTTCATGGAAAGATCGATAAATTTAACAAAAATAAAAATTGCCACTTTTATCCGTATTGTATTCATATGCGATATCTCGGGCGATATTTTCGGTTTAGAGAGATGAATTGCTAGTCGGCAATAAGTCTTCCGTTTTGAAGCGTAGTTTGTAAATTGATGCAGTTAATTAATTTCAATTTTTTTACACGGTTTAAAGTTTTCAAGGAAGATTTCATCTTCTTCATCAATACATAAATCATACCCGTAAATAATTTTTTCGAAAAATAACGCTTACATTTTAATTAATAAGAAAATATAACTTTTACTATATTATGTCCGATATCACCGAATCATCATATAGCTGAATTAGCAATTTAATAATGGTTTTGTGACCAGCCGCTATCATGCTATTAAATTATTTATTGATTTGTAAAGATAAAAGGTGTGCAGCAATCAGAAAATGGAAATTCAAAATATAATTATTCAAAATTAAACCAAAAGATTAAGTTAAGATTTTTAAAAGGCAACTCTTTACATGCTTGAAATGTAAAAGTGAAAGAAACAAAAATGGAATTTGAAGAAAGTTAATCTGAATTGCTTATATAATTTTATTCGGATTGTAAAACATTTTGTTTTTGTTGTTATTGATTTAATATATTTGTCACGTTGTCTAATTAAGATCAATAATTAAATTCACTAATTTACATATCGTTCAAATAATAATGTCATGCAAGATCGCTGAATTTTCATCAGTGATACATACATATTTTATAATTTATGACTCCGTAATTTTTAAAAAATTTTAAAAAATTTTCGTTTTATACAAAAAAGTCTTATTGATGACTCATTCATAAAATGTATGCAATATTGAAATGGAAAATTGTAACAAATTAGAATAAAACATTTCCATTCTTAAAATATAAAAACATTATTTAACTGAAATTATGTATGAAATTCAGATTAACATTTTTGAAATTTCAACGTTTAACAGTGAAATATTTATGTGTCACACCTATTCTGTTGATGACAGTTTGGTAGTCGTGAATGAATAATGTTGTTTGCATGACATGTGCGAATAGTCAACTTTAATTAATGATCTCAGCAAATTTACATGAAAAATGTATTATGTTGTTATGAAGAAAGAAAAAAAGCACCTTTGATATTCAACTGAATAAATGACTATTTCAAATGTTTTCAGATCTGATCTGATTTAGCTAAAACTATAGAAATTATTTTTTGATAGAAAAATAAATTAAATTGGAATTTGTCTAATATATATTTAATCATAAAAATTTTTCAGACAGATCGATTACATTTCGAATAAACTATTATTTTTGATTTTGACATAAACTTCTGGAATAAGTAGATATTGTTAAATCTGTTTTAAATGTGAATAATATTTCAATAGATCAAATTCATTTTTTTTCGTCATTAATTTAACAAAATTTAACTTTTATCACATATATTGTATGATATGATGATAACGTGAAGATCATTTTTTTTATCACACTCTTTGATAGTTGATAACGAAGAAAGTGAATCAAAAAATAGTACATACCTTTAAAGCGTTTCATTGTTTTATTTATAAATGAAGAAATAATTAGTATTTCGGTTAAAAAAAAGTGAAAGAAATGTTACAACAATTACGCATTACTGAAATGAAATATTTCTGTTATTTTTCTTACATCCATTTCTTCTCTTTTAAAAGTTACACGTACACATCACAGATGAATTTAAAAAATGGCAATGTTAAGAATTTTGAAATCAAATTAATAGCCATAGATATAAACGTCAACAACTTACAGATAACATACTTATAGATAACTTTGATTCAGTGTTCTTTGTTGTTAACGTTTGACTGGAACGCAAGTAAAGAGGTACACTTCTCATAATCAAATGAATGACGAGATTACTTACATCTGCGCCAATGCATTATCAAAATGATAAAAATAGGCGCTCATCGCATTTGTTTAAATCTCTACGATATTACTGTAAAATTGAACTAGAACTTCTTGGTGTAAAATTAATACTGATCTTATAAAAATTTCAAAGCGATGAAATCGATACTTTAAAATCATTGTAGTTATGGATTTCTCATATAAATAATGCTTTTTTTGAGACAAATCAACAATACTTTTTGATTAATGAAAAAAATAAAATGACCAATGCGCTGAGCTTGTTGACCACTAGTAATCACTATTGTCTACTTTTCCAGAAATTTAATTAGTGTGCTTCTCACAACAACAACAACATCATACATGCATGACATTATAGTTTTTTTGAAGTTTGAAAATTGAAACGAATCCTTCTCGCTATCATTTCGTTATCTCTTTTTTGGAAAACTAAATAAAAAACGGATCAAGATAAAATGAATGAAATTAGATAATAATGATGACAAATTATGGTTATAATATATCTGTGGTAAATTTTTCTAATGAAACCATCGGGACATTCTGAACAGGTTCCGATTTCGGCAGAAATAATAAATGTTGTTTTAATTCTTATCAATTTTTAGTCACAAAGAGATTTTTCGTTCTCCGAAAAATAAGCGAAGGAACTTTTCTTCTATTCTTTTTTTTTTAAAATAATGTCCTATTTAATTTTTCGTGAAGTGTTTTTTCACTAAAATGAAGAAATTTTGATTTCGGTTTCTTTCAAGTTGAAACATAAAGATTGAAAAGAAAGCCAATACTCAGTCCTTTTTTAAGCTCTCAGTTCTAAAGAATGAAAAACTTCTCATATAGGCCAACAAGGGGATGATAAAATTCTAGAATCAACCGAATATTCCCAATAAGATTTTCTTCTAGTTTTTCCGATACCTAGTAGATGTTTCGAAGATGATTACTTTCTATCAACATTAACCGTTTGCAAATTCGTAGTATGTTGAATGATATTAGTTTTTTCTGCAACACTTGTCAACTAGAATAAATCTTCCCTTCGATCTATTCTTTCCTTAGTCTTCTCATTCATTTTATGACGGTTACAAGAACAATTCGAAGATCAAAATTCTCTTATAATGTCAAGTAAATTGTAAGTAAAATTTTGAAAAAAAAATCCTATTCAACTTTTTTGTTACATTCCAAGAATTTCTGTCATCGAAATAGTCCTTCAATCTTTCACCGCTCTATAAAGGAATGCAACGAATGTTGCTGTAATGGGTAAACGAATGCGATGTTGTGTTCATCCTTATCATCAGTGCCTGAACTTCGTGATTGCCACCGTTCTGTGCAGTAAATCAATGAATGCCCACACATATACCTTCTCCATAAAGAACAACAAAAAAAAGTGCTCACCAATGATTTATTTATATAGATATAGAGAAAAATACGAGAATAAAAGAACAAATTTTTAAAAAGTTTTTTCCAATCAGTACTGATAAAAAAATGGCGATGAGATGCGTTTTTTCAATTAACTTCTGAAAGCAATAAATTAACAATTATCGAAAATAAAAAGTGCAGTCAGTTCGTACAATAAAATAGCAGAATAAAGGTTGAATTGAGGGGTGACAGATAGTTATTTTCACAGCCTTCTTTGTTACAAATGTGATGAGATATTGGATACTTACTTAAGCAATCACTATTATGGAAAGCTATAAAAATAACAAAATTTTTGTGCCAACAAATGCTAAATTCATCTGGCTTTGTTAACTGAAAGAACGCTAACATACACATGTGGCCGAAATTAATGCTAATATTTCAGAGAAAACTAAAAAAAGGGTATCTTAATCATGTATGTTTGCGGTAATGATATGCAATGTCGAAATGACTTGAATTAAAAATATGAAGCAGTCTTTCAAACTCTAACAGTCATATGTTGCTAATAGAAATTTACGAAATGCTCACTTAAAATAATAAATAACAAGTAATCAAGACTTTACTTTTACTTTAATTACAGTCATCATCTTCTTCAATAAAAGCTTGCGGAGGCTGCCTTCGTTCATTAGAGTATGGTATGATTATCGCAATATAACCTTGATTTTCAGGAGCAGAACGCATCAAATTAGGATTTTCTAGAAGTCGTTCATTGATTTCAATCAAAAGAGATTTAATACCAGCACGTAGTATATATTCGGTACCATCTTCACAATGCACAATACAGAGTTTTGTATCTGGCAATAGCATTAGTCCACCCTGCATGCAGTTCCAAAGTAATTATTTCATTACATTCAATAATTCTCAATTATACGAAAAGAGACGAAAACATATGATCAAGTTAACCTTTATATAGCATATGATTACAGAAAACATTATCGAGAGAAAAAAACCTTTTTTGCTTTTCCGCTAACTTTCTGCTTACTTCGATCAATTCCCTTATTTCTTTTCATGTGCCAATCAATTTTTCTTATCTGCTTCTGCACCAATTCATGATTTTTACACAACGTCACCACTAATACTCCACTTGGATGTCGCAAATAGCACAAACAATTCGAGCCACTTCTCAAAATATAACGTTTGTAATTCCTATCCACTACAGACCGGAAATCATTGGCATAATTTTTGGAAGCCATTCGACCGATGTTCAACAGGTTTTTCTTTATCTGAAGAATCTTTACAATTTCTTGACTGAACTACTTGAATCCTCTCAAATTCAAAATATATTTTCTAATCAGGAAAAAATGAAAAAAATCATTCTTAGATTTGAGTGACTATTAATCCAAAAACTAGTAAACATAGTGGCAGGAGAGTAGCAGAATCTCAAAGTGTGAGGGACACAAAAGCCATACCGACCGATGACTAGCTGGTTAAGCTAGATTGTATGACAATTGAAACTAATAACCTCTTTCAAAAACACAAATGTGATTGTGTTTCGCGTACAAAGTCGCCTTGCCGGTCTGAAAAACATCTCATTGGAAAAATATTGAAACCCAATTTTAGTTATGTCACTGCTACAATACCAGTAACTTTTTCCAAAATTACTCTTTCAAACAGTTCCCAAATTATAGAAAGCCCCACATAGCATTATTAGAATGGAACAATTAACAGCTGAATAATAAGTCAGCCAAAATATAGCATCTTTCTATCAGAAATACTAGCAAATACTATTCAATAGCAAAAATTAATTTAGAGGTGAACGGAAGACGATACAAAAAACGACTCAACGATGTAAAACGTAAAACAATTCTAAATTTCAGTTTCAACATGCTATAGATAACAGCGATGCTTCGTGAATTTTTATTCATTATTTCATGAGTCATTAAAATTTTCTATACTACTTTGTATGCGGATTGGACCAATCATATGGGACGAAGGAAACTTCTAACTATTTGTAGAAATAATAAAGTAAATATTTCTTTACAAAGATTTCGATATGACTTTTGTATTCTAAAATTTTCAAATTACCATTGAAAATTTGCATCAATAAATGATGCAAATAATTCTTGATATATTACTTATGAAGGAGTTAGTCATGCAAAATTACATTCTATTTTTAAAACAATACAAGACAAGAAATATACTGCTTATAAGTTCAAAAATGAAACATCACTTCATATATGTGACAAACTTAATTCTTTCAAATTATTGAAATGATGCTAAGTTTGGGTGTCCTAGCAAAATATGCACATGTTCAACAATATGAGGCTTCAAATCCTGAGCAAACACAAAAAAGATTGTAGAAAATATATGCATGTACCGATTTTAAACAGCATTACGATACAATTCTGAAAACACGCAAAGTTAAAGTTCGCTGACTTCAACCGTAATCCAAAATAATATTAGTCCGCATAAGCAAAAAGATATGTTAAATCGCCCATGATCTAATTTTCCAACCCCGTTTTAAAAATGTTAAAGAAATTAATAATAATACTGTCTAACAGCCAGAATACATATTTCTTTATATATAAATAATTCAATTCAATTATGAAAATAGAAAATGATAAAATAAAAAAAAGAGAATGCATGGAACAGAGATGGTACACTAACAAAAGTCTCTGAATTATGCATGAAACCTTATGGAGGCTCCTTTGAACAGTATGAAGAACAAGAAAAAGAAAAACAATCTAAATATTATGGTTTGCATTTTCAAATGCCGCAACTAAAGATCCGGAAAACGATTAGCATCTTCTCGATAAGATTTCGGTATTTTGAACAATTTTGACGTTAGATCATTGCAGAACATGAATTTCTGGAATGTGACTTTCGCTGATATCGTTGGTAGTATAGGAATTTCTGAAATGAAATACTAGGTCATAAACTAATAGCAAAAAACCCATGGAAAAAACAAAAATAACTAATTTTAAGTATATTTTTTCGTTCCTTTCTTTTCGTTCCTTTCTATATAACTTCAAAAACTAAAATAAATTTTTGAGATTTGAGAAATATTTACCAACTCGAACCGGAAAACCAGGTGGTAGCCTCATTTTGCAAAAACACCGTAATTTATCGAAGTGCTTAAAAGGTGCAACAATCTCGAGAATATCCAGTAAAATGTCCATCGAAAGAGGAAAATCTTCAGCCTGAAAAACTTAAATGCACCTTAAAAGGAAAAAAAATTGCCCAAAGACCCAAAGACCAACGATATGCTGCTTAATAACTAGCACTTTTTGACAAATTCATTATTTTAATCATAAATAACATAAGGATAAAGACACATACAGCAATTTTCGTCCGACTTTTTTGTAGCTCTATTAGGTTATTTAAAAAATTTAACAGATGATATAACTATTATTTTTTGCTCCATTTCTTTTACATGAGAAGTAAAATGAAATTTGCCAAAAAGTTTCATAAAATATATGAAATAATACGTCATATAATCCTGAAATTATTAGTAGAAAAGGTTTTTACCATCGCAATAAGAGCTTTGAATTTCTTTGTAGTCTGTTTAAGAACCTGAGCGCGTCCTAGAGAAGGAGCAAGACCAGCATCAGCATTAATATATTCTTCCCATGTGGTCGCCATTTCTCGTGGTGGAGGTAGACTTTTTCGGTGTTGAAGGCTCTGAAATTCACAACTTTCAGGCAACATATACACGAGTGCTATGAATAAATTTCAGCCATTCTTTCTGTTACAAATGCGCACTAATCGTTTTGGTTAGAACTTCATAAGTGCACCGCAAACCAATGCAACCGCCACGTGAAATATAACTTAAACGTACTATGAATTCATCTTCTGTCATCGGTGATCCTATTGCTAAACTTTGCAAGAATGCCTTATTCTTCTTGATATCTTCTGCTGTCAAGTGTTCCCTTCTGCAAAATACAATTTAAAAATCATATAAAAAGAAAATTTTTCAAACCATAAATTAAATTTTAAAATACTGAACAAATCGATTTGGACAATTTTAATTCTTTCTTTTCTGATGATTCACTCTGAATGAATGCACTATTTTAATGAATAGCAGATAATGAGAAGAAAAATGGAGCACATCACCAACTACAAGCTTTTTAATCAAGAAGTAGTATATTACATTTTCTAGAAAATTTGGAATAAAATTTCCAGAACAAAAGCTAACCGTTTCCGAGTAATTAGTGACATACCATTCACAGTATAATAAACAGCATTATAATCGCCAACTTGTTCCTGTAAAGTCGACATCTATATAGAAAAGAATACTAAAAACTTCCGAAATGAGTATTTCAACTTATATCTTTAAAGACGAAAGTCCGAGAGGAATTAGAGCGAATTAAACAACTGAAAAATAAAAAAAGCTTACCAATTTTTCGTGTTTGAAAATCCAACCACTTATTGTTCTTTCAAATGTTATTGGTTTCGTAGACATCTGAGCACTTATAATATCAGAAGACATTAGAACATCAATTTCTTCATCCAATTCAATCTCTGATTCCTCACGCTTTATACGTTGAAATACCTCAAATACTGTAATTTATCGTAAGCGCAAGGAAATAAAAGAACTGATATAAAAATAAAATTAATAAGTTTCACTGGAAAAATTTTTCGGTACTGGAAAAATACCTTAGCCTCATGATCTAAAATCAGAAACTGGTCCTTCGAGCGATCCGGATCTGATGCAAAGATGAAGGATATATTGCCTCGTTCCCAGGTTCGATCAGTAAAATCAACTAATGTTGTATCCAACCTTAGATTTGTTCCACATTTATATATTTTGCATACATCCGAAGGAAGCACTTTCGTGAGCAGAGGAACTAAAATTTTAAAATATGTGGGAGAATTTTTTCATATAAGTCTAACTTTATGCACAGATCATTCAAATCATACGTCAATCTCAGAGTGAGAAAGATGAGACGATAGTCTACTATGAAAGTGACGCTCGCGATGTAAGCTGACAATTCACCCAAAAGAGAGCTGATTTAAAAAAAAAGAAACTAATAAAATCATTAAAGAACAATAAGGGACAACTAACGCCAGCTTTGAAAATCCCATCTCAATTCCAAATAGAAATCACCAAACTCAGACAGTATCTTAAGCATGTGAGGTTTCCGAAGCGCCATATTTTCTCGTGATTGTGCTTTCAATTTGCGTAACATAGCCGTGACTGAAAATGAATAAAAATGAAAAATTTTGGTCTTCATCAATAAGGCACATAAAGAGTTTCAACTAAGAACTTTTGGATAGAAAATTAAGGTTTTGCTCTATTTTGAATTTCACACGCAGAAATATAAATTAATTTTGATCGCATCTAATGGCTTGTTCAATGCAATCAGTGATTTTCCTAATAATCATATTAACATTCAAATAGGAATCACTTACAAATATATCAACACTCAAATAATTTTTGAACCGATAAAATTATTACAATATGGTCTAAAAACAATCCCACGTACAGGGAAAATCTATTAAAAGCGGAAGAAAACTTGTCATACTGTTTCTTGAAAAATATCACTGTCTTGAAGACCGATAATATGATTAAGTGACAATAACTTCGATGATAAAACAATTAATAAGAAATAAATTTACTTATTTGTCGATCACCATAGCTTACTGCTTCCATTAAGCTATTCCATCCGTCTCTGTTTTTCGATTTCACTGGAGCATTATTAGCAAGCAGAAGCGCTGTTGCCTCTAAAAATGATATTTGCATGCACAAAGTGATGGAAATCAAGTTCTACCCTCCGAAAGTATGTATCCGACAGATGTAAAATGAAAAACATTTCACAAACCTCTGTGTCCAAGCATTGTGGAAATGTGTAGAGCTGTATTGCCTTGAGGATCTTTCAAATGAAGATCTGCACCTGAAGAAGTGAATTCATTCCAAAAATTATTATATTCGAAATTTACATGCAAAATATTGAAAATCCCAAAATATTTAATTCGAAAAAATGTAAGTTTTTAAAAACATCACATTCCACATCAATATTTACCACAACAACATGGCTTTATTGCAGAATCGAAAATTTATAAATTAAAAATGAAACCATTATTAATAAGTTGTAAAATCGATTTTGTATCGTTGAAGAATGCAGCACGATGTAACGGATACCTTTCCACTTCTGTCATCAGTAAACGTAGTGCTAAGTAAATTTAGTCAATGAATAAAATTGTTAGACCAACGAAAAAAATGCATTCTGCCTGCAAATAATGCTTTTAGTTATTAGGATGGTAAAACATACAAAGAGCGGTATATTAGCAACTTCAAAATATTATATATTATATTACATGTGCTTTATAGTATCATACATAATACATGCATTATTATATATTTCAGCATTACAAGGCACGTTTCCAGCATTTTAAAATTTTTTTCCGCTTTAACAGAACGACGCATTATGATTTGAAAGGGCACTGTAAATATGGCCCTATGAAATCTATAAACAGTTTAACATTTAATATTATAAGAAAATAAGAGATAATTTGTAATGAGTAGTTCGATGATTTCAAAAATCATAAAACTATTGTAAATATCACACAGATCACTCACAAACAACAATTAAGGAAGAATGCATACTGCATTAACGTATTTTCAATCTGCAAGATTATCCTTAATTCCGGGAAATGTATAAACCTGCCATAGAGTACAAAAACTGCCAATAACTGTTACATAACTCTCAAGAAAGACTGCGGCACCGTCTCAAACAATTGTTATTACTCGCTATCACTTCCTCTTTCTTATCATCACCTATTTTACGGTTACCAATAGCTATATGTGCAAGAAATCGTTATACTGTCTATTAAATACTCTCTCGTACATCCAACAATCTCTTTTCTCTTCTTAATTAATGTGCTTCCTTGTTACAATCGTCTCCATCATACTCTATCAAATCCTTGCAATCTCTAACCACTGACAAACATATGTTTATCGTATGCTGCGAAAAATGAGATAACATGTTTGCGCATGTGATTCTTCCAGGTTAGCGGGGGTTTAAAAAAAATGGAAAGCGGCGGGGACGGAAGAGAGGATCGTGGTATATTTCAGTTCAAGTGTTTATCCTGTTTCTGATGAACGTCGATAATAGCAGGAGGAAGTACATATTTCATCTGAGATATGAAATTATTCGTAAATTAAGAGAATTGTATTGAATCATCCAAGAAAAAAAAAAACGATTTGACACTTCAAAATGAAACAAATCTATCTGTCAGAAGAAGAAATAAGGTTTAGAAGATGTGCCTTCAGAACAGTTGTTTAATTTCTGACTCATCATTTGATTTGCAAGCATTTTTCCACGTTTTTTATCATTCACACAATTTCAATTTAGCTTTTCTTAAAGTGCCGAAATATTGCGTTCAGAAAAATGAGTAATGAAGAATCAAATAAATTTTACAATAATTTCCTACTGTATTGTTGGAATTGATCTTCTGTCATACGGAAGAATTCCATGTTTATTATATTCAAAAGTTAATAAAATAAAATAAGAGAAAGAATATTTCAACACATTTAACAAATAACTTCTAGTAGTGAAAATATTTTAAAAAAAGAAGTTTTCTTGAAAATTGGAAATGTTTTCCTTTTCAAAAATTGATCAGAGAATAGTAACTTTTGACCTATTATCCATCTTTTGTGTTGCATTCTGCAAATGGTAATTGAAGGGAAATATCAAAGCTAAGATAAAAGTCAGCTTTGTCCTTTTTATTTAAATTGAATATCTTACTTCTACTTTCCATCTTCTCACTTTTATCCCTTCTCATTATCTCTCTTTCTCTTTTCGTCTTTTCTAATCGTCATGTTTTTATCGGAATTTCGATAAAACTCAAAAAGTTAGAATCTGCATGTTTATAGATTGAGTGTTGAATGTAGTAGTAATTTTCATTCGAATTAAAGTCATCTCTTCTCGAAATCTAATCTTACTAGTCTCATTCTAGCACCGTAGAATGGCTTACGAGATTTTGAATTCTGTTGGGATTTCATTTTCGCAATTTCAATCATTGAAAGAAATATACAGTTTTTTAGATGGCATGACGGTGTCATTAATAAAATAGTTTAATCAGCAAATAATATTTAGTACTTAATTAATCAAAAAGATCTTATGAAATACTATGAAGAATTTGAGATTAAAAATATAAAAAATTATGTGGGAACGTTGAAGGCATTTAAAAAGAATTTTTTAAATTTCATTCCCGCGATATCTATTGTTCGAGAGTTATTCATTGCATTCATATATTAAAATACTGAACTCTCAGAAGTTTCAACAATAGTTCAGGAAAGCTAATTAAACTTCCTATAAAGGGATGTTTTTTTCTTTCATTCAGGAATACTAAGAGGGAAGATAATAAAAAAGTAAATAAAGAAGCTTTACTCTAATTCTTAAGCCTATGTTAATCGTCCATAAAAGTACTATGATCCTTTTTTCAAATTAGTAAACTGATTGCAAAATCTCAAGAAGCTCGAGATTCCCGCGAATCACACACTATTTTTAGGAAATCAAAACAACACATAATGGCATCAGAATGACCAATGTTAATCGGTGGGAGAAACGGATCTTCATAGTTCTATTAATTTATTGTATAAGATGAAATTTCTGTAGATCGCGCACAATTTCATGATTATTTCTTTCTTTCTATGATATACAGCTTTTAACCGGTTTTTTGGAACTATTGCAGGCAATGTTCTTATACAGTGATTAAAAATTTGGTGCCACCAATTTCAATTATAAATTCATAATTGATTACTAAGAGAGAGGAATTCTAAAAATAATTAAATTCATATTAAAAACGTTCCAAATTTTTTTTCCTTCAAAACTACTTATCATATCATATTCAAAATTCTACATCTGTTGCTCATATGTCTTAGAAATAAGTAAAATCTACAATATAAACACAATGTATGATATGATTGTAATGTTTAATATGGAAGCAAAATATTATCACTTAGGTTCGAGTTCGAGAAATTTACTTGAACGATGAACTAATTAAGTAAGAAGTGATCGTCGATTTAGCTATTAAGATGGATTAATTAAAATGACCTAATGAAATTGAACTAATTAAAATGACTAATGAAATTGAATTATATGACAAATAGAAAGTAAAGATTCGAAAACTTTGTTGTGCAAAGGAAGGTTGAGATTTTGAAGTTTCTAAACAAATCGGTCTTTTCTACCCCTCTCCCTCTCTCTATCTATCTCTCTTTCTTCATTTGTATAATGGCAAGAAGTTTACATAGAAAAAAACACTAGCTCGACGAAATAGTGTTGAAATGGAGAAGTATAGTGAGAAAAAGCTTTTTCATTGAAATGGAAGACGAGCACTGAGCATTGATGTCTACCATAATGGCAATGAATTGGTTGGTAGCATCAGATGATGCTTTTTGCTAGCTGGACAAGAAATTTGTTCCTATTCATTTTATATTTAAATTAACAGCAAAATTTTTATGAAGAATATGACAAATCGAATATAGCGCATTACAGCTTGCGATATTGAAGGAAGAGGCGCAAAGAGACGATAATGAAATGCTATGCAATGAGACCATTAAATTTTCCCGCAGAAGTGCTACCGAAAAGTCATCGGAGAAGGAGTGTTCCTAAGAAAATCAATTCATTGAGAGGGAGAAAGCATTATTTACCTGTTCATACTTTAAATTATTTCATTCTTACCTGAATATTCCACAAGAAGTCGCAACTTTAAACTTAAGAGAGTAGTATAATTTGAAAAAGCAATTCATATTAAATCCATTACATACCTGAATTCAGTTAATTACCCTATGTGATTACTGATAATCTATGGAACAATTTCAATCAGCTCCAGTCAATATCAGAACATTGTCAATTAGCGCCAATTAATATTATCGAATAATGTGTAAAGCTGAATTGAATAAGTTTCACTTCATTATATTCAGCACAAACAAATTTCCCAAATGAGAACTTTTAAACATAGGCGTGATGAGTGCAAAATACTCGTTACACTTCTTTTACCAAATATATAATTCATCGCTATCACTGGTTTTTTAGACAGTTAAAAAATAGAGTGACTATAATGGCGCCCATTAGAATTTGATATGGAAACTGGCAATAGCAATAAGTTCATATAAGAATTTTCATAAACATTTCAACATAGAAATAAATGGTTGTTCTACTTCGATCATCAGCGAATTAGCGTATCGGGTTGTGTACGACTAAAGACTACTTTGAATCACTAAAAGCTAATGCGCTAAAAGTGGCGCTAATAACTAAGTAAATTAGTAGCTAATAAAACCGGACAAATAATAATTTATAGATTGCACAGAATTTTTCTTTTGGTCAACAAATTAAATTCATGGCTCTCATATGGCTAAGGGAAATGTCACTATTCTCAATCTTATCATATCTATTGAATGGCTGTTTTTAATGAAATAGTAAATTAACTAAATAATTTCCTTCTTTGCCTTAGATAATGAATTTAAGCTTTTTAGCTAACTTTAACCCATAAGATTAAAATTAGCTTAATTTTATTCGAGACTGTTTTATCCTATGAGCAATCTTTGTTATACCACGAAAAAAGTTTTGACCACTTCTTGTATGATACAGGGAATGATTTGAATGAGGAAATATCTGACCTTTCCTTTTTTATCAAACAATTGAAATGGCGCAATCTTTTGAATTTTTAATTTCTGAAATGAACATTTTCTTTGAACACAAAAAATTAATGTTCAAAATTGTTTGCATCGAAAACTTAATCTGTAAATTATTAAGCATTCCGGAATTGAGGAAATATAATTTGGATAAAATTCGTTGTTCACTTCGATTAAATTCATATAATCTACTTTAGCATATAATCTACTACAAGAAATGAAATCCTTTAAAACTTTACAAGTAATCTCAAAGAAATATGTCAACATTAGAATATTTGTGTAATATTGCGTTTGCAATATGACTTAATGAAAGTTGCTACGCTTTTAATTTAAAAGCCTGTGAATGAGATCATTTCAAAAGGTATGATGCGTATTGTGACATAACTTGTGACAATTTATGGTTAAGGCTGGAATTTTGTGATTAGAGATTTCAGTGCTGCTTTTGGAAAGTACTATTTGTATCGTTTTCCAATATAATAAATACTTGATAGGCCAGTTATTATTTCCTTACAGATGCAGCAATAGTGGCAGCAGCAGATCTTTCTGAAAAAGGTCAAATAGAGAGAGCAAAGATATTTCATCAAATATCCTTTCTTTTTTTATAAAAAGTCAATCATCTAAAATTTTAAAAAAATCTAAAATTAAAAAAAAAACCGAAAAATATTTATGACAGAAAAGAATTTATAAAATATGAAATTATAAATGAAACATACTGAAAGGCTTCTTCCTATTAAAATGTTATAGTTTTGAAGAACTCAAAAAGCTCTTATCAAATTGATAAATTTTCATCTCAAATTCAAAATAGCCTAAATAATAAGAAGCATTGCAATATCTTCATTACTTGGCTATAGCAACTAAACGAGATATGATTAAATAGTAGTAGTAGTTAGTATAAACAAGTCGTCGTCAGAATGCATTACGCTAGATGTTTTTCGAATGTAATCCATTCCTTTTTACTTTCACTTTTTCCAATAATTCAACCAATTCTCTTTCCCTCTCTCTTCTCTCTCTCTCTTTCTCTCTCTTTCTCTCTAAAAGTTTGATAGTTACAACTTATGCAGAAATTTTGAAAATTTTAAATTCTGAAAAATAACAAATGTGTAAAATGATATTTGCCACAAATATCCCAATATTACACAATTAGTATTTTTTTTGTTCGATTGAAAAGAAATATATGAAATAATTATTAGAGCAAATTTAAATATGCTGGATGATACATACATACATACCAAATATATATATATATATTGTGGATAAATCAAAGATATCAATGATAAAAGTGATTGATAAAAAAAAAGTTGCGTAATAAGCTTATTTCTTCTTTGTTTTTTTGTATATTGAAACAACAGAGAAATTTTTCTGATAGACTAAAAAGAATTAATTTAATTTTAATCAAAAAAGATACTGACAAATTTACGATTGGCTTTGTCCGGTTCGTGATAATGATGAACTTGATGGCTTCTGAAATATTGATAAAGTTTTATTTGAAAGAGAAGAAAAAACCAGAGAAATATTAGTATAAGTTAATTCTCTAGAAAGAAAGAATATAACAATGAAAGGATATTATGTAAATTTTTGTTAAAATCAATTGCGAATAATTAATTGTATGAAAGATGCCATGCAATTCGCTATATTTGAGAAATGTAATGCTAAGTTTATAAACAAAATTATAGAACAACATTTATCACTTATGCTGCTCTATAGCATTTATGTCATATGCAAGCTATGACTCGGAATTCAAGTACCGAGATCGATGGCTGACTCTTTTTATTTTTTATTTGGATAATGTACTTCGAAAATATCATATGGTACGAGTTCCATTGTTTTTGTATCTTCATCCTCTTTCTTTTTACCTTAATAGTATTAATATTTTAAGTTGAATTCATTTAAAGTATATTTATTACAAAGAGCTTTATAGAGAGCTAAAATTTTCATCAAATTAATTTCATCAATAATTTAATTAAACTAAATTATCATAAATGAATAATTGATGTAACAAAGTAAACAAATAATCTTAAATGAATATATTTTGAAATTTTACAGGAAAAAAAATTCAGATATGATAATAGAGTTACGCATTAAAATGTTCGTCGGAATAAAATACTTACACCATTGATGTTCAGAAAGTAGAACTATTGATAGACCAAACATAAACAAAACTGATAAAAAACCCAACACAATGTATGAAATATGTAAAGCAAATAATTGTCCTGCAATTAATTCATTTCATGCATATTATATCTTTGTTTTACAATTAAATCATCTCGCAGTTTTTTCATCATTATGAAAAATCCTTTCCGGATCTATGAATACGGATAATTTATTTTTTTATATTTTCTGTTTATGAATGATATATCAATGTTATATAGAAATTTGAAAAAACTTCAGTAATATTGTGTACGATTGTTTAACCTCGCAATTGGAATTTTTTGACTGTTTCAATAAGAATAGATGTAAAATTGACAGGAATTGGCACTTCCGCAAACACTAAACCAATATTAATAAATAATGTAATGGTGATGACAATCGACCGCCAAATATACCCCATTTCCCAAACAATAATTAAAAATTGCAACATCTCTATCCCATTTCAAAAATTCGATGTTATTTGGAAGAATAAGCATAAAGTCTCAATCGCGCTTTCTATTATTTAAGTTTAAAAATAAACATAACCTCTAGCATTATTTCATTTAAATTTTCTGTGCCATTATCGCATTGTCTATGCCATAAAAGGATACCGGCATAACTACTTTTTGTATTGGCAACAGTACTCTTGTTCTTCAAAGAAAAAGCATACAACTTCATTAAAATATTTGTTTGCTTTAAAGATGTAACATTACACACTGCCATTCTAAATGAAGACTGTTCAGATTAATTTTTTTGTATATTATCTAGATCACAAGTGTATTTCAACTTATATAGTAAAAGATTAGGAATGTTGTAAAAATTAAGACATCAAATTATATAGGATTTTCAAAATGGTTCAATTTTTACACAGGTTCATGATAGCTAAACAACTTCGATGTTACATAAAATGGGTTGGCATAAGTTGTCGGGTGATTTTTATATTTCTCTTTAAAACCATAGCGTTCATTTGTGGGACATGATTATCTTGAATTATAGATTAAAAAATTAAGATGAAAATATAAAAGCATGAGTTTATTCTGACTTTTTGTGCTAATTTTGCAAATACAGAGTTTACAACTCCCATGAACTGAATACAGCGCATTAATTTCAGCTTATTGATATAGAATAGAAGGGATGAACTGCAGTCGAACATTTATTGGCACTTTTCTATAATATATACAAGGTAAAAAAGAAGGAACAACGAATCATCTTAAAATTCTCATTTCTAAAACGCCGCATTCGTCCGCATGATAATCAATTTGGTCAAATGTAATCATCGGACGTGCAGCTGACGGGTCCCAACTATCCTTCGACCAGTCTTCAGGCAACGCACTTCCAAACATTCCAAATACCGCAACAGAAATTAAGAGAAGGGCTGCTAACATCAAAAAGATCACTCGCCATTCATCAGCATTACTAAAAATCACTGAAATCATTCCAATGAAAAGAAAGAAAAAAATTAAGGATATCTTGATCAAAATTCATACGAGTAAAAGATATGCAAATTTAAGATGATCTCGCTGTTCCCTCTGTATCTGAAAAATTAAATTAATTAAGCATCCCAGTGCCTTAAAACAATAGGGCATCTATACTCGAAGTGCCATTTGTATTCGAAACATGATCACATGTCATTTATCAATAAGTCAATATCAGTGACATCTTTTAAATTCAAAAAACCAACTTTTTTTCCACAAAGAAAACGACAGTAGCAGATGTGAAAAAAAATGCGAATCCAATAAAAAACCGGATATATGAAACAATAAATTGCCCAAAAAAACGGCCCACCAATACCGCACTGCGATAAAACCCGTAAAGAGAAAATGTTAGAATGCACAGAATCAAAGTGAATGCCGCCACAACACTGAAACAAGACAGTTTCGCACCTATATAAGTTGCAGATTTTTTCTATTTTTCCTTTTTATAAAAAAACAAAATAAATAGCAGAACTCGATAAATGCTACTAAACATGATGTGATCAACAAACAATAAAGCTACTACAATCGATTTGTGCATTTAATTTCGTTAGCATTTCGTTAGCAAAATCTCAGCAAAACAAAACTGCTAAATTTTAAGTTACAATCAAACAGGTATCCTGCCAGGTGTCAGCTTGAGCTTGTAGTTAAATGTGGAAGCCATTTAATGTAGATGCTTGGAAAAATGAAAAATTAAAATTACCTGTGATGAAATGTACCGCCAGGAGGAAATATTGCAAGAAAAATAAAAATCAATGAACATACAACAAAAGAGGTAGTGTTGAACGCTAACATTGACATCCTTTCACTAAAAAGTTTCGCTAAGCGATACCATAACCCATGAAGTTGCGTCATTATAAACTGCAAAGAAAAGCAAACAAACATTATTTGTCAATCTAAAAAGTAGTTTTTAACAAGAAAAGTTATTTTCTTTAATCAAGTGACACAATTTGTAACAAAATGATTGTTAACTGGCGAAATCATCCTCTCTTTTAGTGTATATGAAATTACAATAATTCTCATACCATAAACAAAAAAGGCACAGCAGATAATAGTGCGGAATCAGCGCGAGTTTCGCGAGCAATCAACAAGCAGTAAAAGGGTAAAAACTGAACAGCAACCGACACCACAAGAAAATAGCTACAAGCAGCAATCCAAATGGCCCAAACTGGAAATGATATAATCAACAGTCGACAAGGATTCTTTGCCAAAATCCGATTGTGTTCGGCCTATAAAAATTGACAAGTTTTGATACATAATTTAAGTAAGTTTTGCTTCATTTAATAAAGCTTATAAGAGCATCAACAATAATCTGCAATTGCCATTGACTTTTGACATCAAAGATGAATATTTTTTTGCATAGTGTGATAACCTTACTTTATGAATTTAAAACCATTTCGGAATCGCTGTCCACTACAGAGAGCCTCTTAATCCCCGAAAAATGGGTGAATAATTTCTTGAATGCATAGTGAATAATAATTTCTTGAATGCAACCTTAATTTTTCCGGCCACAATTTTGTTCAATTCTAGCCCATTTACCGAAAAGTGGTACTGCGGTTTTTCTCGAAAAATTGCCAGCCAAACCAACGCCAGTAAACAGGTTAGTGCTGCATGCACCAGAAATGGTGTTCGATAGTCACGAGCAAATATATAAGACGAAATCGGCCAACTAATTAAAGGTGCCAACTGCAACTTTATAAAAATTTTATCGCATTAAACTAGCATTAAACAATCATTATTAAGAAAACGGTCTTATAGTCTCACGTCCCTTATTTGTATTTTAAATATATGTTATCATTATGACTAGAGCTGCATGATCAGTTAGCATAGTTTTTTCCCCATTGTAGCACGGTTGGAACACAAATAAATGATCATAAGTGATTTTGTACCCAAAACACAAAATTCAAAGCATTCTTTCAGATGACCAACTAGTTCAGCTTATCCTAATCCAAAACGCTTTAATCCAGTCAGCAAGTAGCACTTATTTTATGGTGTTAATGTTCCTTGTAGTCTCACTATTATTTTTAAAATAAAGATTTTGAAGATTCCGAAATGATGAAATCAAAATGTAAACAAGCTAACCTGTATGAAAGATGTGCAATAAATCAAAAATAGAAATTGCTGTTTGAGGGTTCCCCAGTTTGCCGTCACTGAACCAATCATCGGGAAAACACTGGCAAAGGCTAAACCCTGGATAAATCGCATGCAAGCTGTTAAATATCGGCCTGAACTACAAATGATTTTGAGATAAAATTAATGAATATAAACACCTGTATTCTTAGCAACATTGAACCAAAACATGCAATTTTAAGAAAAATAAATAAATGTTACCATATTTAATTTGAGGTGCCATGGCAAGTAAGGCAGTTGCTACAGCTGATATCATCATCATAACAGCAAAAAATCGACGACCACCAAATGACCGAAGAAACCAAGAAGTAAAGAAAGATCCACAAAACATTCCAATGCCAGGAGCAGTCCAAACCAGAAAGTGTTGCATTTTTTCTTCCAGTGTCTTGTGTGCAATACCCTTTCTTAAAATATTTATAGTTAAACAAGGCATTATACCGTTAAAGAACCTTTAAGTGAAGCATAATAAAATCGTCTAATTAATGCATTCAGAGCACCTTACACGATAAGTCAAATACAAACGGGAGCTGATCTGCAACGTCAGTCGATTCACTCGTTAGTGGGTTGCTTGAATTATGAAGATAAAAGCTAGGTAAAAATTACCGATTTTTGTGAATTACCGATAAAAATTTACCAAATTTACTTGAACTAAAAATAAACTAACATTTCAATCTGTTCCCCTGATTTTTCGCCACCATCTTTCAAATTGTCATCCCATTGCCTGTCTTTATCAGGCAGTAGGCCATTTTTATAGATTAGCTCTAGAAGTAAAATAACTATTCAAAATCAGTAAAACCTTTCTATAAACTACAAAAATTTTTAAAAATATACACAAAATTTTCTCAGTGTGAAAATTTTTGGAATGAGTTTTTCAAAAAGCGTTATGAAAAAAACGAAATAAGCTGGAAACTTACGTTCGCTATCTTTATGTTTGGGAAGGATTGGGATATCCATACCAACCGACCTAGAAATAGAGCTGTGAAAAAACCACTGGCTTAATTCAATCTAAAGGATTTCGAAAATTTCACTTTTTAATTTAAAACAATTTGAAGGAAAGATAAAATATTTCACCTAACTGTAGTCGTTCTTTCTACATTTACATTTGTATCTGAGAACAAATTCCCAGCAGTGAATGTTGCATTATTCGCTAAAAAAGAAACAAAAAAAGTATTTGAAACTATAACATCAAGTTTAGAGAAAATGAAGAAACTATAATAACCAATATTTTCAAACACATTTTTTGAAAAAGTGCAAAACCATAGAATTCTGCCAATGTTTAAGAGTATTGTGTTAAAACAATTACTTCCATCTGATTCAATAGTTTCATTGACACTAGGATTTGTTGCTTCCAATAGTTTCATCAAATGGTTCCTTGTATTTGAGATGTCCAAATTGCTGTCGTCAACAGCACTTCTTAAAAATCGTCCTGAAAAACAGGAATAAAATGCTAGTTACCACTGTATTCGCCATTTCAGCTAATAAATGGGGACAATTGATTACATTACACATCTCAATACATCTTAAGATACTGCAAATTTTTTTAAAATTAACTGGGCAGAATATTAAAAATGAGGGTGACAACAATCAAAAAGAAATAAAATACTTTTTTCTGCAGAAGCTAGCTGTTTCAAATGTGTATGCCCCCACAATTGAGTATCCTGAAAAATGCAAACCAAAAAATATTTTAATATATCACATAAAATAATCTAACAATAAATTAATTCATAATGGTGATACAATAATTTGAGCAATCATTAGCAAAAATTCGCTCTTAATTAATTTCTTAAAAATAAGAAAAATAGAAGAGAATTTTGAAAAATTGACAACTGCGACAAATAAAACAGGATTTATTCCGGCCTCTCGTTCTAAAATTTAAAGGTGATACTTAAACTTTTACTTGAAGACTTGAAATTCTTTAAACTCTTATTTAACTTAATTTCTTAACTTTTAAACTTCTACTTAAACTGCCTTCTGCAGAGTTGCAATATTGTAATATAATTAGCTGTCTTGAAACTAATGAAGTTTGAAAATCACCACTTGGGCATTCAGTTTCAAATAAAAACTAAATTCCGGATTGCTTTGCTAGCATTCAACTAAGGTGTTGCAGACTTACTACAGAACAAATTTCTGCTTTGTGGATGATGAATTAGAATATCGATGCGAACAAAAATTTATGTCCTTAATGTTTTCTAATTTTATCATTTGTTAGTCTATTAACTAAGAATCTTAATAGTTTAATAGTATTTCTGCGTAGCGCTTCATTTTAAATGAAGTTCAATTAGTTTTTAATGAATAGCTAAGGGTCTAGCTAATATAAGACTTCATCTACTGGAAAGAAATTGACAAATAAGTTCGAATATGAATAAAATAATGAAGGAAATGAAAATAGTGAAAATAAGTAACCTGATAATCATCGTATATTACAGCAACACTATAAAGAATAATATTGGCGAACAAAATACTTAAACAAGCAATTAATAGTATCAAGATAAGATAGCGAATATTATTAACAAAACAACAATAGCTGAGCTGCGGAAATTTCAGCATTCGCTAAAATATGTTTTCATTCATTAGCAGTGTTTTTGGATGAAATTTTCCAGATAGCACCAATCGTAAATGAGTCGAAATGAAGGAATGATTATATTTTTTTATACAAATTAAGCAATTCAAAGACGTAGTAGAGACGATAGGTAATGAATAAGAAAATTTTGCAAAAACCTATTCACATAGAGTAATTATCCAAAACAAGTAAAAAATACATTTCCTACACTAAAATTTCAATACAAGACAATAATTGCAACAATTTCATCCGCTCTTTTTCATTCAAACTGAGGTTACTGGTACTCAATGACTACTACTCTATCTTCAATAAAATTTTATCTCAAATTTCGCTAAAACTTCATGAGTAAGATCTCCGGATTTGAACAACATTACATATGTTAACAAATGCTTTCATATTGGTGATAACATTTATGATGCAAAATCTTTATAAAAAGTAAACAATCGAGTAGTACGAACCAATCTAATAATCTGTAATACATATGAGAAATAAAAACATTTAAATGAAATAACAGAAACTTCTCAAACTACTAAATTTAAATTCATTGTCGATGGTAAGATTTAAGAACTATGAACGGTATCCTCGACAGGAAGAAACTGGTTTAATAGATTGAATTGATGAGTGATAACAGTAACATAGCAAAATGATCAATGACAGCTAGTGGACAAAGAGAGGGGAAAGAGAAAGGAATGGAATAGGAGAAAATACAATCAGTGGATCAATTTCTTCCATTTAAATCTTTTTTTTGATGGGATGAATTGCGTTGAAGGTCGTATATATTACACGATTACTTAGCAACACCAGTAGAGAACTTGTCCACTTGGCACGCTGACCACAGTAAAAAGAAATATCGAGGACGATGTTCCCAAGTGTATTCAATGATTTTTTATATCTTTAATATCTAACTTTTACTAAAATACTGTGAGTGAGGTTTGAATATTTCAAAACGATTAGAATAAGCGGGGCAGACGATTGATATGTAAGTTAAAGCTATTCGGTGATATTCCGCACTTCGGAAATCAATAAAATTATACGATCACTTTTTGAACTGATTAATATTATAATGGATAAGGAGTTTAATTTGCATCTGTCTGATATATAGCACATTCTACAAAATTAACTTTCTATAAAGATTCTAGCATGACCCTTACCTTTACTGCAAAACCCTTAGACAAACTTTCAATCCTATGCGGAATGTGAAATAAACCGGTTTTCAACCGATCAAAGCTTAATGTATAATCAGAAAATAAACGAAAACAAGTTCTTAATTAATCAATTTAATTTACTTATATTAAATAGTATTAATCAGATAGAGATATCGCAGAATGATGACTCACATTTTATTGGTGGAAGTCTAAATAAATTCATACATTCCTAGTATGAATAATACGGAGAAAAAATTTGAAATTACCAATAGCATATCAGGAAACGTTATTGAAAATTAATTTTCCTCAATTGGAAAACAGCCAAATTAATGAGACAATTTGCATTTAAATTAGAAACATTTCCTATCTCATCATCATTATAATAATTAATGTCCAAAAACCAACTTAAAACAGCCAAAAACCAGTTCAAATAACAAATATTCTCAATTTGAAGCAGGTATAAAGAGAAAAATGGATGAAATAAGTGTAAACACTGAAGTGATTAGGTGAAACTAAAGAAAAGATGAATGGGGAAAATATCAATTGCAATGCTGAGAAGAGGAAAAGAGACAAAGGAGGCATGATGAAATTTCCTTCTTCTTATATTGAATCATTTGATTAAATTGTGGAAAAGAAAAATTTAGAATTTAAAACAAATAAGAAGGCATATTAAAATTATTCTTAAATGAGATGAAAATTTTTAGGGAATTCAATAAATGCCTCACAAAAATGTTTTGTCGATTATTTTCATCAATTATATATAGGGAACGGGAGAGTAGACTGAAAAACATTCGTTAAATTCCATACCAAACAATATCGACAATACAGTATAGTAGTGAAAATGTATGTACACACATAATACATGTATATATAATACATGTGCGCAGACTATAGGCGCATTCTGTCCGCCCTAACGATTCTCACTTGGCAGCGTTATGGGCAAAAGGAAACAAATATAAAATTGTAGCGACTCATCGCTATCGCTTCACATTAATAGATAGCAGCATTGATCGATTCATAGTTATTCTCACCTATCCATAGTGACATTTTAACGTGGACAAGTTTATGTCATCAAGCGACAAGCATCTCACGGAAATACCGCAAATTTTATCATTAATCATCGATGGATAGGATAATGTATTGATCTTGATTGTTACAAATGTTTTGATCGACTCGTTGTGCATTTCAGAGAGCATTGATTTTTTTTTGTAGGAAAGTGTAGGAAAATTATGCGTTGTGTTTCCTACAGCAAGCAAAATGATCACGCGATTATTGTAACAGACTAATATATATTAGTCTTACAAGATCAAAATGAAGCATGGTGCACATTAATTGCGTTTTGTAAATAAATTTTTCTGAAGTACTTCATTTCAAGAAAGTAATTTATTTCAATCTAAATGAAAATATTACGTAAAATGAGTAAAATAACAGCAGGATGATAGCACAGACATAATAATACATTGACTAATTGCATTCAAGTTAATAATTTCATTCTTTCAAATCTTCATATCTTAAAACAATGTTGACTCATATCAAATCAATATACCTCAACTTGAATGACTTCTTTAACAAACACATATTTTATGTGTAAAATTAAAATGGCACAAAAATATTTCTTTACATATTACTTGCCAACACTTGATTATTCGTCTGCAGTTAAATGTTCAAGCCACGGTCTAGGTGGCATTCGTATTGTCCCATCGTAGTTATACGCTGGCAACTTTGAACGATCCACGTCAGAATAATAGGGGTGTTTAAGAAGTTCTTTGGCTGATGCACGCTTGGCTGGATCATATGTAAGTAAGAGCTAAAAGTACAAGAAAAGTTGTTGTGTTTATTGGTGGATACAATTCACGTATTATTCTTAGAGTTTCAAAAGTTTTCTACTTTCAAGATAATCTGGATAGCGAGGAATATTTCCAAGCACAAATTATTATTGAATTATATTAAAAGTATAAAAACAGAGTTGTTAAATTGAAAACTAATTGATGTTTGACCACGCGCAGCAAACGGCTATTATATTTACCCGCTACACGATTATCATATCAATTCTCATTATTTTTATAAATCTGGTGTTTCATTTTAATCTTAATAATAAAGTATGGGATCAATTGTTACAAAGCAAAGAACAAAGTGAGTTAAAGGAGTATAAAAAATTTTTTTTTCAAGTGAGCCATTAAACAAACCCGAATTATGGCGATACCGATGGGATCCACATAAGCCCTAAGCAAATTATCAAGATGATCGTATTCATAACGAGGGAATACGATAGCCGAATAATATGGTAGTTCAGATACTCCTTTCCAAATTTCTTCTGTGGGCGTTTTCAATCGTCTGACAAGAAAACACTGTATCATAAATTATTATAATTAGCTATGCAAAGTATACAAAATAGTAGAATAAGAACTTTTTTAGTCAGTGACTTTACTAAAAATTAAAAAAAGTGAATTTAAATTTGTCTGAAATTCTGAATTTCCAGAGCACAGCTAATAAATAAGACTAATAAATGAAAAAATATTAATAAAATGCTGTAAACTTTATTATTTCATTTATTTAACAAAAGAAAAGAAAAGAAAAGGAAAACGAACGAAAATATTTCTCTTAGCTGGCCTGTTGGTGATGATCCAGGGAAGAGAACATCTTTTGTGGCCATTTGAGCAAATATGCATCCAATACTCCACATATCAACTGCTGTAGTGTATCGAAGTGTTCCAAGAAGTATTTCGGGTGCTCTATACGCCTGCGTTACTACCTTAATTTTAGATATATGCAATAAAGCAGAACAAACAATGTTCATGGAAGCAATAATAGTGGAAAAGAAAAGATGATTAATGTATCAAATTCTGAAAATTTGTCATTCATCAAAATTCATTTCTTCAAAAGTAATGAATTTACTATACAACTTTTAATAATATTCTCACCTTGCAATACTTTTCAAAACTTTATGTTCTGAAAGAGGTCATTTAAAAATAAAATCTAAATTACTTATAAAGAGTACATATAACTCTCACTTGACTTGTATAAGCACGTGTTGGTATAGTAAACTCCCTCGCTAAACCAAAATCAGCTATTTTGATAGCGCCATAAGTATTAAGTAAGAGATTTGATGGTTTCATATCACGATGCAAAATGGCTCGTTGATGACAGTAGCACATTCCTTGAAGGATTTGATATTGAAATGATTTCTGCTAAAATGCATTAATTTGGCATTGCAAGTGCAATTAATCATACTACTGCTTTGAATATGCATTACTACTTGTCACCAATTTAGTAGACATTTTTGATAACACACAAGGTTCTAACGTTGTTAAATTAAATTTTAATTATTAATTATTAAATCAGTTAGAACCTAGTCTAAAACATTTTTCCTATAAACGTAGCAAAAATGAGACAACTCTGAGTCAGTAGTTTTGTATCAGATAGACATCATTTCCGTTAATGATGTTATCTTTAGTAATCAAATACCAGATCTGGACGTTTAATTCAGTAAGTTCATTGGCGGTGATGGAATCATATGATGAGCAACATAAACCAAACGTAATCCTTCCGAACAAAGTCCATACTGTCAGCTGATCAACATTGTTTTTTCTTTCTTCTAGTTAGATTACCATCGAGTATAGTTAGTAGAGTTTGAATTAATAAGTTTCAATTATATATAAAATTAAATTGTGACATAAATAATATATAATAAGATAGTAAACATTACGAGCCATCGTTCCATGAAGATATTCTCAGGTAGCTGATCCAAATATTTCCATAAGTCGATATACAAGTATTCGAAAGCTAAATGTACATTCGTTTCATCGAAAATTACTTCTTCAAGCCTGAAAATGCACAAGAAATCAGAAATTCTAATGCTAAAAAACGAAAATGATTACTAAATTTTTGCTAGACTCAAACAAAACCAATGCTGCTTTGCGTTTCTCGATATTTAAATAATGAAAGAAAATCTTAATTCTGTTCACTAACCGTACAATGTTTGGATGATCCAATTCTCTCATAACTGATATTTCACGTAAAACATTAGGTTCAAGTCCGTCGGAAGTTCTGTCGAAACAGAGACATTTCAAAGCAACAAGCTTCCCGGTTCGAATGTCAACTGCTTTGAAAACCAAGCCGAAACTTCCTCAATTAATTAATGCTTTCTGAACTAGTCTTATTCACCTTAGTGTAGCTTTGTAATTAGATAAGAATGAAATGTTTAATAAATATGCGATTCTTAATTAACTGTTTAAGACCGTTTTTGCAAAGACTACACTGGACAAAAAGTAATGATGTCATTGAGGTCGTAAGATGCATTAATATTGAGCAATCAGCTGAGCTTCTGTCAATCTATGTTATTAAAATATTCAAAATAATTTGACTTTCGAGAACTGATTTGACCTAAAGAAGTAACGATGCATTAATAAGTAATAGTCACCTTTACCGATAGTCTCTATCTTGGAATAATATTGCAGTCCGTCTTCCGAAGTGGTCATACCGAAATGATACACGGCAAATAAATAATTCTTCCTTTAAAGATATATTTCAGTCTGAATTTAAAATTAAAACAATTCGTTTTATGTATGCTGAATTTAACAAATTCTGAAATTTCCAAATTGAAGAATTAGTTACTATAATAATCGGTAGGAAAGTTTGCAGTATTAAAATAGCCTTGAAACATCAGCGTAGCTATTATTCACATATCTGTGCTTTAACGCTCTTATAGCCACTCTTATAATTATCATTACTCTTCAATCATCCGTATTTCATTCAACTTAACACACTAAATTCGCTAAGCAATTTCGGCTCACTTCACACTTACGATACAAACTACTCCCATATCGTCCTCAATTATGGCTTTCCAAATGGTTCCTTTAAGCTTAACATGTTTGAAGAACGGAATTTTTTCGAAATTCAAAAAGAATTCTCGAATTTTTGAACCTACATGAGATACTAATGTTTACTCTAAACTAACGACCATGAGCGCAAGGGAAAGACTATCTTCTATGTTCGCTTATCTGCAACATTGGTAGATCGCAGTGATCCTATATCCTTGTGGAGGTTGAAGCTATTAATGTTACGCCTATTCTTCACAGAAAGATCAAAATCCGACGTTCTGAGTGATAAGTTCTGAGTGATCCATACCATAATAGCTATTGTTAAGCAATATCTTGCTAGCGCTAAAACTGATACAATCCATTTTTCACAAGATTTCGAATACTGACACACAACAACAACGAAGCAAAGCGATGTATAGCAGAACCAAAGCACATATACGGCCATTAGTCACTGCTTTGAGGAATTTACTATAAACCATTTAGGTAAGCATCTTTCGAGTAGAGTTCCAAAACATTATTTATGTGCTTATCATTTGATCAAATCATTCCTAAAACGAAAGAACATTTCAAAAACCATTTATTGTTTGGAAAACTTACGCTGAAAATACCAATATCAGCAATTAATACCATTTCTTTATGATCCATAGTCTTACAGGTGATGAAAAAGCATTATAGACTTGAATTAATATTCTGTAAACCTTAAAAATAGGGAAATTGAAAGCAATTTTCTCCACAAATGAATATTTGACAATTCGTCCATTTTCAGTAATAGTTTCTGATACACAGTTCATAAATAAAACATTAAAAAGTGTGTTCAAAGTAACCTGTTTATTCCATTCTAAGAGAAAAAAGACGACAATAATTTGCGACTGTACCTGCTTCAGAAATATAAATGCAAATTGAAACAAAAATCAAGAAACATGTATATAGGACATCTAAAAAACCATTCTTTTTTTTGAAAAATAAAACAAAACTTCAGGTAAATACAAGATATTTGTAGAGAATGCTTAATATTTATCAATAAACATCATATTGTTACCGTTTATATATCAAGTACGAACAGAATAAACTGAAAGCACAGCCAGTTTTTTTGTGACAAAAGAATCAAGGACAAAATCACATATATCGGGGCGGTAAGACCAATGTCCCGTCATAATTGCCAGCTGGAAGTTTCTTTCGATCAACGTCATCAAAGTATGAGTTCTTTAGCAGCTGTTTCGCTGAGATTCGCTGTGCCGGATCGTAAGTAAGCATGTTCTGTTAAGAACGTAGAGTAAATACGGAACTCAATAATTTTCATCTAAATTATTAAGACCTGAAAACTTTAAATATTCAAAATCCTAATGAACTAATCCTTACGCGTAAAATTTGGATAGCTTCGGGATCCATATAAGATTCAAGAATTTTGCCGAGACCATCTTCTTTCCACTGAGGGAATGACATCTTGAAATCTGGAAGCTGGGTAACTCCATGCCACATATCTTCGGTAGGGGTTGACATTATTCTGAAAGAAAAAATCAAAGAAGGCAAAAAAGAAAAGCTATAAAAATCAACATAAATACGGAAAACAAACCGGAAAATGCGAAAGATTTGATCAATTTCCGAGTCACCTTGAAATAGTGGTACTTTTGTGGCCATTTCGGCAGCGATACATCCAATGCTCCACATATCAACTCCCATCGAATAGCGAGTTGCGCCAAGAAGTACTTCAGGAGCTCGATACCAGAGAGTTACAATCTATTAAAGAGGACAATTTAATATAGAGTAATCTAAAGAATATTTTCTATAGTAAACTTCTTTGGCATAAATTAAAAATAAAGTAACTTACTTCATGAGTATAAGCCCTTATTGGAATACCAATAGCTCTTGCTAAACCAAAGTCCGCAAGCTTGATGGCACCATTTTGGTCCACCAGTAAATTCTGTGGTTTCAAATCACGATGAAGAACACGCCTCTGGTGGCAGAAACAAATAGCTTGCAATATTTGATATAAGTAAGATTTTTGCTGTAATAAACTAGCTCATAATTTCTTTTTATTATTCAGTTCATTAAATATGTCACAACAATTGCTATAAATACGTACTATTTCTTTCGATTCATAGAATATCACTTATGGAAAAGAAACTGCAAAAAGTTTACTGACCTGTTCTTTGTTCATCAGCTCAGAATCAGGAACTGTATCAATGTATTTCTTCAAATCCATATACAAAAATTCAAAAATTAAGTACAACCGATTCTCTTCAAGTATGATTTCTTCAAGACTGAAAATATGAAATTTTATTAATGTCAGTTATATGACTTGGATAAATACCCTACAGTTAATACACCACAATTGCCTCATGAATGTCCCGGTGTTGAAGCAGCGCTTTTCTGTTCACAAACTTCATCAAAATGTATGGCTCCATTCTTCACTTTTCCTATCGAGTTTTCAACGAAAATGATCACTAAAAAACCAACGCAACGATGTTTGGATGTGTTAATTCTCGAAGCAGTGAAATTTCTCGAATTGCTGTTGCTGGTACACCTTCATCTTCATTTTCTAAACGAATCTTTTTCATTGCAACCATCTTTCCCGATCGTTTATCGATACCTTTGTAAACGACCCCATATGTTCCTGATAATATTTTGCCTGATATCTTTATAGAAACTTACTTTCACAGAGTTATTCTAAATTAAAAAAGAATTACATGCATTTTAAATGCACCATAAATTAAAAGGAGTACAAAAGAAACTGCATTGGATAGTATTGATACAACAGAACCCGGAGAAATTAGAAGAGATACTAATGCGACCAAACAGCAACATGTGATTCCATCCAATATTTGTCACACAATAGTAGATTTAGTTAGTCAGGAAAAACGGAGTAATCCCAAAACTCACGATTCTTTATGTCTAACAAGCAACTGAATCATTACCAATAGATATGCCACAGTGAAAGATCACAACTTCTAGTAACTGTATGATGAGAAATTTTAGAAGAATACCTTCGCCAATTTTCTCAATTCGACTATAATTTTGCAAAGCACTTTCTCCCGAGTCCATTCTTTGTATTGCAAGAAATGTGAAAGGTCAATAGTTTTTATTCCTGAAAATTAAACAAACTATTAACCATACAGTTATAATTAAACATCCTTTCAATCAAACATCCTCTCAGTCATCTTAAAAAAGCTACAAGAACGAGCAAATATAAGACCATTGATAAATTGTCACACTATTATTATTCCGCTTATCAGTCAATATATTCTAAATATCCAGTTATTGGTTAAATTTTTTGTGATCGCAATCACAATAAAAAGTTAATTTATCGAAATTCCACCTCACTTACGAATATAAAAATAACTTGCTCTTCCCCTTGCATAATAGACGTAATGTGCCCCACTGCCCCGTACACTCCCATAGGCTAAACCGTAAAACCGACCCCCCGGGAGAACCACTCATTCAAATTTGATCACCATCTTGGCGCTTCCTTATGGTTTCATCATGAAACGGGACGTCTCAATGTCTTCAGCATCCTTCAGCAGACACACCGACGGCGACCACCGGTTGTGGTAAGGGGTATGTGAATGGGGGGCTGGTGAGAGCTAGTTAGATTTTCAGGACTCTTCCTCGAGAGTGGCTTCCTAACTTTGATCGTACCGTATGTGTTGTGTGTAATGTATCTTGTATAGCTGAATTGCTATTCATACGAGGTTGTATGGAAAAGTTGAATGAAGTTGAACTCTAATTCAGAGGTTAAATTGGAGGCACGAGACTGGGTTGTACGCAAATTGATACATGACATTAAATTTTTTTTAATGCTTACTATTACTAATATTAATTAAGGGACGTACACGATAGCAAATGATAAATGAATAAAATTCATAAAACACAAAGGAATCACTGGAGGTTTTTTTGTGCTCGAGTATTCTTCACAATGAGCGGTCCTACATTGTCACCAGTGATCTGGTTGTGCTTGTTATGACTTCCATCACAATAAGGCCACTGCAATAAAGCGTTCTCAAAATTAAATAGAACTCTCTACACAACAAAAAATTATCAAATCTATATATCGAATATAACATGAAGTAGGAGTCAAAGAGTGACTAATATAAAGTAAAAGAGTAACTAATAAAATCGAGGAGTAATCAATACCATGCATAATGACAGATCGCTAAAACTAGAACATTCTCATCTTATGAAGCTATTTTTGATTTCAATTTCGAAATATATTTATTTTATTGTTGTGGAATTAATTCATATAATTGTTATTATGTTAAAAAAAAAACCTTTTATCCCTCCAAAATCTGCGGCATAAAATGCTAAATGATCTTCAACATCCAAAGTATTTCATCATCTTTTACAAAATTGTAACCGGCAAAGCCTACTGATACACATTGCCTTTTCAGTCATAGCTTCTCTTAACCTAAGCCTTGTTGCTGTTATATAAAGAGAAACATAAAGTGCATTAAAATTAAGGTGAGAATTACATCCTTCAAAATATTTGATAAATTATATGTTTGCTGATTCTAACCGGGAACAACTCAGTAACCACAATATGACAAGATTAAGAGACCTTTTTTCCATAAAGAGAACTTTTTCATCGTTAAAAAGAAAGTTACGCGTAAGACGGACACTGCCGGTTAAATGACGTGACCAAAGGGTAAATATGTCATGCCTAACAATGCTCAACTCAGTAAAACCAAAGTAACTTGTTTCAAAACTAACATTATTGCTTTTCCAGCATCGACAGAATACTTTCTGCTCACCAATATCTTCTAAATCAATTGTTTCCGCCACCTTGAAATAGAAAATACTCAAAAAATATTTTTTTTACGATGAGTTTTTCCGTTACATTAGTATCAAAGTTAGAATCACCAGGAAGGTTGCATATCAACGTCGGCACATTACGTTACTTCGTTCGTGACACTACTCCATGACGGGCAATCACTTTTTAACAACTCAAAAGCGGCTAACAATATTACCTCACATGATTTAATTAATGCACCCTTCTTTACATGACCTATTGACAGTTGTAATTGTATTTGTAAAGACTTAATCATAAAAACTTTCAAGCATGAAAATCACTTTATCAGTGGAAAGTTTGATTTTACTGTTAATGCGAGTTCGCTTTTTTGACAAATGGATGCCAATGTAATATCCAAACAATGCGGACCCAATCAATGTGGCAATTCCAATCAGCCAATCCTTCGTTGTGCGGCATTCTAAAACGAAAATACCACTTACTTTTAACTAAATACTTTCAGAACAAGAATATATAATTGGAATTTGTACAAATTTTGACAAATCGACATTAAAATTAGCAGAAATTGTGAAAAGAAATGCAAACGTACGGGCTTCCTGAAGCGGATTATAATCCACAGTCCCAGATGTTCCACTCATTAATTCTGCAAACAATTAAAAAAAATAAATTAAAAAATTTCTAAAAACATTTTCGGAAAACAAAAGTGTCAAGAATGTAAGTCGGAATGTAGTTACCAGATAAAATTCGCTTTTTTTGCCTTTATTTCAAGAAATTTAAGACATATATATGTCATTTTAATAACAAATAATCAAAATGAATAGTAACAGTAACCATAAATGAAATAACAAATTTTTCACTAGACAAAAATATGAAATTGAAATATAAAAAAGCATAAAATCTGAAATTAAAATGTTTTTTGGCAATGAATTCCATATTCCACGACTTATTGTTCCACAAGTTCGAAGAAGCAGCAAATTTACATTCGAGAACACAGCAGCATGCAAAAAAGCATAGCCAGTAGCATGATCACAAATGCTCATGTCACTAATGATTCTCCGTTAGATATTGAATATCGGTCACCAAATTTCGCGAAGAAATTAATAACATATCAACAAAGTAAAATATATTGCAAAATCCATTTTGCAAGCATAATAATTACTGTCATGATGACGACAAATCAGGATCAGGTAACCGTCGAAATACAGCAGGCCACTTCGAACCTTCATTACGTGTTACTTTTTGTCCTTCTTCCGTACTATCGTAAAGCATTGCTACAATCGAATCCGTTTTCATGGCCAAATCGGGTAAACGTTCAAATAAGGGATGATCAGAGAAGTGCTTCACCATCCAAATGTGCAATTCTTCAACATCTGTTATCGTGTAAACCAGTCCTCAAAGGATTCTTTTTTAGTAATCATTTTCTTTCTTTGCAAAGGATTTGATCATTGACACACAACTTTGCTAAACGAAATCAAAATCTAATATTTAACGCTGAATCAAGGATTTATGTCCATCATCGGATTTAAGGATTTATGTCTTCAAAAACTTAAGAAGTAGATGCACTTTTAGTATGCTTTTACTGTATATTTACTGAGAAATGCAAATAGAGGTTAATTAACAAATGTTAGCGAACTAACAAAAGCTATATCAAGTTAAGTGTTGTTTTTTTCCAGCTAATAATGTAGAATGAACTCAGACGTCTTAGAAATCATGATCTTATAGAACGATGATCGCATTAGCATATTCGCCAACAATAATGAAAATGGAGTATAATAAACAAGTTAACCGAAACAATCATTTGCAGTTTCAATCAGAAACTATTACCTCCTGGTTTCAAAACATAAGCATATTCAGCTATTAGAGTTGGTGTGATAATTCGCCACTTATGTTTCGCTTTCTTAAAATGAGGGTCTGGATACAAGAAAAACATCTTGGTGAGCTGATGTCGACAGAAGTAATTTGGTAAATATTTCATTGCATTTGTTCGAAGACATGCCACATTTCGATAATTTCCTGGTTCTCGTAGGCGCAGCGCATGAATTTTGTCTTGCACGTAATCGCTAACCTATGAATTGCAGTTTTAACAAAGATTTCTGCGGCTCTTTGAAAAAATTCAATCATTGTAAAATCAATAAATATAAGATTATTTCATTTCGTTCAGTATGTCTAAAATATTTCATTTTTTTGTTTTTTTGGATAGTAAGTTCTTGCAAAAACATAAAAACAATAAATTTTCGCAAAAAGTGATAAAGTTATTATTCTTTTATTTTATCTATTTCCACACTTCTCATAGGAAATTTCAGTTTCTAACAATTAGGAATTCTCAGTATTATATTAACTAACTCATGGCAACAAAATTTAATTAAATCACAAAAACTCACTGCCAAATTTGAAACAGAATCAGCTTAGTTACTACTGTATTTGGATAACTTACATACTTTGACTCGAATTTCCAATCCAACCATCAGAGTTTCTGGATATAAAGCAGAAAGTTTAATCAGCAAACCTCCATAGCCACAACCAACATCGACAAACTCTATCTGACGTCCTTCGCTGTAATCGCCAAAATAGGTCTTCCAGTTCATCCTTAAAAATCGATTCCTCATACAACTAATAAAATTTATCTCATTAGAAATGAGAGCTATATCAACAATTTTGCCAACATCCATCCATATAAAATAGTTTTATCTTAAATAAACTAAGGCTAGTTTTAAAGTTGGAAAACATCCTAAGAGTGAAAATCTTAGTAACAAGCTCGAAATACTTGACCGATTTTTCTGAACAAAGTGAACAAAGTTCTTCATCGCACTGTCATATTCAAAACAATTTGTTTAGGTACAATATTAAAAAGCTGATCGCTGACTGAACTGAGATTGCAAATGTACTTACCAACGTGGCGCAAGTCATGCTGACAACACAGTAAGTTTAACCGATTAGTTGGATCCATTAAAAAAGTTATTGACAAATCCACAATTCACTTACTGTTCAGGAAAAATCGGATAATCGAATTCATGGTCACTGATCGGATTTGCATGAGCCCTTTGCCTGTAGAACTTTTTCTGTGGCAATTCTCGCATTTCTTCACCATTTTTACTGTCATTTTTCCTTGCAAGCCACTCCGATGTATTTCCTTTGCTATTCATGTTTCTACAATAATTACATCCAATCTTCCTAAATTATTGATAGATTGAATTCTTACCATATAGATATATCAACAAAAGTGCTGTTAATTCTTGTTTCTCACAAATCTCTGCAAGTTCAACACTTGTATGAATTAACTCGCATCAAGAAGTAAAAGTTGGCAGTAAACATTCAAGACGGGCAATAATTACTACAAACAGTCAATATAACGTTTGGCAAAATACATCTTTCAGAATTTGATATGGCAGCAACCAAAACTCCTCAGATGTGATAGGAATTAGTTCACTGCAAGTGATAATACCAAGTGATCAAAACCGAAGCCACAACCAACAACCATCAGCGTGGTGCAGAGTTGGGTTCCGGTTACTTGGTATAATTCGTTACTCTAATCATCCCTTACGAATACAGCAAAAATAAATCATAATTTGAAGCATTCCAGACATTTATTTCAAACAATCAAAGTATCAAGTATCAAACCTGCGTACATTTGGTCTGCAGCATCTAAGATTCGTAGTCTAATTCATAAACAAAATGATACTTGCAAAACTGATCGCAGATACGCATTTCAAGTTGTAATAACAAGATGGGAAACAAATTCAATAACTGATATTGCATGAAATCCCCGATAACTTTATACAATATTTTTTTAAATTAATATTAGAATCTCAACACACTTTTAAGGATTTTTCGCAACATTAACATTCAATTTTTTTTAATTGATTTTATATGCGTTTTTTTGTAAAAACAGTTGCATTAGTAGCTCAGTAAAAGAAAAAACCAAAGAAAAAAGTTTGATTCAACCACAATTAATCCTTAAAACTAATTTATAAAGTGAATTTTGAAGCCCGGACTCATATTATATACCAAAACATCATTAAATACAAAATCAAAAGGAAGACCAGGAAACTTAAGAATGACATAGAATCCCTATAGGAGCAACTATACATCAACCTACTAAAATTTTATAAAATCTCGCATGGAATTTAATCACGCACTAGATCATGTAAGTTCTTTTCACTAAAACTTAATCAAATCACCAATTAGTTTACCATTTCTCATAAAATAAGCATTTAAGCTTTATAATAGCCTATTATAAAAATAAAGTTTAATAACATATGTTAACATGGAGAGAGAGAGAGAGAGATTTATACACTATAAACGTGTAAACACAGTTCATTTACGCCTATGATATAGAAAGTATTCCTTTTTGCAGTTTCGAAAAAGTCAAGAAATCAAAGTAACAACAGGTAATATGCCTACATTCTAAGCAATACGTTATCAAAATATGCACTTCTAATATCATGAATTCTCATTCTCAAGAATGCTCAAAATTTGACTTGATCTCTTTTGTCCTGTGAAGATGTGATGTTTCCTGCGTTTAACTGGCAATTCTATAGCGGATACCTGAACATTAACATTATCATGAGCACTCATAATAAACTTCCGTAACTTCAAAAAAAAATTCCAATTTCACTACCTCCTGCGAAATATAATTTGGATTTCTAGATCTTAATTTTACGTGTTTTTCATGTATTAAAATGCATTAACAGCCTTTTGGACTAATAACAACAAATGAAAAATTGAAAAAATAAAAAATTATAATTAAGCACCAAATTCGTTATTTAAATAAAAGTCTGAAAGCATATCACTGGTTTAAAACAAACCTGAAGAGGCCAACCGCCACCAATAACACCAGCTTGTATGGAAACACCAGTCACAACAGCTAGTTCCGGATCAACACCATAATTTGGTGCCTTGCTGAAAGCAATCAAATGCAACAGCGAACGTTTCGAACTTGAAATGACTTACTTATTTAGAAGGAAGACAAAAGAGTTAAGCACTACTCGACTCAGTTTATATGGGTACTGGACCAAGCCATCCAGCGTTCAATCCCATATTTTTTTAAATGATTATCGAGACGATAATTTACACTCAAAACTTTTTCCTTTTAGACTAATCTCATTCTTTCAGTTTCCAACAATAATATGCGATTTCAAATATTAAGGAATTTACCCGAAGTAACGGCCGACAACAGAACGTACACGTGGAATGCGAGTTGAACCACCAACCAATACAATTTCATCGATATCGGATGCCTTTATTTCAGCGTCATTTAAAGCTGCTTCTATTGGCTCCATAATACTTTCAAACAAATCTTCGTTCAAAAATTCGAAGTTTTCACGCGTAAGCTGAAAATAAAGATTGTATTTCCTAATTTCTTTTTCTTGCAGAAAATCTTCAAAAGTTCGATTTTTAAACAGTTTCAAAATTTTATAATCTTATAATCATTACTCTATAATGTATTTTCCCAAGTGATCGTAAATTTAAATCAATGTTAGTGACAGGAAGTGTAGTGAGTTGAATTTTTGCAGATTCAACTGCAAAACGCAACTGCTGGATATCTTCCTTATCATCGAGCACCTTGCCATAATTCTCTTTTATATGCTGTAAATGAACAAAGTACATACGATGTCTAAGACACAATTACAACAAACTGTGTTACATCAAAAAACACTTCTAAAACAATTATAACTCAGTTTTAATTACTAATATTAACTTAACTTACAGTAAATCAAATTCAAATACATTATTCCATGCCTTGTACACTTCAATTTCAAAACTACCAAATCATGACTACAAAGATAAGGAACAACTTATAAAACAACAAACTACAAATATATCAACCTGCATCAAATGATTTTGAACACGATCATTAAAATCTTGGCCGCCAAGTCTATTGTTGCCAGCCATCGCTATAGTCATAAATATGCCTCCCTGCAACCATAATATCGAGACATCTAATGTACCACCACCTTAAATAAGCATAAACTACTGTTGTTCACTGTTTGTTAAAGTCCTGATAAAACAAAACAATGAATCAAAGATGGATGAGAAAAAAGATTCTAATGTGCATTTCAAAAGAACAGAACAAAATAAATGCCTGAAGTGCAATATGGTTTGCAGTATTCTTGGGTTTTTATGATTATACATTACAGACATACATAAACAAAAGCTGACCCAGATCAATTACAATAATGTATTCGACGCTTTTTTTCTTATGTAAGCCGTAAGCGAGGGCAGCTGCGGTTGGCTCACTAATTACACGACGACTTTCCATTCCTAAAAATCTAGTGTAATTGGCTAAAAAAGTCGTTTATATGGGCTGTATAAGGTTTCATGCAGATAAATTCAAAAAATTAACATATCCTAAATAATGTGAGATTTGATAATATTTTTTCCTATGAATGACAACAAACCGGCTTTTTCAACAGCAAGTGCAGTAGCATTCCGTTGCTCATCATCAAATTCAGCTGGAACAGAAATAACTACCCAAATGATTTCTGTCCCATATTTCTTCTCAGCTGCTTTTCGAAGATAGTTTATTATTATGCCAGAAACTTCTTCTGGCGTTATTTTTCTGAAAAATGAAGCGTATAGATTCGCAAGCTATGGAAGTCTTCTAATTTTGAGAATGAAATAAAAATTTTGCGGAAAATAATTTCTTCCAAGCAATACTTCACTTCATATTTTAGACGTGGATATGGAGAAATTTCTGCATGAGCTTACTTGATAGACGCGGATTTGAAGAAATTTCTGCATGAACTTACTTGATAACATTGTTTTCTAATGGTATAACAAAGAATACTCGCCCTTCTGCGTCTAACTCAATTTTAAATGGATATCGTTTTCTATCAACCTGCAAAAAAAAATCTCGAAAATTAGAACCCTAACACTCTTAGCTTGAAAATTTTTATATTTAAAAAATAATGCGACACAATTTTCAATACTTTAAATGTTTTCTCAAACAGATTTCTTGATTACAATCGGAATTCTTTGCTTGCACTTCTCTCTATGCTATCTTCGGTTCTGCTACGGTATAATAAAACGTTAAACGTAATTATAAAAATGACCATAAATAAAATATTTATACCAATTTTATAAGCAGCAATATAAAAGTATCACCTGAAATTGTGGGTCGTCTTCAGACAATTTTATCCCGATAAAACGTTTGGCATCATATATCGTTCGCAAAGGATTGTGCTCTTGTTGTTCAACAGCTTTTGAACCCACAATTACAGTACCATTTGGCCTGTCATATTTAAATGAAAGCATTACGAAATGAAAACGAATAGAATTTTATTAACCGTTCGGAAAAGGGTAAGAGTGAGTGCTAATAATAACTTACAAGAATGCAACAACACTTGGAATACTTTGTCGTCCCGTTTCGTCAGCAATTATATCTGTTGCCCCAGTGACAGCCTGATATATACCAATTGATGAAAATGTTGTGCCCAAATCAATGGCAGCAATTTTTGGTGCTGGGGGAGGTAATCCATACTTCCGGGTCAAATAACCAGCCAAAAATAATGACAGTGCAGATGTCCCTGAATTCGTAGAAATTAACGAATTACACGACATAACTGGCTCGATCATTAACTAAATTTTTAAAATGAAATCTGAAAAGAGCAATATAATTTCTAAGAGGTGAGGAACTATTAGATAACACAGCACACTGATCTTCAGTTGATCTTTTTGAAGTATCTTACCTGTACTCTGAGTAAATGAATAGGATACCCCGGAAGTAGCATGGGACACGCTAATCATGTATAACGTAAATAGTAAGGTGTAATTTACCTAACAATGAAAACGACATGCGCAACTTTGGCATAGAAATCTCCGAATGTGACGTTTCTTCGTTAGAGTACAAGTGATATCATCGTACTGCAACAATCACATGATTACTTGTTATTTTTGTTACTGCTGACGTGCGTTAGAGTAATTAAATGGATTAATTTAAGAAAGAACAAACATTACGAAAGTCGAGTTACTGAAAAACCACTACAGCACAACCTGAACTACAATCAAACATAGTCTGGAAGTGATAACTCTCAGCGGCTCACCGCGAAATACCAATCCTCTTGAAGCCAACGCGGGAAAGAATTTCCGGAATTCGATTAACAGAACGTGAGCAGAGCCGTGTCCGTCTGTTTGTCTATGTCCC